ACCACCACCACGGCAAAAGGCCCAAAAACTTTGATTCTATCTAAATGGGGATATCATTTGAACTCATCCATAAATTTCCTGTGAAATTCCACAATTCTATTCACCCAGTCGGTCCCCGGAGCCAAGAACGTCGTGCGGAAATGGTATGTCCCTGGTTTCTGACCAAAGCCGGAACCTGGGACGATGCAGACACCTGTAGCGTCGAGGAGACGGAGGGCGTAGAACTCGTCAGCATGTCGGTTTTGTGCCTGAGCGGCTTCGATGGCCTTTTGTGGAAGTGTGATTGTCGGGAATAGGTACATGGCGCCCTAGACAAGAAAGCGTGGGTTGTTAGCGAAAAATGGAGATTGAGCTGATACTCAGTATGAGCGAGAGTTCTTACCTGCGGTTCTTGACATTCAACGCCCTCCATTCGCTTAAATGCCTCGTATAATGCGAGAGCACGCTGGTGCAGGCCAGACGCAATCGCGTTGTATTCTTGCTGGTATGTTTCATAGCTTGGCTCTCCCGGCTGTGGAGGGTTGACCATCAGCTCCACAAGGCACTGCCCGATCACCGGTGGACAGAGCATCACGCTGATGAATTTGTAGATCTGCTCTTCAACGTCGGCATGGAAGCCAACGAGCTCAAAGTAGCCTCCTCGATGGCCACATTCTCCCACCATTCCCTTGGACACACTGTGCAACGAAGCGAGTTCCACATGATCGTATTTGCCAGGAGCTTCTTGCTGCAGCTGTCGTAGTCTCTTTTTGAAGGATGTGAATTCTCCCTTGAAGATGTTGGTCTGGTAAACCTCGTCGGCGATGATGACAAGGTTCTCATCAACTGCAAGGTCAATCACCTGCTTCACGGCGTCTGGGCCAAGGCATGCCCCTGTAGGATTGCCTGGGTTAATCACCACGATTGCGCGAACATCAGTGCCTTGTGCCTTGGCTTGTGCAACGGACATGTGAATCGCCTTAACGTCTGTACTCCAATTGCTCGCTTCATCAAGATAGTAGGGAACGCATCGTGCGTTGAGCACAGCCAGCGTAGCAGTGTACAGCGGATATTGAGGGATAGGAACGAGGACACCATTGTCCTGGCCCGCACAGAGGATATTGAGGAGAGTGTTCACTCCTGACGACGCTCCAGCAGAGAGATAGATGTGAGCCGGATCCGCGGGAAAGCCATCACGCTTCTCGAGGAATTTCGCAACGCTTCTTCGTACCAACGGCGACCCATGGCTCTGACTGTAAGCACCCACACTCTGGACGTCCTTCAAAAGCAGTTTCGCGCGATCAATAGCATCCTGTTTGTACCCAAACACCGACTTCAAAGCCTCTTCTTTCTCCAGCAGTGGCGGATGCTCCATAAGACTCAGTACTTGTCGGAAGAAAGTAATAGGCTTCTGATCCAGCTGTTGCGGGTTCCCGATGTTGGCAAAAATAACCTTGTCGAACGGAAGCGGCTCTTTCCCTTGCTCCAGCTTGACTCTGTATTCCTCTGCCTTGACGGCCAATTCACCGCGGACCGCATACCTGGCGGCAAGGATGTTCTGGTTGATGTTGCCCTTGTGGAGGCGGCCAACCGGTAATGAACCCATCTTGCTTTGTGAGAAGGGGCGTGACAGCGAGTAGAGACTAGGGAGCGACGAATGTGCGTTGTCTAGAGGTAATTGAATGTCTTTTATACCGTCAGTTGCTATCCAAATGGAGGGGCAATCGCAGACTTGGAGGAGCGGGTTGGGCCGGATAAGTAACACAACAGTATCGGGTCATGCGGGGAGCTTCTAACGGGCGAGCGCGCCGTTTCTTCTCTCTTTTCCCCCCGTCCTGGAAAAACAAAAAGGAATATGACTTACCTCGTAAGAAGTTTGCAGGACCAGCTGCAAGTCGTTGGGCTCTCGGTTCGCGGGTAAAAAGAGAGAAAGGAACCGAGCGAGGGTATCGGGGTACGGGAGACATGGTTGAAATTTGGGTTCTCGAACCAGAGAACGGGATGGTGTTGGGAGAAAGCCCTAGCCGCAGGACAGACTCATCGGCCTTTTGCTATTATTATTGTGAGCAGTAATCATCGGAACTGAAATGCGACTCTTGGTGCAATGCGAGGACAGATTCTGAGACGGCGAATTGCTCTCGAGCTTCTTCTTTGTGACTCCCACGGTAACTACTTTCGGACTCTGGATACGCCCCAGCCGGCAATCAGCCGCAGAGTCGGGATGTTCTGGCTCACCAGGAACGTCCAATTAACAGTTCATCGTTACGAGCTTATGCGGATGAATCCATTCTCATGATGCTACTGGTGTCTTTTCGCCGAGGAACGGCGTGCAACGAGACTGGCACTCAAATGTCCCGAAACTCATTTTGTCTCGCGTGAGAACCCCTTTTTCTGTATCATGATTTCACTACAATAATAATCCAAAGATTCGAGACTCAGGGCGAATACAGTCTGAAAACCAACGGATGGCGTCTATTGCTTCCACCTAGCTGCAGCTGGTCGTATAGTACATAACAACACTTCCAATCTTCGGTGAACTGCGATCGCCGAACCAGATAAAGTCATGGAATAATGAATATCGACGGGTGGCACAATCTATCCTCGTTCGCTACCTCTCATTCTCACTGCTTGCCCATATTTCTGAAGTTTGGTAATAAGCGCATCACCCTGCTTCACGACATCGGCGTACTGCTTGTTCTTGTCATCTGGGCGGTTGGTTTCGATCACTCCATTAACTCGATCAATTGTGCAGGCTATCTTATCACCGGCAATGAATTTGGCAAGATCTCTGTTTGATACTAGTCAATATCAAACCCAATTATTCACAGAGAGCGAAACATACCTGTCAAGGAAATCAACGGTCACACCAAATTCATTCGCCATGCTGGTCAACCCAACCACTCGATAACTTTGTAACAGCTGTTGGTACCCTCGTAACCGCATCTCCCTAACGAACCAGGCCCGGTGCTCGTGCAAGTATCGATCTTGAGTGAGAAAGTTGTCCTCAACCGCCGCAAGTGCTGTGAAAAAGTTGCGATATATTCCATTGTAAAGACTGCTCACAAGATTTGCAAGTGGAGTAAAATCAATAGGCGCCTCGGTATCCGCTTGCGCGCCGCTTCCGGTACCTAAGGTTGTGAGATTGACTACGGTCGATGCTTGACCGGGCGTCGCACTGGATACGTCCTTCATCTCTTCATCCCCAGCGCCAGGGCCAGACGATATAGCTCCTGTTAATGCCGATAACCTGTCTTCTCCTTCACCCAGAATTGCCTTGATTTCTGGCGCGTCGACCACCTTTGCCTTGAAGTCTACCCGTTTCAATGACAAGGAGCCTGCAAGAACAGCGTATACGACCAAAGACGAGTAGCTGCACAGTTCGTAGCTAGTGAAGGTCGATAAACTGTCTAGCAGAAGTGGTGCAGCCAACTTATAATTGCGAACCGTAAGTAGATGGAGACCTTTGTAGGCCTTTAGGCGATTTCGGCGATCCCAATCACCACCCCCCTCCACGAGAGAGTTGGCACGCTCAATATGCTTTTTGACAAATAATTGATCCCCAAAGAATAGCCCAATTCGTATCATGGCTAAGACCAGGTCAATCTTCGTTCCAAGAACTCCGGTGTTTTCGAACACAGTTTCATAGGCGGCCACGGCTTTATCCTACATGAACACCACATTAGCTTTGGGCGGAACCGCTACTTAAAGCCACGCGTAAAAGGAGGCAATAGATATCCCCTACCCTATCTCCAACTCGAGCCCAGAATTCTGCGCGCTTTCCTCGCGCAGCCTGGACTTCTGTGTCGCCAGCTGCCTCGGCTGCCTCCTCCTCCTCCTTTTGCAGAGTATCGAGTTCCTTCTTATTCTCAGCTAGTAGCCTTTCATATAAGCTTTCATCCCAAGGAAAATCGACATTCGTGGAGGTCCGGGTATGAGGTAGCATGTCGCATCCAACAGTGGGCTTGTTTGGCGTGGCAGTGTTGTGTTGCGGGGCGGCTTCGCCTGACGAATTCAGGATGCCATCAACGGGGTGAGCTAGATGTCGGTACAACGGGGCCATCTGCTTCTCTTCAATGGCGGTCTGGAGCTTCTTCAGCGAGCCTTCCCGTAAGGCGGCTGGACAAGCTGGGTTGGCGAGGTTGAAGACATCTTGGGCGAGAGTGAGATCGGGAAATCTGGTATACTGCGGGTCGGAGCCCATGGCTGCTAGTAGTCAACGAGCGGCACAGAGGTAGGCAAAAAAAAAAAAGGCCAGAAATCTATCAAGGAAGAAGCGCTGCGTGATCCTGGAGCTTTGTTGTTCGTCGACCTTCAGCAGCGCCTGGAGCTTAAGCTGGCGGTCGTGGGAGCTGGCCCGGATTGGGACTAGCGTGGAACTTGGCCTCCTCAACCACTTGCTTATGGACTGACATTCGATATCGAACCCAAGATACGTCAAGTTGCGGACACAAAATCACTCGACATACTAGCAGTCTGCATGAACTTGGGCATTTGGAGCCATGCCTTGAAAGGCGTAAACAGACGGGAATAGTTGTGTGGGCTCGCAGTTGCACCACTGCTCGAATGCTAAGGTAACTATGGATGGGTCAACCCAGGCTCACAAAAAGCGGCTCCCAGGCGGAATCTTGCCTGTTTCTAGTCCACTGCCATAGCGATTCAAGTCTAGCAAAGGACGTCAGATTTAGGCAGATAATCCAGAACCAAAGCTGAAGGATTACTAGCCCAGCTGCCCTTCCTATGAAGAGTTCAGCCTCCTGAAACCTTTTACGGGTAACAAAAGTGGACCGCTTTGCCTCGATCAAGGGACAACGCCGACTGCCGCTGGAACGATCATGAATCATCGGATGCCTGGATGCACATCCATCCAGCCGGTGATACCAAGCCTGGCCCCGGCGATGCTTAACTGCGATTAGGCCCGGAACTGGGTGTGCTTGGCGCCCCTGTGTGCCGCTGGCTGCAACAACACCTGCACTCCATCCTCTTCGCCCTCTATTTCGCAGGATCACCGCTTGATTTATTTGGTCAAATAGCACATGAGGACTACTAGGACTCTATCACGACATTCTACGAGAAATGCTCAACTTGACACTCCGCTCCTCTGCATGGCTCGGCCCTTCCGGAAACCCGCCAGGCTGCAACCATGGGCTGCACGCTTCGGTATCTCTATCACCCGTAATGCGGAATTCTGGGTTAGGCTTCCAGCTGTTGCCGGAAAACGTCCCAGGTCTGCCAAAACCCTGTCATCCATGTTCCACGAGACTCTCTCGTCTTCAATGATGTGATCAAGCCTGCCCCAACCACCCAATGACATCTGCCTCGAGATCGACAGAGCTGCATGTTCGTCCGTGCAAACTGGTTTTAAGCTCCATCGTTAGATACAGCTGATCAAGCCAAGGAAACATCTGTGCGGGGCAGTTGACTGGAAGAAATCGACCACTTGCTTCTCTGGCCCCTTCGGAACCTTAGATACTGGCTTTGAGTATTATTTGAGTCTAAGACTCCAGGTTTCTCTCGGAAGCAGACTTGCGATCGTCGGCGCGCTTCAGTCTGTGGCCGGTGCTGAGAGTGAGATTTCAGCGTGCTCATATCTCAATCTTTCCTCCTTTCCCCGTTCTTTTGGTCTTGTTGCTTGAAAGGGTAAGGTTAGCACGATATTCAAGAGCAGGTGGTTTGCCATGGCACCCACAAACGATATCGCCTTGGTTTCCCAGTCCCCAAAGGCCGAGGAAACGTTTCCGGAGAAAGTCGAAGAGCAGGTCGTTGCTGAAGAACTCGAGAACACGAGCAAATCGCGCTGGGAACGAAGTTGGCCCACTATCGCATGCGGTGCAGGTCTTTTCTCTGATGGTTACCTGAACAACGCAAGTAGCTCGTTCCCAACGCGCTTCATGCCGGAGTGGCCCGTTTGGAAATATTCTATAACGCTTATTTGAAATTGGGACATCTGTGTAACTTGCGTATAGATTATTGGATCCGTGAACACCGTTCTTCGAACACTTTATCCGGAGGCTTATGCGAGCTCCGCCGCGGTCAAAAATGTCCCATCAATCGCATTTGCGGGCACAGTCGTCGGCCAGCTCATCTTTGGTTACCTAAGTGATCATTACTCGCGAAAATGGTCTTTGATGGCCTCTACGGTCCTGCTGGTCATCTTCGCTGCGCTCTGCGCTGGCTCCTATGGCGCTGGCGGTAGCCTGTCGGGATTATTTGCAGCCTTAACAGCATACCGATTTTTCCTTGGTGTAGGGATCGGCGGAGAGTATCCCGCCGGAAGTGTTGCAGCCGCAGAGAGCACCGGCGAGCTCAAAAAGGGCCACCGGAATCGATGGTTTATCATGTTTACAAACTTCCAGATCGACTTTGGATTCGTCGTGTCATCCTTTATACCTATGCTCCTCGTCCTGATCTTCACCGAAAATCATCTCCGGGCAGCATGGCGCGTGATGTTAGGCTTGGGGGTCCTTCCGCCGTTAAGCTTATTTTATTTGCGGTTAAAGCTGAAAGAGCCAGAGGAGTTCAACCGGGAAAGAATGCATAAATATCCGATTTGGTTGATTATCAAGTATGTGCCATCTTCTCTTCGTTGCCACAATAGTAGTTACGACTTACTGTGTCACGGAGGGATGGCTGCCCTATTGTATCTCATGCCGCTGACTTTTGATCTAGATTCTACTGGTGGAGATTGGTAAGCAAATACATATTCGCTGAAGGAGTCTAGAGATGGATCTCATATCTCACTGCTCGTATAGTTCATTGTCTCGTTGATCTGGTTTATTTACGATTTTTCGGCCTACGCGTTTGGGATATACTCCTCTGTCTGGCTGAAAATAGTTCTTGATGACAATGCTCCGCTGTGGAAAACGTTTGGGTGGAACACGGTTGTCACACTATTCTACATTCCTGGCTCAGCGTTGGGAGCATGGGTAAGCGACTGGATTGGCCCGCGGTACTGTTTGACCCTGGGAGTTGCTGTCCAAGGTATCATCGGATTCATCATGGCTGGGTGCTACCAATGGCTTGCGACTGCTAAGAATGTGGCCGCGTTTGTGGTTGTTTATGGGTAAGGATCATCCCAATAAAAAAAAGTCCCTTTAATGCAATACTAATGCGAGTATATAGGCTTTTTCTGTCATTTGGGGAGCTTGGCCCTGGGGACAACATCGGTTTGGTAGCTTCAAAAACCAGTGCAACAGCGATTCGAGGCCAATATTATGGGATTGCTGCTGCCTTGGGCAAAGTCGGGGCATTCGTGGGAACTTATGTCTTTCCAATCATTCAAAACAACGCTCCCAACGAAATTCGGGCTGGTCAAGATCCGTTCTTCGTTTCCAGCGCGCTTTGCTTGTTCAGTGCAGTTCTGGCTGCGTTTTTGCTTCCCCATATTGGACAGGTGAGATGCCTCGCCTAGGCAAACTGGTTCACTGTAGGCGCTGGCTAATTGTGTTCCTAGGACACGATAACATATGAAGATGTTCGGTTTCGCAAGTATCTTGAAGAAAATGGATATGATACAAGCACGCTGGGTAACAAAAATGGCGACCAAAGCGGCGTCCAACGAAGTTGATATGACTTTGATTGACCTACAGTTAGGCGGACAAAGCAGCGCATTGGCACTTTGTGAAGAGATGAAAGCCAATTTGCAGATTTCGAGCGGTGAAGCTGTTTTCATTTGATATAATATGCCCCTTATCTTGCCTGGTGTATGATTTGGGTTAAGGATCAAGTCGAGGTGCCTGATACAGTGATACCTGAGAGTTAGTAGACAGGATAATGATAATACAACATATGAGTTGCTCTCTCTGACCAAAGAAACTATTATTATCCCATCTAGTAGATCCTCTTCACCTCCATCATTCGTGTCGTTGACATCGCGAGCGAATCCCGAGGCGCAATGCCGAGGTAATAAATCACGTGCCGCTGTCTCCTGAAGCACAAGAAAGCCACGGCGAGGAGCAACGACGACGGACTTCTTTTTTTCTTTAATCAAAAGGTATTTCATCTTGTCACCAGCGATACTGTTTATCGTCCCTTGGAGAAAATATCGAATGTGAAAGATTTTCGTCTTCCATTGACATTTTGTGCTACTTTCCCAAGTGTCAGAGCTCCGTCGCATATATACCTCGTGAATTCTCCGCCCTGATTCCCGGAGAAACTCCAAATATTTCCTTCGTCCGCCCTCTCATAACTCCAACTTTGGGTAAACCTGCAGGATAGATACGAAGCCATATCACCGTCAAAATGGTCGCCGTTGCCTTAGCCTACCACCCCACCGTCGCTCACTATTTGAGATTCGTTGCTACCACCGGTCCGTCAACCCCCCCATCATTGACCAAAAAAATAAAATAAATAACTAGACAAAACTAACATTCCCTACAGTCGGTCGTGACAAGGCCCTCCGAACCCTCCAATACCTCTCCCGTTTCCTCGCCTGGTACCTCTTCCGCACCAACTACTCCCAAGCCGCCATCTCCCCCTTCGAAGCCATCAAGAAACAATTCGCACTCACCCGCAAACTTCTCCGCGTCGGCAAGAACGTCGAACACTTCAAAGCCGCCGCCGTCCTGCTCGACGCCAAAACCTCGCCATCCGCCGCTGCCTCGTCCACCGCGGACCCCGTGCTCAAATATCTCGCCGTCGGCCGACAGCTGGGATACGCCGCGTACTTGTCCTATGATATGGTGACGTATCTCGATGCGGCGGGCATTCGCAAGCTGAACAGCGTGAAGAAGTTACAGAGCCAGGCGCTCAAGGCGTGGATGGCGGGATTGGTGTGTTCGGCTGTGGCAGGGGTGTATTCGATGTGGAGGTTGAGGGAGTTGGAAAAGAGTGTCAACAAGCAGGATGGTGAGGGCGCGTTGGAGGGGAAGAAGATTGAGCGGTTAGTACCCCCCTTTTTTTCGTTTTAGCTTGCGTGGTTGTGTTTGCTTTGGTGTGGTGTTTTGGCGTTTTCGGAGCTGACCGTTGTGAGCATCTTATTTAGTGAACGCGCCGCCGTAACGATTCAGTTGGTGTCCGATGTCTGTGACTTGACTATCCCAACTTCGTCGCTTGGATACGTCAACCTTGACGATGGCATTGTCGGTATTGCTGGAACGGTCAGCAGTTTGATAGGCGCCTGGTCCGCGTGGAAGAAGACTGCTTAATTGTAGATACCATTCTTTTTTCTTTTGATATAAATCTGAGCTGCGTTGTTTTTCTTGCTCTTATAGTGCCTCTGAATATTTGTATTTTCGCGTCACGATAAGATTGCCGTTGTTTGATCTCAATTCCTGGAATTTAGGGCTGTTTTATACTTCCTACACCATGTAACTACCATTCAAATTCACTCTTTCATTTGACAATGCTAAAGTCAGGAGATATCGCAGTCATCAGCCTGCCACTATCAGACACAAGAATACAGTCTTATTTATATTTGTGACTTAGGGCGGCGTATAAGCGCTATTGATATATATCCAAGGGTTCAGAATCAAAATGGTACTATAAGATGTCTTTTAATAATTAGGGAAAGTGGCTACACAAAATCGCAAGTCTTAAAATAATCAGCTCTATAAATGTATCCAAAATCCGAACTGGCAGAAAAAGACCGATTCCACCCATTCTATCTACAAACGTGACATAGACAAAGTTGTCTGGATATCTTGACGTCTGGACGTATATATGTACTTGTTACTCCGTAGTGCATGACATACTCCGCTCCACAAGAGAAAGTTAGTATGGGAAATAACAAAATAGCGGGAAAAAAGAAAGGCATAAAGGAATAGAAATCATCTATGGTCATAATCGTTTCGCGGCGTTCAAGAATGTTGGACGTTGGCCATTTTTAGGAACACTCCTGCACGAAGCCTGAAGTTCGCGAAGGTGAGATTAAAGCTCTTAAAATCACCACGGATTCTGCTCCGTTCCTCGACCTGCTTCCATCGGGATTGGAGAAAGAAGCGGCGGAAAAGGAGATGCACTCGGGATCCAGATGGGATCACTAGATTCAGCGGTTGTAAAGGCACCAGAGGTATCGAGCGAAATAACATTATCAATAGGAGTCGACGTTTGTTGCGACACAAATGTCTGCGGCAAACCGTAATGTTGCAATTCAGGGGCTAAGGGGACAGTGGCTAGAGGAGATGGATGGCTTAGGCCTTCGCTTGCTCGCCAAAACAGATCTAACTCCAGAGAATCCACATGATTTGGTCCTAATATGCGTGGTTGGGGCATGTCAATATGGGACGGTGAGGCGCTGAGATGGTATGCATCCGTTTCTGAACCATCGCTCGTAGTAGGGATATGAAGTCGGAGAGGTTTAGTCGCCTGCATTGGAATGCCCATCGAGCCAAACTCATCGGACTCAGAAGTATCATGAGATGAGGATCTAGATAATTCAGGATGGCTAAAATTGGCATAGTCGAAACTGGCGTAAGATGGAGGCTGGCTGTAAGTTGCCGTGAGAGAGTCTGAACCATAGGCAAGATCAAATGTGGACCAGTCGACGGACGGGGGTCCGAGGCTGGCAGCCTCAGCTGTCAAATCGGCATCTGGAAAATAAAGGCCTGTCCACTGTTGCAGATAATCAAACGCTGGAGACGGTAAGCTTGCTTGATCGAAGGTGGAGTATGGCATCTCTAGCGGAGCTTGAGTGTTCAAGCCGGCAAGACCGAGAACTGGTGAGCCGTGTTCAGACCTAGCCCGGCGAGGATGGCGGGGTGCGCTTGTTATGGAGTCATGAGCCGGGACACTGCTTGAAATCCCCAGGTCTTCCGGTAAAGGAAGGTTGTCCGCAGAGCGACGGGCAAACTCGACAGGGGACTGGATTGTGTGCGATCTGGGCATAGGATACGGGTGAGCACGCTTGCTTGTGTTGTTGTGCTTCACTTTGGGGCGATGCGACACAATCGAGGATTCAATTTTCGCATTCGAAACAGACTGGTTGACCTGGAAGTTAGTCTTCTGGCTAGGAGCAGGTCCGACTTCGGGTACGGTGGCCAGGTTGGAGTCTCGTTTGGCGGAGCAGACACAGCGACTGCCATGGCTACAACAGCACTGTTTGCGGTTTCCTATAAATTTAACGGTTAGCAAACATCAAACGCGTAACCAAGTCAATCTGCTTACCCTTCTCTGCTGGCCCGTTTTTACACTCGCCTTTAGTGTGCGGTTTCTCAGCGCATTGACAGCTGACGTGGCTTGCTCGAGACTTCCGTAAACCCCGACAATGCGGACACTGCGACACGGGACGACCTTTTCTATTGATGTGACTTAACGGTCGATCTAATGGAGAGATTAGCTTTTGATATTTTTCTTTTGAAATGGGGGAATGCGCGACAGCACTTACCATGGTGCTGACAGCTGCTCACGCGATGACCCCGAATACACGCATCGCAGGCATACTTCTCGCCATTTATCAGCATCTCTGAAGGATTTGGGCGTCCAAGGAAACGAATAGGGCACTGTAGTGGGAACTGGGACAGGGGTATGGCTGCACGTGAGTTGCAGGGAGACTGATGGCAACGACGGAGGACGATGGAAAGGCAATTCGCGGCTGTCGACCCTACAGCACCATGACGCTAATTCTTCCTTATGCAGACAAGCAGGAGGACGGGGCGAAAGGCTCTAGGACGAAGCGGGAGAGAGGAGGGGCTATAAGGGAGGAATCATCGGGACTTCTGGCGGGAGGTTGTGGCTGTAGAGCGAAGAGGAGCGAGCAAGACACAGCGGCAGGGAGACGGTGGCAGAGACGGGAAAAGACGAGCAGAGACGGGGCGCACAGGATGTCATATAAGAAGCCTGGAGTGGAGAGGGCAACGGTGAGTAGAGCGTTGTCGGCGACATTCGAAGCGAGGATGGATGACGGGAGGTTAAAATAAGAAAGGTTGTGCTGACTTGCAGCTGCGAAACTAAGTTCTTAGCTAACTAAGTTAACTAAAGTTGGCGCCCAGCCTAAACCGCATCGAACTAGACGCCCCCTCTTGCTTGCGATCGCTTCCGGTGATGATGGCGGTCGTTGTTTTGAAACCTTCCACGAGCCAGGGACGCACTCTAATAATTGACCCTTATCGCTGTGGATGATTGTGGTCAACAAAGAACCGTCGCCGTGGAATCTTCAATCGACTGGATCGATTCTTCATCCCTCGTCCAATGTTGCGTTGCTTGACTCGGCCTGCTGCCGTATGATACACCGCAACAGTCGACGACGAAGAGGTGCGCACCAGCTGGAGAGAATCGCACGTGGATGTGCTGCTTTCAGAGTGTTCTCGACACGTCAAAAGTTGGGCTTTTGTTTTCTTTTCGCAAGCCCGCCCTTCTCACTTCTAACTGGCGAATCCGGTCGCTTTCCGCGCGTGAGGGCTCTGGGCAAGGCAAAGCGTTGGGCTGTTTTTTATTTTTTCAAATTAAAATCAAAATACAACCTCGTCTGCCCGCCAACCCCTGCCATTCATAATTCGAGAGCAGTTTCCTGCAAGTTCCTTGGCATCGGTGCGCAGTCTTTCATGGCGAGATACCCCTCTGGACGTGCAGCTTCCCCTCGATCCTGCCTCTCATCACCAGCCAATTTTCTAGAAAGATTCGCCAGCGCTTCTTCTTTCGGCCGCGCTGGAGCCATCATGCAGATCTGCGCTTGACCCAATGCGTCTGTTTTAAAAAGTCATCGAGACTCCAATCCGCCCTCACCGATCACGCCATTGGACCGTTGGAACTAGATACTCCGTTACGATGAAGGGCCCTGTCCTTTTTAGCCTTTGCTAGGATTGAGCATCACCGTTTCGCCGCCCTTCATCCGACCTTCAGAAAGGTTTGGGCGTGAAGATCATCTTCTGTGGCTCCCTGAAAGTTGCTTGGAAAAGGGCCCCTTCGAACCCTCAATGAAAAGTTGAAACACGCCGGTTCGGGTTAGAGGCTGGGGCTTTTGGCTCGCCACAATAATGAATAAATCCTTACTACGATGAAGGCTCCACGTATCAAGATGAATAATGATCGTGGCGCCAGGCGTGAGATGGGACTCGCCAGTTTGATGCTTTGAGCACGAGAGTTTACGTTGGTCCGCCATATCCTTGTGGATATCATCTCTTCGTTCTCGAGGGCCAGGAACCAACCTAGCTTGCTAGAATTCTGACGGTGAGCGGTGGTTGGTGGCAACAATATTCCGACCCCACATCATGTCGGTGCATCGCCGGGCAGCTGAGCAGAGGACGGTTATGAGGAGCATTTGAACAGATTCCCCTCAGGTGCTGTCATGCAATTTGACACAGATCGACCGCAGCAAAGTGGTTGCACAATCCTCTATGCTAACCTGCACGTTGATCACCCATTTTTTCGCCCACATACCAAGCAATCATGTTTGAGAACTCTACACGTTCAAGGTCAGTTGCCAAAGTCGGGAGAATCCGAGTTATGCGAAGCAATTCAGGCGGTGGAGAGTCGCGGAGATGAAGGGGTCTATCATTCACGGACCAACGAGTCATTTAGACATCCCCGGCTAATCAAAACTGACAATGGCCCGAAACAACATCAACCTTGGGTAGAGAAGTAGTACGAACATGTTCATCCAAAACATATACGATAGAGTAACATCAAACGATCGTCTCCGCACCACGTCGATGTAGCCTTTTGGTCTACTCCCCTCCCTCGGAGGTTTGCGATTTCGGCTTCTCGGTGAACAAGCAAAATCGATTTTCCAGTCCGTTTGGAACCCCAGAGCAAATGCCGTGCGCTTATACTTTCCACAGACACTTTTCCCACACGCTCTCTGCGGTGTACAGTCACACAAGCCTCAAGCGTGGGACAATTCTCCGACCATGCACTACTCGAGGCCAAACTGCTTTGCTCTGTGGTGATCAACGCCGGTAAGCTCACGGTCCAACCCGGCTACGTCATTGGGTCCCACTTGGTGCCGGCCACCGCATCCATTACATAATAAGCACTGTTTCGAATGTTCTACCAAGCCTTCTAGTGGATTTCCTAAAACGGACGTCAAAATTGGTGGCGGGCTTTTCCAATCGTGACTATTTGTATTGTTATTATTCTTGTTTTGATTGCAAAATGCCTAGCAAGGGTGAATTCACAGTGGGGATTCCCAAGCTCTACGGCAGAAAGGCCAAGCTCGAGAGTTTGGGTTGAATTTGAAATCACAAGTTAACCTTCCAATGCATCAGCTATGTTTTGCAAACAAAGAAATAAACAGCACTCTGCGAAGAAGGTTTAGAAATTTCTGCATGATCCAGGAACCTGGGACACGGCCCAGAAGGTATTTGCATTTCATGGGGGAGAAGTTGAAGGCGTAATCTCCGGAATAGGTATGAATGCCATTGTTCAAAGGTTTTGATACGGGAGCAAGAATCTATAATGAGCCAGTCATTGGCTAAATCTTGAGTATAAAGTTTAGCTCTTCAATCTAGAATCTCGCCCTAACGCATATCGATCTCCTTGAACATGGTCATCAGGTCATGGGAAAGGTCAATCCGGGATTTGTCCGTGATCAAGGCTTGAGGTGGCGTCCACTTGACCTGGAGAAACTGTCAAGCCACTTGCTATTTTTAATTCTTTACCGCTACTCTTCTGTCCTTCAATTCGATGGTCCAGGGCTTATATTGCCCGAAGGAAAGGCTTGGTGCACCCTATAAGGCTTGGGGAAACACAATCAGGATAACTTCGTTGTTTGATTCGGGGAGTTTCTTGGACAAAGTTTAGTGGCTAAATCGACGTTTTTGGAATAGGACGGCACGGAAACGCCAGCAAAACCGAGAAGGGGTTCGACTGATGAATTGAAGGTTCGATTCGACAGCCGGCCAGAGGGGCGATTGCTAATTGCTTTTGCCGGGGTTGGAGAGGGGCTCGTCAAACGCGCCAACCCTAATCCATAAAAGATCACGTCTCCTACTGAAAAAAACTCTTTTCTTGGCAAAGATTTAAGCACGTAGATCGTTTACCCTAGTCTCCGATATCGTATCGAGCTTCTTGGCCGTTCTGGAAGGCAAAAGATGCGGGCTTTCGAGAGAACGTCACCATAATGTTGGCAAGATCCAACATTCAGATGTTGCTAAGACCCAAGGCACCGCGATATTATTGCGGGATGGAAAACCAAAGCCATTGATTCCTCCAGTGCGGGTGCAAGTATTTGACTCGTGGGCCAAAGCACGCTTGAGCAGTCCGGTTGTTCATACAACTCCTTGGGCCCTCCTTTGTTCAGCATGCACTGTTGATGTGATCTCCTCGCCCGGGAAAAGCGGGATCATATCAACACAGGATTGAGACCAAGGCAGAGTCGGTTGGCCAGTTCTTTCCCCCTAACAGTGGCAATAATAATCCCTCATTGCTGCAAAGCGGTCATAGAGCTGTGGGGAGATGTGAAACAAATCACCCTTGTCATATGAAAGCAGCTAAATTCCTGTTCCTGACGCCAAGGTGTCTGATGAAGATGCGCCGCTTGATGGAGGACCGGGCCTGAGGTTGAATGCGCGAATGTTGATCAATGCCCAAAAGGCCTGGCACGCAGCTTTGCTAGCAGATTCAAACTAGAAACCGGGATATGCAGCTCTCAGGGCCCACATTTTGAGGACGAAGCCCAAACGACCTGCTTTGCACCCTGTACTAGTATATTGTACATACATACTAGTATACGGGATCAGGGGATCTTTGGGCTGATGGGATATCCGCCTGTGCCACCCAGCAGGCAACAGCCCGAGGGTATTTTGAAAGACTTAATTGCGCATCGTGTAATTATACGAGGAAATGAGCCCTCAGCTCACCCGGCATTTGGACACTTACCGGACGTTGTCGTTGTTATCTGTCACCCTGGGTCTAAAGGCAAGCACTTTATGGGAAGTGAAAGCGGACCTTCGTTGTTCCGCACCGGATCATGTGACCATTACTGCATCATGTGATCTTACTAAGCGAGCCTTTCCGCTTTCGGCGATGCTCGCAACAAAACCGCAAAATCGCCATCAAAACTCGGCTCCTCAATTATTCCGCAACGCTTCGAGATTTCGACTTCCCGCATAAAACAATACCCGTTCTCCGTGTCCCCAAGGAATGCAATCATCGTCGATCTAAATAATCGTCGTCGTTGGAACTGTTCAGTGTCGCCAGGTCGACGCGCTGGGTTCGGGCTTGTTGCTCCTGGCAAAGTTCGTCGCCTCCCCTTCCTCGATCGCGTTTTTCACTCGCCTGCACACATGCCCCCCTAACTAACCTGCTCGTTCCACTGTTTCTATCATGTCTGAACGCGTCCCAACTGAGCAAGCCACTCAGGAACAAGGCCCGATTGCACCACAACCTCACCATACCGGCATCATCAAGTCTGAACCAGCCGCCATGGCCTCCCGCGACCATGGAGAAATGCCCCAGGCCCCCTCGTACCCATCCCCCAGCTCGGCGCAAGTCAGCCAAGGGCCCGTGTCGTACTATACCAACCAGCGACAATTGACTGCGGAGGAATTGCATCTTTCGGCGGAATTGTCTCGCGAAGTGTCGGCCGCGAACATAAATGACAACCCCGCCAATGGCATTAGTCAGGGCCAGCCCATGGTCTTAGGGTCTCCGAACCCCAACCCTGCAGCTGTCAACCGCGGAGACTCTACCGATCAGCAGCCCCCGGCACAGCAGCACCTTGTTCAATTTACTCCCAACCAGCAAACCGGAGTGGATCCTAATCATGACCTTAGCTACGGGGACCAGAGCGCCAGGCGCAAGCGGACCAAAGTCTCCAGGGCATGTGATGAGTGTCGCCGCAAGAAGGTAGAGCTGGCCGCCTTTGATTCATATCGAACTCTCTCGGCTAATCAGTTTGATGCAGGTCCGTTGCGATGCCACCTCGGAATCCGGAGTAGATATGTGTTCAAATTGCCGTCGAACTAGCTCAACATGTGAGTTTAGCAGGGTGCCAATGAAAAGGGGCCCAAGCAAAGGGTACAGAACCAAGTTCTTTGTCTTTTTGTAATCTCTTCCATCATTCATTGCTTTGCTAATCACACGGATATTAGGTACATCAAAGAACTTGCCGATCGTATCAACAGTCTGGAAAGTCAGATACACCCTAGCATCAGCGGACAGCATGATGTGCAATATCAAGCATTAAATGAAGAAGCATCTCCTCCTGTGCGTGGCTACCAGGAGTTTTCTCCTACTGTTGACAATAACCTTCTTCCAAGAAAACGGACGTTTTCTATGACAGAGGGAGCTGTATTGGGGTTGCCAATACACCAGGGAGCTAGACAGCCATCGGTTGGTGGCTGGCCTGCACAGTCACAAACTAAAGACGCGCATCCCGATGCTATGGCAAACTTAGAGGTATATGCTTCCCAAAATGGAGCCGCCAGGGTTGCACAACCCTTCTGGTCTCATGGCCCGTTGCCAACTGGTGCCGAGCCAGGGGAGGAGGCAGTGCCTGTAGCGATAGATGAGAAAGTTCTTGATACGTGAGTTCTTGTCCCTTCATTAGTTTTCAAAACGTTTTCGGTACTCACTGTCCCTAGTTATTACAATCATATTCACACGATATTCCCGATTTTGCCGGCTTCCAGGGACCAGCTTCGTAGCAATCTCCGACAGGCGAACCGTGAGATCCAAGAGGTTTTCCTCCACTCATTACTTGCGGTTACCGGAGCAGGTTCCTTCCGCGCTGAAAACCAATTTCAGGAGATTCCAACTTTCGAGAAGGCCCAAGACCGATTATACGACTGGTTCCGGGGAGATCCTTCCTCGCGACCACTCGCCGCTAATTTTGTGCTCCTTCACAGTATTATACTCATGATACTAGAGGCAGACCAGCGTGGTCGGGAAAATTTCCGTGGGCAAAGTGGTATTTCGAAAGCCACCCTCGTGGAAGGGGGTGTGTCTCTTGGGTTTTATATTGCGAAGCCGCTCGGTCAACTCGATATCAGCAATCCAGATGACAAGGATATTGATTCGGATGGAAATTTGGCTCGACGCAACTGGATTGTTGTCGGCATTTTAGCTCGTTGGCATATGATGAGCACTGCTGGCCCCGACTTTTTTGGTAATCATGACATTGCTACGTATGAGGACACCAACATAATCAACCTGGCTACGATGCAACTTGCTCGTAAGTATTTTACCTGTAAATTCCAGCAAAACCAACGCCTAACTCTGATATTACAGGGTACTCAACTCTATTCACCGAACTTTATGACATCTTCTCGGAGTCGTTGAACAATCCCACTTACGGTCTTTCCCGCGCGTTCAAAAGGGTCATCACCGGCCAACTTACCCGTATCAGGGACATTGAACGGCTCGACTTCACCAACACTGACGCCGCTACCGTCAATACTGTCGAAAGCTTTTCTCCGCTTGTTTACTGGAGTATCCACCTCCTACTTAAGCGTCATCTTTATATCTACGTCCCCGCCGAACTCATCTATCCGTCACAAGTCATCATTGAAATTATAAAGAAGCAAGCTGAGAACGCCACTCCGATATCCTCGCCATTTCACTTCCATTTCCTCGCGCTTGCCGTTATCACTCTTCTGGAACTGACGGATATACCCGAGCTTGTGAATGACACCCAAGAGATCCTCGAAAAGGCATTAGCCGCTATTTCTCTTCGTGAGAAACATGCCGCAACTGCAGGCGAATTCGAGAATATTTTTGCGACTCAGAGCTGGGAAAATACGATTCGGCTTTTCATCGAAGCTAGGATGAACCAACTGCGACAGGAACGGGTTGGAAATCAGATTTCTGGAAACCATCAGCCTCTCGGCCCCACTGAACAGCGGTCTCTACAACATCTTGCTGATTTGGCCGTTGGGGCTGGCGGCAAAGCTGGAAATGCTTCTTCGCCGCGTTCCGCGCCGCCTGGAAACCTGGCTGCTGAAAACAAAGAGCCCACACTACCTGTAGCACCGGGTCTCGAGGAGCAAAAGGAAGATTACCCTATTTTTATTGATTTCACGGAGTTGACCAAGAAAGGTTATTTGAATGTCCTAGCAGGAATGTCCACATAGCACCGCATACTTTACTACCTCTCTGCTACGTTCTGAGAAACTGTAATTTTTTGGGAGTTGAATGAAATAATCAGCTGAAAAAACCTCATTTCGATGACCATGGAGAAAAATACAGAATAAGAAAACCCCTTATTCAAGACTTTTTCAGCAGGGCGTTTTGCTTTGGGAAATGGCTCAGAACCAGTAACCTGCCTGGCGTTTGGATTTGGAGGATTGTTTGCATTTTCCCCTCCGTCTCTATTTGGGCGCGTTGGTCTCGGAACAACTTGACCTATGAGTACTGTACAGCATCAGTAGCAAAATTGGCCAATGGATTTCACCAAGTTCATACTAGCAATACCTCCTCTCTTATGGTGTGCCGCGTCGCGTATCTGGGCATATTTGTTTTTCTCAACATCAATAATCCAGAGAAGCAGCAGGGATCACTGGTACGATACAATATTCTATTCAAGAATGATGTCTAGCAACCGTGGATCATCCAGAAGTATGGATTTGAACTGGGTATTCCGTTTTTATTATGCCGTTCACTCGTCGTCTTCCTCTTCCTCTTCCTCCTCTTCTTCTTCCAGCGCTTCGGCATCAGCCATCTCCTCATCCCCGTCATCGTCAATGGTCACAACCCTTGCGCTCGGGACTCCACTTAACCACCTAGGCGGTGAATCAACCTTTTCGAGCTTGACCTTTACAGGTTTACTCTCCTTCGTATCAATAGCCATGTCTTGATCGTCTTCCTCCTCGTCAACAGCTTCTGCGTTATTTGCTTCTTCTTCATCCATCGCAGCAGTCTCCAGGGCTCGTCGAACTCTTCTTAGTAGCACGGGATCGTGGCGTAAATATTGAAGAGCAAGCTGAGCAGAACAGACGGGACACTTTATGCACCTGACCCGCCGTCGACCATTGTTCGTGTTGGGGAGTGGTACGAGCATAGTTTCGGTACTGCGACTGATCATATCTTCGATCGCTGTGCGCTCGAAACTGTGTGGGCACTTGGTGCTGGTGACGGGATCTTTGAAAGGAAGAAGCGTTATTGGGCAGCGGATTGAGAGACGTTCCCGCTCGATAGCAACGTCATCATCGGGATTTCCAGCCGCACTCCCCCTTTCCTGCCTGGCAGGTCGGGATGACGACCCGGCGGTTTCCGGGGTTTCTATGTGGCTCAACCAAGTTGAAGGGTGCGGTAGGGGGGTGATATCGTCTCCAAGGTGCTTCGAATCGTGCACAATGCGATAAAAACCAATGTAGGCATTGTTGGTTGTGTATCTATTTGTTCTACGTTTAGTGCGATGGATTAAGCCAAGAGTGTCAGACTATACCGTTGTGTAAGGGAAAGGTTTTCCCATTGGGCCTGCCGCTCCTTCAGTTGATTCCCTATATGTTCGGTTGCCGGTAAAACCTCCTCCACTGCTCCGCCCTGGACAGCAGTATTGTTCCCATCAGCATTGTTGCGGTCTTCGCCATCGTCATCGTCCCCGCGTCTTCTCCTGCTGGCCCTGAGATTTCGCCCCCTTTGCGCACCGGGTCTGTCCCCTTCCTGTATCTGACACATCTCTGAGAGTATCTCTTTCAGGGCATTCGCTCTGACTTCAGAGTCCACCAGCCGTCTCATCTCCTCCTCCAATTTTTTCGTAGTGACATCCACCCTCATTTCCAAGTCCTCGATGTGGTTACCGTCCGGCTCGTCGTCTGCTGCGGTTCGGTCGTCATCACCGTCACCGTCTTCATTGGCTTTTTCCTCCTCTCGCTTCCGCTTCTGTCTTTCGTATCTCCCCTTCGCATCGGCCAGTGCATCATTAACCTCACCCGCTGTACTAGTCAGAGCTTCTGCGAGGCGCCGTAAATGGAGGTCGAAGTTGGCAAATTCCTCCGACTGTAGAATCTCCTGAATCTCTACGTTGGCTTCGTCATCCAGCGGGTAAGTCTGCCGTTCATAGTTTGGGATGACTATCTCCTCGCCGGAAGACATCTCTGCCTCTACGTCAGGTTCGGCACGCTGTCTCCCGGAGCGTCGACGCGAAGATGTCGCCATCGCCATGCTTGTTTCAATCGGTCAAGTCCGCCTTCAAAGAGTCCTTTCCAGGCCGTGTTCACATTTCAATTTGACGCGACGCGATTGATGTCGCGCGAATCTGCTAATAATCTTAGTTGCTTAGTCACAGTTCGAGTTTGCACTGTTTGCAAGTGACATGCTTAGTCAGATTCGTTATAAATCTTGGCATGTTTTTGTTGTCTCAAGGAGACGATCAGGAGGACGAGAACAAACAGTCAATGCGGACGATTAGAGAACGGACGGGAGAGACTTTAGCTTGGGTAATGCTCTCATTGGGTCGCCGCACCCTACAAGGCTGGCTTGTTTCTCGCTTTGCTGGACCCTATTAAGATTGCGAGCCAAGCACAACACTCAGATATCGCCAGAAGGAAGAGCCAGTGGTCCTACATCTCGGCGACGAGAAAAGAAAACCGTTTGATCAGCGCAGAGATAGTTTTCCAACCCGAGAGATAAGGAATGATATTCAGTGTTTTTTGCCTAAATCAACAAGCATCAGAGGGCTTTGGTAGTCGGAGATACGCCGTAATAGAATTGGACTCCTGCAACCTGGGGATGAAAACAGCCTGCGAGATCCCGGTCTGAAACTGCCTGTTATTCACCGTTTCATTTCTTTTGCAGCCCAGAGCCTGAGCCTTTGCTTGTGTTTGCTGGGCATCCGTGCGACCTTGAGACCTCAGCGCCAACAAGGGCCACGTGACCTTGCCTGAACGCCTCCTTACCCCAGAGTCCCAGACCACAAGCCATCGCTGGCGCATGGAAGCCATGTGCAACGGTGCAAGGAGCCAGATATGCATAATGTGCCGTTGAGCTTATTTGCGAACTGGGAACCGAATACGTGCTTCTCAAGGGACACACCGACTCTGGCGGATGCGTTATTGGCTGGCTCTGAGAGAGCGGTCACCTAAATAAGGATCCTCTGCCGTCCTCCATCACCAGCACGGCTCCAAGCTCTGTTGCCTCCGTGGCCAAAGCTTGGCTAGAACGAGAGCGTTAAGATGCTTTTCAAGGTCTAAGATTAGGTCTGCTCAGCTCTCCCCAGCCTGGGCGCATGTCAGGGATCTCTCACCTCTTTTCGTGATCTTCCACCATCAAGGTTTGCGATTGCGACATCAGGCTCCCAACTTCAAATCATCGAATGCTCCAGCTAACGTGCCCAGACAGTCGATCCCCTGGATCACAGCCAATCAGTGCCAAACTGTTCTGCGGATGCTTTGGAAAGTTTACCGCAGGGACATGGCTTCCATCCCCACAGATAATGCACTCTCGCTTCAGGCCTTTTTACTCACATCTCAACCCCCCCCCTTAAGCTTCTAGGCGGATTTCTTCCCTGGCTCCCGTAAAAGTGACCCTCCGGACGAGTTCCGGTGGCCTATTATCCCACCGCAGAGGCTGCACGCACCTCCCGCTTTTTGTTGACAAGAGAAAAAGCATAGAACTCTGCGCCCGGATTTCGCCTGGATTCCAATGAGATACTTTCATCTACTAGAATGGGAAGAACAAAACATCATCGGAATAAAGCTTAGAGCCAAGCTCCTGGCGGATTCTTCACACCGCAGCTCCGCCAAGTTTTGACGACATGGTTCCAGGGAATTGCGTTGAGAGCTCCCCAGGTGTTTTTTGCTCACCTCCCAAGACAACAAAGAAGGGGCCTCATTTTGGAACTCCACTATTGGCTTGAGACGTCTTCTGAGCCTGTTCTCTGAATCTCCTTTTCTTCGCCTCGCGGGTCAGACCCCGGCATATGTGATATATAAATTTGCTGTGGCCCGCTCAATATCAGAGAGTTTTCCATCACCAAGGACATACTCACAATGGTGGCATCCCGAACTGGTCGAGCTCTCGCCGGCGTCCTCGGTATCAATGTTGACTACCGCCAGGAACCCGAAGACACCTTTCGTTCTGCAGCAAAGTCCATTTCGTCTGTCGACACGTTCGTTGAAAATGAGCCAACGACGGCTGAATGGATTTTGAATCATCGTCCTACTGCCGGCGGTACGAAAAGATACATCCGAAGTCTATTTCCATTTCTGTCGTGGATATTCCACTACAATGTTCAGTGGATGCTTGGAGATATCATAGCGGGTCAGTATAAATCTAATTTTACCTCGTATGACTGTTCCTAATAGCTCCCAGGTACCACGGTTGGATTTGTGGTCGTCCCACAAGGGATGGCATATGCACTTCTCGCTCGACTGCCACCGGAATACGGGCTGTATACGTCTTTCGTCGGTTTCTTGCTGTACTGGGCGTTTGCGACTTCAAAGGACATCACGATTGGGGTAAATCCTATTCAACATTCATTTGCATGCAGCTATATGCTAACAGACTATGTAGGCGGTCGCCGTGATGTCGACGATTGTCGGGAACATAGTCATCAAAGTGCAAAGAGTCCACCCCGATATCCCCGCCGAGCAGATTGCCCGGGGCCTGTCCATCATCTGTGGAGGCGTCCTTTGTTTCATTGGCCTTATCAGATGCGGCTGGATCGTCGAATTCATCCCTCTGGTAACGATCACGTCGTTTATGACGGGCGCAGCAATATCCATCGCCGTGGGTCAAGTGCCTTCGATGATGGGGATTGAAGGCGTCAGCACACGAGAAGCAGCGTACAAGGTGATCATTAACACCCTGAAAAATCTCCCAAACACTCAACTCGATGCCGCCTTGGGGTTGAGCGCGCTTGTTTTGCTGTACTTCATTCGATGGTTCTGCGGATTCATGTCCGACAAACAGCCAAACAGGAAGAAAATGTGGTTTTTCATATCCACCCTCAGAATGGCTTTCATTATCCTGCTCTATACCATGATAAGTTGGCTGGTCAACCGAAATATTTCAGACCAGAAGGATGCGAAATTCAGGATTCTAGGAACAGTCCCTAAAGGTAAGGATTCTACAACTCGATATCCCTGGTGCTTTGGCTGACTGTATTTGAACAGGATTTCAGCACGCTGGTGTTCCACATATGGACACTCGGCTAGTCTCATCTTTTGCTTCTGATCTTCCCGCAAGCATCATCGTTCTTATCATTGAGCATATTGCCATCTCCAAGTCCTTTGGAAGGGTTAACAACTATGTCATTGATCCCTCACAAGAACTCGTTGCCATTGGCTTTACGAACTTGTTAGGCCCATTTCTAGGTGGTTACCCGGCTACCGGTTCATTCTCGCGAACAGCCATTAAAGCGAAAGCCGGAGTCCGAACTCCCCTTGCTGGCATGTTTACAGCTGTCATTGTGCTACTAGCTTTATACGCTTTGACATCGGTTTTCTTCTACATCCCAATGGGCACTCTATCTGGACTAATTATACATGCTGTTGGTGATTTGATCACTCCGCCCAATGTCGTCTACCAGTTCTGGGAAATTTCACCAGTCGAAGTGATCATCTTCTTCTGTGGTGTCTTGGTGACTGTTTTCACCCAGATCGAAAACGGTATCTACGCCACTATTGGGGCTTCTGCTGCCGTCCTTTTGTATCGAACCGCCAGAGCCAAAGGAAATTTCTTGGGAAGAGTTAGCGTCTATCGCGTCACTCATGACAACTTCCATCGCAGGGATGACAGCAAGATAACCAAAGAGGATCCTACATGGTCTGTTAGAGAAGCATTCATTCCGTTGGACCATCAAGATGGTTCCAATCCTTTGATCGAGGCCCAAACACCATACCCCGGAATCTTTATTTATCGATTCAACGAAGGGTTCAATTACCCAAATCAAGCTCGCTACCTCGATACACTTACGGCATTCATTTTCAAAGAGACACGGCGTACGCAGCTTGAAAGATACGATAAGCTAGGAGTAAGACCATCTAAGCGACTCTTTGTTTGTTTTCTTTATCTAATATACTGTTTCTGTTCAGGACCGACCATGGAATGACCCTGGGCCCCGAAATGGAGCACAGATCAACCTCGACGACAACCGCCCAATCCTCCGCGCAGTAGTCCTCGATTTTGCCGCCGTCAACAACGTCGACGTAACATCTGTCCAAGGCCTGATCGACATTCGAAACCAGCTTGACCGCCACGCTGCCCCCGAAGTAGTTGAATGGCATTTTGCCAATGTCAATAGCCGGTGGACGAAACGTGCGCTCGCAGCAGCTGGTTTTGGTTATCCGACCTCTGTATCTCCAGAGTCCCTGGGCAACTGGAAACCTATCTTCAGTGTCGCTGCGCTCTCGGGGGCCGAGGAGTCTGTGACCAAGGCCCGTAAGTCGAAGAACGGTGATATCGAGACAAACACGGAAGAGATAGAAATCTACGCCGGTGACCAAAAGGAAATGTTGCAAATTCCAAAGAGGATTGCCAATGTTCATGGTATTAACCGCCCATTCTTCCATATGGACGTGCAAGCTGCTGTTGAAAGCGCGATTTTGAACGCTGAGAACAGGAGCGCAGCTCGTGCTCTGAGCACCGATGCATGAGAAGTGGCGAAACAGTGAGGCGTTAATATTTGGGTATTAGGATTTTTCGGGAATTTGTGTCCATGGCAGTGCAAGCCTTCTTTTTAACTCTTTTTCTGGGAAACATTATTTATAGCGAGCTAGACTTCCAGTCATTTTTACATATTTGGGAAACACAGGCACAGGGAAAGATCCTGTTTACGGGTAACAGAAATTGATACCGTTTTTGAGTCACAGCATCTCGTTTACACCTTATAAAAGCAGAACGCATGATACAGGCCTAACATCAGGGTCAGTTTGTGGTGTGTCCAACCATAGAGGAGGCACGCGAAATACGTACTTGCAGCTTCAAGCTCTTCCTCATTGACCATCAAAGTCCCATCTCTTGACCGGACACCCATGCGTTCACTCAGGGGACCGAGTATGGGGGTCATCTTTTTCTTCTTCCCATACGTCAAGAAATGGTTTGCGGTACTGCAATTCCAGGTTGTAATCTTGAGTCAGACTGAAATAAAGAGATATTAGCCGGGACGGAAACGACGGAAAAGGGGGCTTTATTTAGAAATATAAACGGGTAAATCTCACGCTCGAAATGCCTCCCAAGGCACCACATACTCCGGAACCTCTTCGACCGCTTCTTCCATGAAGTAACTGTACTTCCAGCCAAATGCCGGTCGAAATACTCCATCTTCGGGAGTCTCGCCGGGGAATCTCACACGGTAGATACTATTTCCCCATTCCAACGCATCATCCGCATCTTTTCCTTCTTGCTTACCGTTGGTGTCCTCCGTCCCCGTTGCAGCCAATGTTTCCTTGCGTTTCTTGTGGAACTCAGCTACTTTGGCACTGAGAACGTCCGAATTTGGTCCGACACCGAGGAATCTGCCACCCTTCTTGAGCGCCCCTGCAACATTCTGTAGCATTTGCCTTGCTTTCTCTTCGCTTTCAAACGCGTAGTGCATAGTAAACATTGAAGCCACGATGTCAAACCCGCCGCCGCCCCAACGAGAACTCATTAGCGATCCATTGGGGCCAATGTTACCATCAATACCAACACGTTGAATGATAGATAGGTCGCCAAGCCATTCGCCAAAACAGTCCTTTGGATGAAACTCGGCGTGGTAAAGAGGGTGACCTCTCCGCCGCCTTCTATCGTTTCTCATACCGTTGTATCGGTCTCTAGCCTGGTTGATAGACACTTCTGCAGGGTCCAGGCCAACATAGAGCTCAATAGGCTGCGGTGCTTGCTGCCACTTCCCCAAATCACCACCTTTACCGCATCCGACGTCGAGCACAATTAACCTCTTTTCTTCCTCCCCCGATCCTGCAGTCCAACCGTTACCGGTATTACTGGCCAAGAATTCTTCATCTGGTGAGAACTTTTGAATAATCGTACTCTTAACCCAATTGTTGAAACTTCGAAGTCCCTTGATCTTGCTATCCGTCTTCCTCCATTCTCTTCCTCGCTCTGGCACGGCATTGTAATGCTGTCGAACCACGTCATGCACTCCACGGTCACGCAGTTCCCTTTGCGCCTCTTCTTGTCGTTGCCGTTCTCTTTCTTCCTGCTTCCGCCTCAAAGCCTCGACGTTTGCAGCATTGACGCGTGCTCCGCCGCCTGGTCGCTTGCGCTGGCGCACAGGGGCAGCAGGGGAAGGTGAACGGATTGGTGATGGTGATCTGGGAAGCTGCGAAAGGGCATCATCTCGACGAGAGTAAGCGGATGGAGGAGTTTTCCCCCGCTTCCGATTCCTCTGAACGCGTTCCTGAACCCTTTTCCGTTTCGACCGGGGTTGATCTTTGTCAATTGTTGGATTCTCAGTCGGTTGGTCAACGGCCGGGAGTTTTCTCTTTTTGTCGCTATGCGTTCCCCCAGTTGGAGATTTCTCCGTTTGCGTTTGATTTGCGCTTTTGGCTGTCAGGGAACTAGGTGCTTCTGGCCGACTTGGAGACGTGCTTGCCTGGTGGATCGGAACGTCTTCGGAGGGTAAAGCAGAATTGTCCTTTTTCGAGGGCTCCATTGGATCTAGAGGCGAATTGTCTTGGAGGGCTATCGTAGGATTTTGAAAGTTGTTGGCAGCTGTGGTGGAACTCCTGGGAGATGGAAGTGCGCCCTTTGCGTCGACTGAAGTTAGCGCTATTCTCCACAATGGCTGAAAGCGCTGAAGAGTGTCACAATCTGCAAGACAAAAATAAACTACTTTTAAGATCAGGGACTCAGGGAGAGGGTCATGAAAACGGCCGCTAACATGAAGACCTGGTTGTTCTTCTTGTCATCGCAGCAACCAGCAGCAAAAGCTAATCACTGGCCTGTTGATAAACTTACACAAGTGTCTGAGTGGACTGGCGGATGCTCCTTTGCTTCTCTCTCCTGTGAGTCCTGGCCAGCCACTGACTTGTCTTGGCTGGACAATTGACTGGCATCCTGTGTGGAGTGTTTCGTTGCATTGTGAGCGAGTGATTCGTCAGATGCAGTGTAGCGATCCCGGGCCGGATCATACATGGTGGGAGCAGGTCGCTGGGACAGGGATAGTAGCTAATCACGACTTGAGGCCAACATCCGACAAAGTGAAGCAGTCCTTCAAAGACCTCTGAGACACGGTGAAGTTTCCAGTGCAGACACCCGATGTCAGCTTGAGTTCGCCTTGACGTTAAAAGTCTGGGGAGTTTGGAGATCTGCCTGTTTCGGCATAGCGCCCTTTCCTCAAGCCAAAACAGGAAGACGGACTGTCTCTACTAAAAAGGGACCACGGCTGAATTTATAGAAGATCAAACAATATCATTATCATTCATAAAGCTATTTTAACGATTCGCAAGAACGGGTATCTAGTTAGCGCTAAAATGTGTACGACGTCCAGCCAACCTTCATCAATAGCCAAAGCGCAAGCTCAAAAGCAATCATCTCGTCCACGACTTACGGAGGACCTTTGTTCTTCTTGGGCCCCTTGACCTGCAAAGCTTGCCTTACTCGTCGAAGCCTAGCCCACCACTCTCGATCCTTAGCCTTTCGTGCCTCGGCATCAACCTCCTTAGAATCCTGGTTCTCATCCTGATCATCCAACACAGAAGCTGTTGGCTCTGCGGACCATGTTTTTCGACGGTACAGGTTTCGTATCACCCGCTCCAGTATTTCCCAGCCTGCAGCTTGACCGGGCTTTTTCTGCGTTCCACTCTGCGTTGCTGCATTGATCCACGGGCAATAGTCAAGGTGTTCGTTTACCACGTCGAGGTTAGGGTAAATAGAAGACGACCCGTCTTCTTTAGGATTATACATCCAGAGACCAAGCCTTCTGAAACAGGCATTGCAACTTGCGAGTCCGGCGTGCATGTCTCCGCAGAGATCCCAGCCAAAAAGGGCGAGAGAAAGTGCTGGCTGGTTTATAGGCGTTTGTGTGGCCTGGCCTGCCTGACGACCTGTTTCACCTTCGACGTTTTGGAGGGACTCTTTTCCCGCATGTGTGCTTCCTGTTTGTAACTGGCTTGCAGATAGATCTTCCAATGGAATCATCTTTATCAATTCGTCCAAATTCATGTTTTCAGGAAGTACGATGCGCTCTCGAGCAGGTAACTTCTGAGCCAAGGAGCAAAGTTTGACATAGCGGTCCTTAAGTCCCTTTAACGCGTGGTCCGGTTTCGCCAAATCTAGTCGCTGGATGGTATCTATCTTGGTGTTAGTCTACTGGAAAACGGTATATAATCTCAGAACAGGCGTTACCATCACATCCAGCTTTGCGCCAAGGGCACTTTTCTCCGTGGCCTTCAACGATGAGATTTGCGTATTTTTCTACCAGCGCAGCTCCTGAATGATATATTAGTGTTATAATGCAACTGGAGCGTGGGAGATACCTACGAACTTGCTTTCGCTCTTCCATCTTCTCAGTGTCATATTCTTCCAATTCGTCGATTTCATCTGGTAATTTGACCACGACGGAATGGCCACATCCTCCAACACATTCCACCCTCATTACATCCACGCAGGACCAGCCTCGTTTTGCCCATTGTACCTCGTTGATATCATCTGGTTTTGGAGACCATCTGTCGACCCGACGAAATGTTTCCAGCCTTTCCAGAAATCGATCGCGATCCCAGGGGACAAAACTTGGACGCGCGGAGGACGTAGAAGACCGGCCGGCTAGAGGAGATTGGGAAGCGTGTACTGCTGTGTCATCAGGCTCTGAATTCGGCGTTAATCGAACCCGTTTTATAGTTGGATGGACGGATTTTGGGGTTGTAGCGGTGTTTTTTGAAGCTGCATGTGGTGCTTTTGGAGCAGTGTTATTACTAGAAAGAGATTCAAGAACCCGGTGAAACTTGCGCTTTTTTGAAGCCAGAGCATAGGACATCGTGTCAACTGCTGTTCATCAAGACTGAAGCCGATGCTCTAAGCTGTTCCTTTTCAACGCTGGAGCTCCGTCAAGTGGCTGACTAATCAAGGTCCCAACTTCAGTCTATAAAAAAGCACTCCGACTTTCAACGACGGTCCGCTACAGGACGGTCGGTGGCCCAGTTTCTTTTTTCATTCAATCATAAAGCGCAATTTGATTTCCGATTGTTGGGCGACGAGCCTGACTCCCAGCCGAATGGATATTGGGTTCAAGGTGACTAAACCGCAGAGGCGAGGTGGTCAAGCTCAGCACTGCACTTACAATAACCATAAAAGTGGTCAGAAGAGACAGAGCTCTATATCCAACTGTAGCCTTGAGAGGATCCGATCATGGAAATATGATGCTGTCATAAGGCCAGAAGAGCAAATCCCAGCTTTATTTCCAGAAGCAGGAAACGCCCATGAAGAGCACTGTTACAACAACAGAGGCCAACAATTGAACCAGCTTTCAAACGAAAGTACAATAACCCCTAGCCAGGATCTGGAATTCGGTGCTTCGTATGAGGTGCCTTCATATCAGATCTCGAATCCGGAAGATACTTATCAACCCGACCTGCCACTGGGACGTACAATCGAAGACGGAATTAACGGGAATCCCAGTCTTAGTTCTCCAAGTGCTTCGTCTAAACAACACAAACACGATGACATTTTAATTGACGAGACATCTCAGTACTGTCCATGCAGTAAGCATGGCTTTACTCCAGACCATACTCTCGATACATCCTTGTCAGAGGAGGATTACGCTATTGCTGACATTGATGATGCCGCTCTTGCAGCAATTGTAGATCAAGCTGAGCTATTATACTTCTCTCCACAGCAAACCCCTCCCAAACCTTCCTCAAAATTCAGACAGATTCGCCCATATTCGCATACGGCCGAGTTTGTTGAAGGACCTAGGCCCGCGGATAGCGGCCCGCAACTTCAGGTAACAGAGGCCCAATCACTTTAAAGACATCGGGAGAATAACACATATGCAATAAGTTCTCAGGACTGTTGAGCCCGTTGTCTCCGTTCCTGAGGCCTCCTCTCCCAAACGGCGTGACCAATATTAAGTCTCCCATTCAGGGATTGAACCCGAGCCCTATAATACGAACATGTTTTCGTATTAGCGAGGCACGCAAAGATGGCCTCTCCTCAAGTTCTTTCTCCGCTCACGAGCCTGGTGTCCCAGCAAGTTCGCCAACTCGACCGCCAATATTAATTGAACTCTATGCTTTTGTTGAAGGGTCGTATCGTCTCGGCGACCATCAATATTTCTATTTCACAGACTTGTTTTTTCCATCGCAAAAGCCCTGTTTGCTAGGAATATGGACGGGCTGGGTTGGTAACCCCGTTTATGAACAATGTAGCCGTGATTTTCTCGGCGTGGGTGGGAGGGAATGGGGAAATGGACGTCAGACTACGAACACAGGGAAACCGAGCAAGATAACCGAAAGAAAAATGTGTCGAGTGATTGGAGCTATCACTATTGTGAAGGACCTTTCTATTATGAACCATTACGCCCGTCTAGAAACGCTGCCTGCTTCTGGCACTCCCCAAAAAGCGTTACTAATGACAGTTCGGAGCATTCATAAAGCCGAGCGGTCTGACGTGGAATATATGAAAGGTCTCTTGGAGCCATAGAGGTCACCTACATGGTATCTTTCTGTTGAGCCATTGTATGTTGAAAAAATGATCACTTTACAGCACTTGGCACAACTGAATGGCTGATTTTACCTAGGTATGTAAATGGCATATCCGCGATGTTGCTATTTACAGGACGATGTGCAGTCCCGCGGCAATCCAAGGACACCATATGCTTTGAAACTTTACTTCCAGGCACTACATCTCCAGTCGAATGGAGAAATCCTCAAATCGGAAAGCGGCAATCATAAATCTAGCAGAACCTGCCACCCTCCCTTATCATTGCATCCGAATATAGTATTTTCAGCAAGACCCTGAGCATCCACTTTTTCTGAACGTCCCTGGGACTCTAAACTCACGAAGCCCATTGTTTTCGCCCTTTAAAGACGCGTCTATAACTAGGATGTGGTATAATCCCACGAAAAATTATATTGCTTTCTATTTACACAACTTACTTTTCGATGATGGATGTCCATTTTATAGATGAATCATACGGTACAGCTGACTTGCCCATCGAAAACAGGACTTCCAGCAGTCGGTGGGCTTATGGATTCTTAAATATATCCAAAGATCTAGTTACGGGGTTGCGAGTTTTTGCCATCGTCGAAGCAAGTTACATGTCTAGCTCTCTTGCTGTAATACCGCCTTGCAAGGTCGAAGCGCTGAACACCCTATGAGGTGCGTTTAGTGTCAAATTGGCCAGTGGTGGAGATAATGCTCGCCACATGATTCGCATTCTCGTTGAGCATTAATATGAAATAGAGCGTTAAAACTGTGATTCTCTCCTTGCTAGTGCGCGGTTCGCCTTGAATAGGATATCTGCCACGAGTATGTCTGTATGTACAATATATACATCAACATTAATAACAGCACTGTCCCCTAACATCTAGCATATCTAGCTCCGTAGTTATCCCGAAATACCTCCATTCAACCGAGAATCGCAAGCGGAAGATTCTAGGTGATCACGAGCAATTGTCAATATGTCTCCTCACGTTCTACTGGCTTTGCATATGCTTGCGTACCGCTTCCTCTTCCTCCTATTTCCACATTCTACTCAAAAACCACATTGCCGTGAGTATCGGGAAATAATGCAAAGCCAGGACGTAAGTCGATTCAACCTGTCCGGTAACTGGTTCTGAGGTGAAACTTGCCTCTCACCGTCGCTTCCAAATCCCAGCTTTTGGCCCACTTTCAATTCTTTCTAAATATGAGCAATACAACCACCAACACATCAGAGTTGGAATGGTCACATTTCCCTACTCCACGCTCCTGGAATGATGGCAATCATTACCCGCGGGGTATAGAGTATCCACGGCGTAGTTTGCTAGTTAGATTCTGGAGTCTAGAAGATCCAGACAGTCGCATAAATAAGTATCGATTGATTACTTGCGAGTCGAAGGTCCGGGAGCATTTGCCTCGCGGCGCTGGTATTTCCTCGGATCTAGCCCCAGATGGATATTCATCAGCATTTCAACTACTTGCCCAAAGCTCCTAGAGAAGCCCTGTACTCACCTTTTCGGCTCATAAGCTGCTTGTTTCTAGTTCCCTTTCCACCTTCCCAAAATCCGCTGGCTTGTTTACCTATTAGCATCGCGTGGCATATAGCGCAGGATTCCGGTCGATAAATTTGTTCACGAGAGCAGTAACCACTTTAGACAAGCGTTAGCTTTGCACGGAAAAAATAAGAAGTTAAGGGTTATCTACCAAATCATACGATTTGCATGTTCGTTGGGATGATCCGAGGCGGCATCATGACATCTGCAAAAAGGAATTGTTAGACAAAAATATAAAATTGGAGAAGGTTTCACTAACTTATCGCATGGAAAGACTTTGAGACAACAGCTAAACCTATTCTTTTCGTTAACATCGGGAGAATAGTGGCCATCGCCTTGGTGCTGCAAACAGCTTTGGTGAATTGCAAAGAAATACCTAAACCAACGGCAACTCTTGCCATAGTGGGCACAGCGGCCACGTCGAGGGAGCTCCTGGCCGGCAACAATGCCTAGCGACTCTCTGGGCTATATATCAAACCAATCAGTGATTAACCCAACAGAAGTAAGCTAAAAATATCTAAACAGAAAAGGGCGGGGAAGGGTTGTAAGCGCACTTTCTTGGGGGCACGTAAAGGACGAGCCGTCGATTCTATCGGGGTATGCATCAGTATAATTTCTAAAGAGCCTAGGTCCCAGCAGCAGAGTCGATACGTGGGCATCACATACCTTGAGCATTGCTCACCACTAGAAATTTGAGTTCCGGGATCTTAAAGTCTTCAAAAATATATTAGCTATACCCAAATGACAATGTCATCAAGGAGACAGTGGGTGTACCCATTTTATTATGACAACCACGGCAAATAATAGTACGAGAATCACCACGAACGGCCACGATCCCTGGCGACGGATATGTGGTTGAACATTGCGAACACGTTGGATAGAAATTACTGTTGATAGCATCACTTAGCAGAGACCACGGTTGACGGACGCAGATTTGTTAGAAATCTCTATGGACGGGTCGGGGGTTATCACCAACCTTGGAAGTAAATCAACTGCAGTACAGCCATTCAGGTGCAGGATACCAGCCCGATTAGAGTGATCATGCATCAATTCGCGACGGAAACCTGTTAAGAAAGTGTTAACTGAACCTAACATGCCAGTCTCATTTCGCAAAGCAGCACTACTTACCAATCGTTAGATAACTCGAACATTTGCCACATATCTGGACTCGCTCGGGCGGTACGCTGATACCGTTGTCTCCGATTTTCAATTTCTGCAAGTCATAAGTGTCCTTGCATCGCTCACATTTAAGAGTAAGAGAGACACTCTTAAGCTCGAGAAGCTCTATTCCATGAAGCTCCAAGGATGGGAATGATAGGAGAACTTCTCGCCCCGTCTGAATTGGTTGGGCTTTAGGAACCTCTATCTCCTCTTCGTCCTCTTCCTCAGAAAAGCTGTGATCAAATTCAGAGCCATCCGTATAGTCGCTGTCGCCGTTATCACGCTCATCTCCAGGATTGCCCCATTCCGGCGGTCGTGGGATTATCTGAATATGAGGACGATCTTCCATTTGTCGTGGTTCTTGTAGCTCAGTCGAATTATCGGGTACAGGTCTTTCGGAAACAGGGGCTGCTTCTGGCACGGTCATTTCTTCCTCCAATGAAATTTCACCCACAGCCTCGCTGAGGCCGACGTCCTCTGGTAGAGCTGCCATGTTATGCATCATTGCTGATAAGTAATTGATATGAGCAATCAAGCTCATACCCGGGTTATCTCGCACATGCTTGTCAAAGGATATCTCCACATAACGAGCAACCTCGTCGGCGACCCCCGATATGTTGAGCTGGCAAGGAGTAGCCGGATAAGAAACAGGAACAGAGAGGCCTACAGCCGAAAGCTGCTTCAGTGATGCTGGCAACAAATCAGGCCTAACAGGTCTAACAGGAACAATTAAAACAGTTCCGTCGGGATTGGTAGAGAATAGACGGTCGCGGCCAAGTCGAGAACGGAGCTGGGCGATTTCTCTACGTCGCCTTCTCGAGTCAAAATCATCATCTTGCACTGCTACTTCAGTGGTAGTTTTGTTTGCGGCTTGAGTATTGATGGCTTCTGCTTTCCCATGATCCGGGCAAGTCTTTTTCCCCGTAAGAGCGTCCTCAAGTTGCCTATCAAGAGCGTTCACCAGTTTTAGCAAACCCATGGAAACCGCGGAATTGACTAATTGAGAGAATCTGACTTCCACAGCAGACCTCAAATCGGGATTTAGATTTTCATTTTTAACCTCAAGGGATGGGTTTCCTCGCCCCGGGTACCCCATGGGAACCCGTAATACACAGTCTAGCCCGGTGATATCATGCGGGAAATCCGGATCAGTGGGCACCATTGTAAAAGTGAGATAGGTTGCATCTTCATCGCTGCTTTCTTTTGGGCGAAACCTTCGGCGAACCTGGTTTAGCTGAAACTCCCTGGGATTCTCCAGCTGTAGACGTGAGATGGGTCTTCGGCTAGGAAGATTAAGCAAATCTTGATTAGAACCTGGAGTTGGCGTTTCCACACGCTCTAGCCATGACGAGAGATGGTCTCTTTCACGCGTGGATGGGAGAATTTGGCCTCTATTCCCGAGTAATACATGCCGATTATCAGTCTGGGGCTGGATAGCCTCTGTTATCTCGAGCGGCTGTGGATCATGTGCATATAGACAAGAATTCCCAGCGCGACATCCTTGATCCAATTTCAGTGACCTAAAGGGCAATTGAACATTGATACTTGAGGCCTTACCTTTTCTCGTTCCAAAGTATCGACATTTAGGCGTAGGACGGGGTTGCATTGTTTGTGGTTTGGAATCGGGATATGGCAGGGTATATCCTTCCAGTGTGTGGCCTGAAGAATGATTGGAAGCTGCAAAAGAGTGTAATAGCTATTGCTTGATTGTGAATTGTTTCAATGTTGGTCGATTGATGTCTTCTGCACTGTTCTATAACTAGTTATGACGTTCCTCACCTGGCGTTGCCTCCCACCTACAAAATTGGTCTAGTCTCCTCCGCGTCTCCTCGCGCTTTGGTGACTCACGATGGCAGCTTGTGAGTCAAGATGGCGAAAGAGGCGGAAAAGGAGCCCCCGATGCCTCGCGGGCGGTTTCAATGACGGTTCAGTTTAATAATCTGGAGAGCTCCGTGGCTATTACTGCGCCGTTTTACACGAGTTTGAAGCTGGTAACTTTGGCAGCAATGCACTTTTGGACCGTAGCCAGGCTCCAACACTGTCATTGTGTCTCGTCTCGACGCCCTACACGTGCAATTGCTTTCAAGTTCCCGATCAAGAGAATGCTGTGAACAAGTCGTCGCAAGACACTTTAACGGCACAGTTTTCGGTCACCGCAGCGGGAAGAGCATGGCCACATGGTGATGCAAAGATACCGCGGGGTGAGAGCCTAGATCTGCTAACTCGTCACTATCTGCATGCAGGCAGTCTCCAGTCATCTTCCTCAGCACCGGACATTGCAGCCAAACGAATAAGGTCGAAATCCAAGGCATGCAAGGAATGAAAACGGCTGTACAGTTACCCACAGGGTTGACGGGACCTCCCAGAGATAGCCTCGGTGCAAGTAAACCTTTGTCCCCTCTTCATGGCGCAGGTGACGATGAGGCATACGCCGTTGTTACTCGACCAGGCTTCTGGGACTGCCAGCTCATCGATCAACATGATCTAAGAGGAGTCGCATGAGACCGCCCTGCTGGAGAGAAAAGCAAGGCCGGTGGCGGTGATGCACACCTTGATAGAACAGGGCATCGAGGGCTTGCTAATCTGCTCTCTTATCCACAAGGTCATACCGGTCTTCTGGTTTTTAGAACTCCCAATAGCATCTCCCATGCCCAAGCTCGCTTCTTTGATGCCAATCGAATGGATGACTCTACGAAAAACGTGGACTGTAGGGGTCATTTGATTTGGGTCCGACGGGCGAGTATGTAGACACAAGGCAGAGACGATAATTGCTTGGAGGAAACACTATTGAAATCCTACCCGTCACATCATTCACACTTCTCTCTTCTCACACATTCACATCTAACTGCCTAATCAGATCGTTACTCCTGGTTAGCCGCCCGGGAGGCTGTTCTTGTCCTTATTTTTGCTTTTCCCTTGCAGCATTCGAGGGTGGATGTTGTCTTTTGCGTTGTCGCCCTCCCGTTCGTCGCTTCTCGAGGTCACCGGACACAATGCATAATAATAGCTACATATCTGCCCCATCACAACCTGTTCACCACCTCTTTCTCCCACCATTTCTATTTGTAAAGCTCCAGAATCTAGATTCCATTCATTTGCATCAACGCTCTGCCCCCCTCAAGGCCTGTTACAATCCTTGCATGAAAAGCGCTTTGGGTCTTCAGCGCAGATGGCACGATAGGTTGATGTCAAGACCATCTGATCGCCCTGCATGAGGCGAATTCAAGAAAAAATTCCGGGGAAGAGTGCGGGCCGCGTGAACGTCAACTATATGCAACTGAAGAAAAGTTCCGACGATTGGGTAACGACACCATTTGCTCAGGGAAGTCGGGCGCCAGCTCGAGATTTCTGGATGTCGAAAATAGCCTCAATCTATCTCTGGCGACAGAATATGGAGTGAGCGTGTCTTTTTCCCATGTCGATTTCTCTGCTTCTTGGCCCCTAAAAACATGCTCCGCCTGTTGCTGTGCTGGGTGTGTTGGGGGTTTGGCTCTATTTTCGCGTTTGAGCCTTTCCCCAGCCCCAAACACATGAGCTGTCGGAGGTATAGTTATCGAGCACCATGACCTCTACTGGAAGACTGAACTGACCGTCGAGGACAAGGCGGTGAGCGCGTTTATGTCAGCGGAGCGGTCACGCCCAATTTCAAAGAACTCAACTGACTGCTGACATGGCAGGCCAAGACCGTTAGTATCACAGATGTCGGGATGAGAGAAGTCGTGCGCGCTGTCTCATCGCTCTTCGCTCAAAAGCAATCCGTTCGCGAGTGATGAGCCATGGCGGGAAAGGCGTGGAGCCGTTCCATTGAGGGAGACATCAAGACCACGCGCCGAAAAGAAGCCTCGGTGGGAAGCAACGCTTCATTTGCGCACAGCTTGCGGATGGACAAACAGCTGGAGATGCAAAACGGCCTTCCCGAATGGACCTAGCTGTTCACGTGGCTCTGTAACTCCGGGGGTATGGTACTTTGATACATTGATAAATTACTCAGAGGTACCTCCGTATGTAATGTAACTTACGATTGTTACGTATTACCATACCAAGTGCCAACAGAAATACCACAGGAGGCAAAGCCCCAAAACTCCATGCCTGAACAGAGTACCTTTTATCGTGACATTTAACCAGAATATGAGGCGTGGTATGGGCAAGGTCTTCCCTTGTATCCCCATCAGCATCTCCACTGATCACCCAACGTCCAGAAGCTCTCTCGCGACAAAACCGATGGCACCGTTGACATCGAAATCCAAAAGACCCACAAACGTCCCCAGGCACTGGGAAGAGATTTTGAGGGAGGGCAAAGAACGACTCTCACCAGATTCCTCGGCAGCCGATCTTCTTCGATTTTGAACCTTGTCCTGGACGGAGTAAGCGCGGGTGTTTAAAAGTCATGATAGATGTCAATCAGTGTTGATGTAGAATTTGGCTTGTGACGGGAGAAGGAATCCTTATTGCAACGGTGGCGAGGACGAGCGCGGCGGATCCTCGGCAGTTGGCTTATGCGTGCATGCATTTCTCCCTCCAGCTGGGAGAGGAGTTGCTTCCTCCCGCTCTCACGATGACCGCAGGGTAGAGGGGACAAGGGTCGGATGAGAAAATAGAAAATAGTTCTCCCGTAGAAAAACAGGAAAAAGCAAAGAAATAACGTTCTTCAATGCATCCGAAAAAGCATCCCATAATTAGTTAGTCCATATAAGGCGAGTCATTCAAAGATTCAAACAAAAGCACGAAAATCCTTCAACACCCCTTCAGCTGCACACTGCTGCATAACTGCCTTCCACAACCCAACGGCCAATGGACTGGCTGCGAGTGACCGCTGATACGAAAAAGCCCATCTCCAGGACGAGGTTATTCTCGGGATTTGACCGGGTTGTCTATCATCTGACTCTTCCCCAGCTTTTCTCACGGCCATGGTACCTGGCCAAAACCGCTGTCGAAGCCTTCTAGAAGGAATGGGTTTGGGTCCTGCAATCCGAGGAAATCTCTGTTTTCCTTCATATTGAATTTTCTGTTGTTTATGCAAGGGGGGAACGATTCAAATTTTAAGGAAAAAAGACAACTCGTTTCATACCCACACTACACAGTTATTTCGTGGCGGGGCTCCCTCGGATCACTTCCCTCTGTGGAGACCATCTCGCTGTCTCCGAGAAGCATCGCTGGAGACATGACGATAGCTCCTCATGGGACTTGTCCGCCCGCCGGGAGCCCAGTCGGTAGTTGAATGTCAGCTTCAGCAAAAAGGGGATTTATCCGGACACCTGCTCAAGAACCACCTTATCCCGCCATCGCTCCGTCAACATCCCGATCGCTGCGACCAGGGGGGAGCAGCTGTTGGCTGCAAGGGTCCTCTGGCACGTTGCGGTGAAGTTGCAGAGGTCGTGTCGGGCAGATGACCAGATCTTGAAACACGAAGTTTGGCGTGGTCTTGGCAAGATGCGACCGCCTTGGCGACCGCTTTCTAGAACTCGCCAAGAATTCGATCGCTTTTCCTATTTAGTCAGGTCATAAGTTCGAGCATAATTTGGATGCATCAGCAAATAACACTGGAAACACAATGTCGAAATAGAAATGAATGAGGGATGGGCATCCTCGATGTCAATTGAAAGTGCTTGATGTCCTCTTGAGCAGACAACAATCCTGGTATGGACGTGCACCTGCCCCAAATCATGCGACAGACCACCAGTCCCTGAGGTTGAGAGGCATAATGATTCCAGTGTTATCTCTTCCCCGCACTCCAGGATCATTACCACATGGCGAGGTGGTTGACTTTGAAACCCAGGGTTCTTTGGATGGGACTGTCAACTGGAAACTCGTCGCTTTGTTTTGTTTTGTCTGAATTCACGACTTGTATGTCTTCGAAGCCGCTGCGTACTTGTCATCGCGAATGCAAAACGCGAGAGTTTCGTGCTATCGAGCCTGCAGAACTGAATACGAGTTACTGTCGCCAGATCGTCTAAGCTGCTTGGCTCCAAACGCATGTATAATATGATGATACTAACTATTCTGTGGGGTGAAGGAGCGCATAACCTTAATGCAGAGGTTAAGGATTGGCACAAGTCGTTGGCCCTTTTGTCAAAGGCTTGATCAAGGCTCAAGGATGTTTAAGTCGATGATGGCGATGACTTGTTAAGACGATAACTCGACGCGATACCAGTGTTTGGATCATCTTGTTTCCCGCCGCGTGGTTATCATATCCTCGCAGGTGATGTCCACGGATCACGGTGGCCTGTCAACTCTGTGATTTCAATACAAACATGAGAAACAGCGTCTCAACAGGATCATGAAATCTCAGCGTTGTCATAGAGCCCTCATCAACTCGAGGCACCATATCTCAAATGAAGTAGGAGGCGGAGTTATTACACTTCGCATTCTCTCTGGCTAACCAGATCTCCCATCTCGCCCTGGAGTCAATGTTGCCCTCTCCAAAGTTACTTCTCAGAAAGCCAGCCGCCGAAACCCCCATTCGCCATGAACCCCAGGCTTGAAGCCTCATTGAAGAATGTACTGATCAAGCAGTATGACCACGATCACTCCGTTTGCGCTAGTTAACCCTCAACCTGAGATGTGGTTCCCTCACCCTATTATCGCGGTTCCCAGACAAGCCTCTAGAGAGTCGAGGCGGGACACCGCTTCTCAGCCATTGAACGCAAATATCAAGCTAGTTAAGTCTGCAGCAGTGAACCACAATGCCTCGAACACGGCCAACCAACTTCCACCAAGTGCCTTGAAAATTCTTATGATGCAAGACATGCCTCTGCCAACTTTATCCGCCCTTCTCCACGATCGCTCTCCCCAACGGCTCGCTTACTTGACGAGAAAAATCCAATAATGACTCGCATGATTGTTCGTGATGGTGAACGAGGCTTGGATCTGGTTGGTCGATCCCTCCACTCAGTCCAAGTTTCCTTGATCTGCAGAAACAGAAGAGCCATGCGACAAGCGGTTTCATTTCGCAGCAGCATCAGAGCTTCTTGTTGTGTACTAGTTTATTACCATACCAAAGTGGATGATATTCATAATTGCCCTGCTCTTATTTTGCGAGTCCAGCCTGGTCCTGATCGACTTCTTTCCGCTTGAAGAGCTCTGTTATGGGCATCCCAGACCTTCGCACGCGAGACGTTAAACGAATCAACTAAGCCCCAGGGTCTGGTGCATATATTACTGATCACCAGTTGCTTCCTGGGAATCGCAAATCGGACCGCGACTGATAGTGGTTTGCGGGGTAAGCGCAAAGGAAGCAATTGTTACAAGAAACCCGGAAGTTGGAACTCTGGTTGTCGATCGAAAATGAGTGTCCTCGACTTTGAAATGCTCGTTCATGGTGGGAATGAATTGTAGGGCTGTTGGAGGATCGTCGCGAGGACGGAGCCGGCTTCTCCACCAACGCCCGCTATCATTGCATCATCATCATCACCACAACTGATAAGAACACGAAACGTCATTTCCACGACGCCGGCCTACCTAGGTATTGATGCTTCTATCGTGGAAGACGTGCGTGCCCTGTCCACCACATTTCCCCCATCTAATCAGTCTTCATTCCTCGGAAGTCCCTGGCTTCACATGGCAGGCAATCTGGGATTTCGCCAACAACTTCTGAGCCCTTGCACCACTGTATCGCTTTTGCAAAAGCGGGCGAGAAACTCTGAGCTCCGCACAAGCTCCCCATAGCTACATGGGTTGTCGCAGCTCCGCCGCTCCTCCTCAGAGCTTCCAGCCATCATCAGGCCAGGAGCTCAAACAAGAGTCAAATGTCGGAATGTCACTTTTCCGAGACCACGGCTCAGACATCCCAGTTTGACCTGCCAAGGCTCACTCAACCCCTTTCTCCAGTTGTGCCTGGTTGTTGGGCATTCAGCTCTCCACGTTCCCATCAGCAGGAGAACCTGCGCATGGATGTTGCTCGATGGGCGGGTGATAATTTGGCTGTGGGCTAGGATGGGATATTGGGATGACCTCTCTTGTCACTTCCCGTCGATTACCTACGAATCAGCACCCAGGGACTCCGGATGCCGACGCGGGAACTCTGCAACCGCTTGGCCAATAAATAGTTAATTCGAGTGGAAAAAAAAGGGAAGGATTGCCTCGCCCCCCTTTCTCAACGGCATTCAAAAACGAATCATTCGGCAAAGCGCTTATTGCTGAACCAATTGGTTCATGGGGTGTGCGTTTCTGCCTTTTTAAGGTTTTTCTAATCACCTTTCAGCTTTTACTATAGGGCGGGATTTTTGTGATAATGGTCATTCCGTTTGATCTGATTCGTATCTGCAAGCTGATAGCGCAGGATATTCGAGGCTCTTGTGTGGTTTGGACCAGTGAGAGCAAAGGAGCGAAGAGAACAACATCTCGACAACACCATAATCAACACTTCCCGACTTTCTGACCGAAGAACGGGCAGCCAACGGCATTACCTATCCCTGAACGACGCGCGGTTCACTTGAAACCTGAAGTCCTGATCCAACTCAAGGTCTTGGATAAACAGCAGCTGGGGGAAATAATCGGACCAGGCCATTCGTTAAGCCCTTTCTCCGGTCCGTACGCATCGCCCCCTGAGGGTTGAAAAGGTTTTTGTTAGTGATGTTGTTTGGTTTGGCATTGAAATTATTTCCATCTCGACTAGCCCTCACACGCTCTTTCACCACCCTCAAGGATCATATAAATAAAGACCAGAAATTATCAGTGCTCTCTCCCGCCCTTCCACCTCGACGCCACGTGGGGGTGGGTTCTCAGCCAGGGTGGGATGGGCAAATGCTGTGATGCCTGGCTGCGCAACCTGTTACGAGCATGTCCCCTTTTTGGATGTTGAAGAAAGACGAGGACAACAAACTGTGTCATCCAATAAAAAAAATGGAAAAGTCCAATGGGATGAAAAAAGGCCGGATATGTGATACTTCTGCGCAGGAGATCCCCTGCGGTGGCTAGCTCTTTACACCCGTCTCTGGCCCCCCTCCGCCCCTACGTAGAGGCCTACGCCCGTCCTTTCGAGAAGCGACGGAGAATACCCCAAAAGACCTTAGAAGAAGCAGATGAGGAAGATGAAGAGGGTGAAAAAGCGAAAGATCGTCCATATACCCGCCCTATCATAGCAAACAAGGTTTAGACGGCTATGCGAGACGGGGAGATCACGCGTCGTCCACAGAAAAATCAAAATGGATTTTCAACTTGTTCAAAACGAAGAATTCATTTTTTTTTGCCTTTTATGATTGGGGATTATCTGTGATATTGGGGAGGAGGATCAACAAAGCAACCCAGCCCCAACCACCGGCATGTATAACTAGATTATGAACTAAATAGCTATGCCCTGAGACGTCTAGCATTAAAATCAATTCTCTCTATTATTATTTCCCTTTCTAAATAGCCGTTGAAACACCGATCGGGGGCCGTAACGAAGATCATTAAAAAAAAAAGGGAGTGGGACTTGCCCCCAAAAATAGGAGCTGAATACGAAAAGGAAGATTGGGAGTTTTTCTGATTTTTTCTTCAACGTATTTATCTTTTTTGACTTGAGCCGATGCAGCAAGCAGTGCGGCAACTAGACTATGTATAAACTAAATAACAACTTTTTTCCCCCCGTCATTATTATGTACAGGAGAAAACACGCCTTCCTTTTGATACAGTTCAAAACATCGAAAAAGGGTTGTATCGGTCGAACCAATCCAACAATTCTTTTTTTTTTTTTGACATTGCGAATTGAGACCAGACAGAGAGAAAAGGAAAAAGGTAAAAAGCAAACGACAAGGGACCAAAATAAAAAAACACCCTTGCTGGCTTGCATATTTTTCGTCAAACCAAGCGGAATTGGGAACGCTCCTCATCGCGGAAAAGATTCCTCGACGTTCCTCAGCTTTTCCCATCAGGGATTGTTTGCCAATATTGAATAGAACGATGGGAAGCGAGAGAAAGAGAGAGAGAGAGAGGGAGAGATTAAAAAAGGTAAAATAAAAATAATCAATAATAATTAGCTTAGGCGTCATAGAAGAAAAGACAATAAGAATTAGATGTTGAAATAATTTCAAAATAGGCGCGTGCCTTGATTGAAGAGAAAAACCATTCTGTACACAAGAATAATAGTTAATTCCCACCATCCACGCCCCATATCCCCCATTTCCATATGTAAAAGTCTTCCCATGAATTCCCCGCTGGCCGTTTGACTGAGAAAACACCAAATAAAACACCATAAGATGGGCGGGGGGGACGATCCCCTCTCTTTTGTGGAAGATATATCTACATACATAGAATAAGTAAGAGAAAATATAGAAAAAAAAGCTTGTACACAAAGAAGAAAATGACCAAGCTCGCAAAAGCCGGCTAATCTGAAGGGTTCGCTCAAATTTGTTGATTCTTAGTTTAGTTTTGATGCGGTGAACTCCCTCTTTGTGGAAAGAAAATGTCACATGAACAACAGAAATTTCTCGCTCCCAACCCATGCAAAGAAAGGGAAACCAGGTCGTAAAAAAGGTGGGAACAAAGAACTTGTAACTTTGAAGAAACACCGCGGGTCGTTGGGCGGGATTAAATATTTTGACCCAATGGATTGGAGAGCAGATTAAGGGTATCGAGGAAGGTAAGTCGTAGAAAATATATGGGCGAGAAGGTAGCTGTACACGGTGGATGATCGCTAGCGAAGCGAAGCCGAGGTGGGGGTATCACGATGAAGGGGAGATAAAAAACAAAAGAGCCGCGAACGCCTAGAAAGACGAGGATGGGTCTACCAGCCCTTGACATGGTACTCCCATGGCCCGTAGTCGAAATAATGATTCCATGAGCTGTTTTTCGATGTTTCCTTATCTTTCACCTGCTGAACAGCCGGGTGAACAAGAGGCTGTCGCTGCGGTGGCGGCAGCTGCTCCTCGCTCACGGGTTTCGGGCCAGGGTATTCTTGCAGATTAGCCATGTCGTGGGCGGTGTGTCGTCGCTTAAACGCAGTCGCGGCTGGAGCCGTCTTTTGCTGTCGTTCCCAGAGTAAATGTCGCCTCAATGACTCCGTCAGTTCAGTGGCAAGCATATTTCGCCGGGTGGTGCGAGGCGAATGGGCCATCGATTGGCCCGGCACTGATTTGACGATAATAGGCCTCGAGCGGGGAACTTCAGGTCCTCTCATGGTGAGATTATTCTCTTCATCTTCATCCGAGGATTGGCGATTGGGTGAGGTCAATCGAGAGCGTTGCAGAGCTGGGGTGGAGCGTGAGTTGTGATTTCGACCCTTTCCGGAGACCATGGTGTGCTGTGGTTGATGCATCATCATCGTCAGCAATGAAGGCCGGGAAACCAGATTTGGTCTCGAATCAACTCGTTGGAAGAGCTCTCGTTCATCGAGGCTAGATCGACCACTCTCCGTAACAGAGTCTTCCCAATCGGAATCGTCGTCAATTGCGCTTTCAGGCATGTCTTCGTCGTCGGTTTCAATTGCCCCTTCATCGTCAGTGCTCTCTCTGATGGATTTGAAATCGGTAGTAGGAAGGGTGCTTTTCAGAGCGGGTGGTTTCGCCTGTGAGAGTGAAACTTGATGTAGCCCGTCGGTTAATGAGCTTCGTTGCGGTTTGATCGCCATGCGATCCTCGAATGAACTCTCATCATCGCCTGAGGAGCCGCCCAGGGTGAACATGCTCTTCTTCTTCAGCGGAGACGCTTTAAGCGAGGTCATGGGCTTGGAGGAAACAAGCCCGGTGTTGAGTTGGGTCCTGGAACGATACGAGGAAGAGATCTGGGATGGAGAAAATCCTCGAACGATGCTGGAGGACTTGATCATTCCGGCCGAAGAAACACTCGTGTCCGAAGCGGGAGTCTGGCTGTCTTCGCTATCGTTCGCTTCAAGCGCAGCTGTCGAGCAGGAATCCGTAGAGTTGTGCGGTTTGACCGATTCCCAGGAATTTCGGGCTTTAGGGGTAGGAGTAGGTGACGCGGCTCGAGGGGTGATGTCCAAGGATTGCTGTTGGGATGCCTGCTCTGGTGGCGATGTTGTGGGTAGAGGAGTAATGGGTTCTAGACTCTTCTTCTCTTTGATCTTGTATACCATCTTCTCCAAACCTATCGATGTAATGTGTCTCTCTCTTCCTCGGCTCATACTCAGCATCGGATCTTCCCCGACGATCCTGGGTTTAAAATCCATGTCGCTCGGTGGCGACTTGATATGGCTTTCGATCCGTTCAGCTTCAGAGGCGGCGGAATCGACGCTTGTCGATAACTCGGGGATGTCTTTGGATTCACGGCGCAGGCGATCTATTCTGCGCTGGTGGAACTTGATCTGTGGAGTGGAGCAAAACGTCTCTAGATTCCATAATCTCCAGCTGAGATTCTCTAAGCGTCTTCCGTCTTCCATGTAATCTGCACAGCGAGAGAACACTGCAGACACAATTAGCGTTCTTCGCCCATCTTTCGAGAGGGTGCGACTTCTTGTCCCAGCTGCTCGCGTATAGATCGGATGATACTCACCCATCCACATCCCATGGAGACTCTCTGCACTCCTAGTGTCCACCTCGTGTATCTTCGCCGGGTCCACCGTCAGGACGGGCGTATTTAATCTCGATGGCATTGTGAGATACTTGTCTTCGTCAGGCACGCGAATATCGTCCGTGTTGTCACTCGACGCACTGGCAGTCCTCCCACTCCTTCCAGCAGCAGTCTCTTTGTTTCAATACCGCCCCGTTCGCTCGTCCCAAAGCACCCAAGGCCAATGTCTTCTCGTCACCACTCTTGCTCGTGTGTCCGTCCTGGACCGAACTCCCCTCCAGTGTAGGCTCTGGCGTTGCGAGATGGAGTACTCTGTGCGCCGTCCGGACTGCACAGAATCGACGCCCAAGGCTTTCTTTCAAACCGAAGAGAGGTGGATAAGATACAATGATGCTGTGTTCGGCTCTGTTGTAGGAACTAGCGTGCTTCGAGGAATTGGGCGATTCAAAGGAAGGAAGGCAAAGATCAAGAGTCTTTCGGGGTTGGTAATAGGGTGTGATTAGGGTAGATGTAGTAGGTCATAGAGAAGGGGAGAGAGAGAGAGAGATCGGAAAGGTGGAACAAGGGAAGAAAGTTGGGAGACAGCGTGGTTTTGTTCCGCAGAGCCGGGAGGGTCCTTTTTTTTCTATGTCTGGTAGTTTTATTATTCCTGCGGTAAAATAGCGTGCTGGGGGGGGGGAGGAGCCGTGGAGAGACCGAGAACAGGCGTACCGATGGGGTCAAGGAAACGCAGGGCTTGAGTTTAAAAAGTACCTAGCCCTGAGGTGGTCGGGGCCCTGGATCATATGGGGAAGTACACATGTAACTGCTGGGAAGTGCCACTAAGAGGCGGGGATTGTAACGAAAGGAACTGTGGATGGTTTCATTACCGCTGGTATTGTAATGTGGTATTTGTGTTGGTCTGGTAATACCGAACTTTCAAAGGGCGCTCGCTGACTGATCCGTCTGAGATCAAAGGTGACAGCTCCCGCCACAGGCTGCCCGGCCCTTGACGCATGACTGCCACGGACGCGCAGCAATGGTGGAAATCGCTGGTATTCAAACATGGGGGCATGATCACGTTACCAGCAGAAAAAGATGGCGGGTCTGTGTTGGGCAAATCCCACACCGGCTGCGTCGCTCACCGCAATTCGTCGGGCTCCCCCTATTGTCATTGGGCCAGCTGGACTGGTAATTCCTGACCATAATTTACACCGCTGGGCGACAGGCGGTAACGTTCAAACTCGTAACTGTGACGGGGGCCCTCGCATGGGTACCTCTCCATCTGTACCGAGCCTGGCCCTGACGCTGCAAACGATTGACAACCTTAAAGCCCTCTATGATGCTGATGGCTGATGGCTGATGATGAGGGCTGTGGGGCTTGCCTGTGCCAATCAGCCATTGTCGACTTCCGGCTTCATCCAGAGTCGTAATGGGGCAGCGTCTGGAACTGTTTGCACGCCTCTCCTTCTCCTGCTAATCTACTATATTATTATTAACTATGCCCAACTGGAAATTGATCAACTGAGAAAGACTCCCAGGACAAAGGATCAGGTCACGTCCACGATGAGTTTCGAGATTATTGATAGTAATCACCGCCTGTCGCCTGCATCCCGCAGTTTCAGCACCCTGAAAATGGAAAGTCCTCAATTCAAGAAAAAGAAAAACAATTCTTGTTCCTTGAAGGGTCAAGCCCCCAAGTCGTTTTCCTCCTTCACCGGCCCCGGGAAAGTGAGCCGGAAGGTGGCTGTTCCTGTGGTTCAGATCTGCCCTACGATTTTCCTGTCAGGGAGGGCGGTCACTTGATTCATCCGTGACAGCTCATCAGTCACAGACCACCTATCAACCAACCGCCTCCCTGCGCACTCTCCCTCTCGCCGGCTTCATTTGGCCACAGTGCGCTGCTCAATGGCTTGTTTATTTATTTTTATTTTTTTTTTTCCCTTGTGCCTTGGCCCAGCATGTCGATGAAGCGCTTGGAGCCTCAGATCACAAATGGTTCGTTGCATGAGAGATCCGATTTGATTTCCTTGACAGCACGGGAGGGGGGAGTGTCATGCCTCCCTTTCGTTTCAGCAGCTTGACAGGGAGCACAGTCTGTCAGATTGTTGATGGGTACTCGTCTCGCAATCCCCACCGTCAGTTTCGGCTACGATGCTTCGTTATTCTCTCCCAAAGCATCTTTTTCCGAAATCGTCCTGTCATCGATGGAGAATTGTTTGTGGACGTGACTTCGTGACCAGCGAATAACCCCTCATCTCCCCAGGTACCCGTCTGCCCCCGTGACCCTGACGGTTCCTTTTGCGCGGCAAAACACACAAGCCTAATGATTAATCCGAGCCTGGTGTGGCGACCGGATAGATTCGCAAATAGATCTTTAGAATTCAGCGTGAATGGAATCCCATTCTGCTACCTTGACATTTTTGAGCAGTGGTTCGGATCAATGCGACTGTGGAGGGAGAGCAACCATGGACGGGCTGAAGAATTTCGCAGTCAGTACGTCACAAACTCCAAGACTCAACTCTCCCGCAACATCGACGACAAAGCTACAAGGCATTGAATTTCACATCGCCAAACCAAGGAAGAGTACGGAATCAAGCTCATCAACTATTCGAGCACCCTCCTTCGTTTCCTCATCCCATCGCCCCGAGGTTTCAGTAGTTAATTCTAAACTCAACCTCCTCTTTTCTTAGTAGTTTCTTAACCTTTGCCCATCCCGAAAAGTTCTCGTTCCCGAGCTTCCTGACCTCCCCGATATTGGGCTTGTCACGACGAGAAAGGGAAAAGGAAAAAGCTTCATGGAGGGGACCCAGGCTGTGGAGCCACGCGCTAGATATAGTCCCGTTCCGGATTCCACTGTGTTGGGTTAGGCGGATCAATTTCACGGGATCCATTATTTGTGTAAAATATACTGAAGGAACAAATATAAGCCGTTCAAATCCATCTCCATCCTGTGTTAGCAGAGGGCTGAGTAAGGAAACCCATGCAGTTGTTGGTTGCTGGATGATGGTGACGCGGGAAACGGAAAAGAAAAATGGAACTTTTTTTCGTAACTTTTAGCCGAGGAAGAGAGGTTGGAAGGGCGGGATTGGGAACAATGATCCGTTCTCCGGAAGTACTGCGAGCAACCTTCGTTTCCTCCCATATAGCCGAGAGAGGTCAGAAGCAAAAAGGCACGACGTGATGAAGCATCGGGGAAATGATTTGGAGGCGCCTTGCGAGGCCGGAATCCGGGGAAAAGAAAACACCCCTCCCACTAAATTCGCAGGCGTGCGCCATTCATCGAATGGAGACCTGCGGAAGACACTCGTGCGCGCGCGCTTACGATGAGGTGTCGACAAGGCGGTTTTTTTTTCCCTGTGACCGCATGGTTTCTATCCTCTCGACGCTAACTAGTTGTGGGCTCTCTGCCTTGCCATGAGCTGCACGATGAAGGATTGCTGTCCTGATTTTTAATACTCGAACGTGCTCGTCCTGGCGGCTGCTGTTTGATGGAGGCGGGCTGCAAGGATGGGAAGGGTCACAACTAACAAGCTAACTAGTTACGATTGGTAAGAATGTCGAAGAATGACCAGACCAGTTCTCAGTTGCTTCATCCCTGGCTTGCCTCGAGTGATTGAACTCGCCCGTCGGCTTCTCTCCCACATCCAGATTGCCGACGACATGGACCATAGTTCCGTGTGATTGATTACTGAGCATCGCAACATCAGCGCACCTCCGTATCTCTCTGTACAACGCATCCAGATTCTCAATACCCGACAGGACCGGGATGAGGAAGCTGAAGGATTCACATCCCATCATTCTACAAAGCTACAAGTATACTTCGCATCTGAACGGCAAACAGGTCATCTTCCTCATCACTTGAGTAATAATGCAACCTGTCCTGTTTCTTAGATGTCACCTTTTCTTATAGCCTTCCCCGGGGCCCTGTCGCTGCTGACCGCTGCGTTGGCAAACTCAGCTTCCTATCGCCGTACTCCTGGGCAGAACGGGATCTACATGGTACGTTTAAACCGTTGCGTGACGTGCTTGGAAACGAAGGATCATGCTAGATCACTAAAGGACCCTGTTTCGATATGTTGTTATTGGTGATGCCATAGGATCACTCGCAATATGAAATTTGCATCATCAATAAGTCAAGGAGGTCTGTACATCTTTGCTCATCAATATATTCTCCATCTACGGCTGGATCACGAGTCACGGAGAAAACCGATACAAGGAAGAACCTGCAAGCAACGTTCCCTGTCTGGCTCTTCCCGGTTGATCTCTGGAAAAGTCCCGCGTACCAACCATCCATCAGCCCCCGGATTGATAGACAAAACAGTACCCACACCACCAGGTCCCAACAGAATGGCAGGTGGAAGGGGGGAAAAACCGTCCCATGCCTGCCATGTGGTTTTCCTCAAGACTTAGGATCTGGTTTCGACACCTCCTTCTGCGTTGTAGATCTTTCTTTGGATACTTAATTTACCTTGGATTTCACATCAGAAGCCGGGCGACGCAGAGGCATCATGTGTTGTAAAGATCTGTGTTACGCAAGAATATATTCCGTATACGGAAATTGAAAACAAGACAGGCGCATGGCAGGTCGTGTGGTGGCCGTAAAAATAGAATTGCCATTAACGTGGGCACCACTACTTGATGCTTCGAGCTTACCAAATACCCCGTATACTCGAGCATAAATCGCCGAGAGATAAACGGGATATCAATCATGGAGTGATGAGATATTTCCCCGTGGTTCCATGCCCCCTGCTGTCTGGATATCTTCCCTTTTCCCCGGTTTATGGTTCCTTCTTCCATCCTGCATAACGAATTTATTCATAGTAACAGCGCTGAGGCTGACTGCAGAGCCCCCACGTGATTGAATTGTCACCAACAACATGGTTGATAGTAAATGTGCTTGCCCTCAGGCGACCCGGGGGGCCAAATGGAATGCCAGGAATGGCCGTTGACCTCACCGCGACCGGGGCAGTCCCAGTGGGCAGAAGGATATCACAGGGAAAACAAGGACATCCCATGCGCCAGGCGGTGGGATCCACAAGTTTCGCGTTTTGAAGGAGTCACGAGGAGACTCTGTCGAACAACTCCCTCCTGTTGATATCCCTTCTTTCTTTCTTTCCTTTCTTTTTTCTGGTGTCGAGTAATCATTAATTGGGGTTTGTCTCCATTATTACGGTTGTTGTTGTTGCTGGTCTCGCGGTGAAAGGATGGCGTTTAGGCTGTGCGAGTGAAACGTGAGCGCGTATCCACAGGTTTGGAGTCGCTGACCCTGTAAATTATCGAGTCTCAGTTGATAGGATTCCGATAACAAAAACACGGATTCCCACCTGATAGAAGGCGAATTCCCATCCAGGGCGATACGCGTTTAAGCCGAGGAAAGGCGTTTATTTCTCCCGTAATCGCCGCAAAAGATCCCCTGATATCACATGAACGCCTGCCTTTTTGCCTCCGTCGTCGATCCTCTGCGGCGAAGCTCATTTGAGTTGACCTTTGTGGCAAACCGCGTGTGTTGCTGACTTTCCCCGGATTTCTGGCGGAGCCCCCCCAAGAAAGGTCCAAGATGGTACGACCTCAACTCTCCGCTTCGATCTCTACGATGTTTTGCCGAGGATCATAAACGGTGCCATTCCGCCGCTCAATTCCAGTGCCCCGTGCATCTTGACAAAGCCGCAACCGACGGATCTTGGATTGAAGGAAAGCCAATTCGAAACCACCTGACACTGACAGGCCTGTTTTCGGGGCAAGGATTCTGTCCTTCATTGACTGCCGCTCGCCACCTTGCGTTTCGAATGCGGTCAAACCCTCACCATCTACCCGGGACATTTCCAGATGTGACAAAGAGGAAGAAGGGGAAAAACCGTCTGAAATTCGTATTTCGAAATTCATGTTATTTTTCCATCTGTTTTACCAGAAACAGTATCGAATCCAGTCAAAAAAAAAAAAAACGGGTTTCGCTGCTTTGCTTTGTCCCTCGCGCTGGCCCGAGCCGCTGGTGCAGTGCAGTCGAGATTTGTGATCGAGAGCCATATTTCGATTTTCTTTGTTTGTCATGTCCGGTTCTGAGGGGACGATCTGGTCTTTTCCATGCGCCACAAACTGTGTGCCACTCTTTCTTCTAAGCCTTGTACGGAAATTAGAAACCGTTGGAAGCGGTTTCTTTTTTTGCTTGTCGCACAAAGACTTGGGGAAGAAGCGTGCGAAATCCATTTTTAACAAGATTGTTTCTAAGAATGGTTAACTATCCGCGCTGAATGTATGTCTATACATACATATCTACACAATTTCTCAAGCTAGTCCCAGAATGGGTTTATTTCCGGAGTACGAAAGAGACCTAAAGGGCTACACTTGGGAGATGCTCCCGGATTTGTTTGCTGCACGGGCTGAGCCGTGCCCTTTGCAGTCGACGTTATGTCACCTGTGAACGGATACCTACTGCCGCTTCCCCTTCCAGCCCTGAAAATAGGACCCGTTGTTTGGAACGACTCCTATTTTTACGGCGTACACTGGAGCTATTGACAGTCTCCGTTATTATTGCACTTACTGATTACGGGCAATGGTGGTCAAGACCTTGTTTGTTTCTGGTCCCTCGTCGAATCTTCAGTCTAGCCCGAGTCGATAAGGCAGATCTATTTCCAATCATCGGACATTTCTTTCATGTTTTACCAAAGTGCTTCAGGGTTGATGATTGATCACAATCGTTCGTTATATCACAAACCCGACAGTTCGGCCCCTCCAGTTACCCCGGGCCACCATCACACGCCTTTCACGCGCCCAGCCAATGACAACGAGCGTAAAAAGATATTACTGCGGAAGGGCTTGCACTTGGGGTGTTTCAATTCTTGTATCGAGTTCGTGGCGGCTCCTTGTTACTACGAATGCCTCGCATATCCCATCGGTCACGTGGTTCAGGAAAAAGGGGGTATGAGGGAGGATTGACTTCTTTCGTACGTTGCAAAGGCTGAAAAGGAACTGACAATGATTGTGCTCTTGTACTTCGTAACTCATTGATCTCCCCTGTCTTTCGAAGTATGGATGCTTCTTTTCGCTCAACATGATCCTCCCCCACCACAGAAAGAAGCTGTGGTGATTGCAATCTCGCCAGTGATGGCTGCTACTAGGCGTAGGCAACTAGGTTTTCTACTTGGTTAACTATCGTCGAAGAAGAGCTTTCCCGGAGGTTTGAGGTTGGTGTTTTTGGTCTTCACAATACTCAGTAGCCTCAACGCTCTGCCATTTATCGCAAACCGTGAAGCTGAAAAGATCGTGCTTTGCTAGCACCCCCTTCAGCCCATCGAAAGAGTCCAAGTTGGTATAGAGTACAAATTTCTCGGTTCCTGACTGTGCTGATTAGTCTAATACATAGTTAACAGGTAAATTCCTCCGAACCTTGAACCCAATGAACGAATTTTGGCTTGACTCTACGGCCGATTCGCCTTCCTTGCCCTAGAGCGATACCGAGAATCCCAGTGCTTTCATGACTTGCACAGGTTTGGAGATTGGATGGTTACAGTAGGATCATTCCGGATCATCAGTCCCTCTCGAAGAAGTTTCCAACCTGTTGGTCTTCGAGAATATTCGCATTTCCAACTGGGCTGGGCTGAGTAAAATCCCCCCCCGTTGAAGTCCAAATTGCATACGATGAACAGGGCGGCGAAACCCTTGAGCCCATGACGGTCAAATGTTGGCGGGAAGAGCAAGGACTGATTGTCCGGAACCGCATCCCTGCTTCAGGGTTCTGACCCGCCCCAACATGTTGGTCGGGAAACATTAGTAACCTGCGAAGTACTGACTAACAAATTAGGTTCCTCGGGCAAGCTTTGTTAAATCTTCAGGAGTCAGGACTCAGCATCGCTTGCGCAAAGCTGACGCCGTTTGCTGTTAGCTCAAGCACAAACATGACTATTATGATTGTGCTGAGAACGAAGTGGTTTTGAAATGGGTTGTATCAGTATTGGTATTTCAGGGAGTTGATTTTGGCTGGCTGGGCTCAGTGGCTGTCGATCTTGTCATCAGGATGAAGGTTCTCGAACTTCTTCGGCAGCTCGGTTGAATCTCAAAAGGGCGAAATGCGACTTCCCTCGAAATATCTACGAGAATGTCTTACCAGGCATAACATTGCCGGGGTGACTTCTTTCACTGGAAGCCAGTGCAATATTTGCTGATGTCAGGATCCTCTCTGTTTAATCACCTTCCCTTGCCCTTGACATGTTTTGGCAATGCACACAGCTGTCTCTTTCGGGGTGGGAAGATCGTCAGCGGAGCGAGGCGGGAGTCTAGAACGACCCCCATCAAAGCTGGAATTGCCAGAAATGGCCGATGGTTCCCAGAATCACATCAGATGGCATGTTTTAAGATTCCATCACCAGCGCCGTGGCTGTGGGATGGGGAAAGCCACGTTCAGGGGGAAGTGACTTTGCTGCCGCTGTTCTGAGGACGTGTCGGTGAACGCATTGGTTGATTGGTCTGTTGGGAGTAGGTCACGCGGAGCCAAGTCGGCTAATTCCAGGCCCCGCAAACGGCGTCTATTTTAGCGCCGGGGAAGTGCGCGCTGAGCTCCGAGAACCAGGGCGATGGGATGGGAGGATTTACCCCAAAAGACATCGACGGGGAGCTGGATGTGGAAACCCGAGGTGGATGGGGACGACGAAAGGATTTGAGGCTGCTGTGGCTGCTTCCCGCGGTTTCAAAGAAACGACGTGAATGCGGCTGGGACGACGTAATGAAGGTGGTTGCAAGTTCACGTGCGCTGCGAGGCTGGAGGCAATGGAGGGGGGACCACCTTGGTAACTTGGTTGCGGTGAGCAGATGGCGGACATCATGCATGGGAGGATCGGTTCCTGCATTTCATGTCAAGGGGTTCTGCACATGATGGATATCATCATGGCTCCAGCTGTTTCATATCACGGTGGCAACCACACACAGATGACTCTGGGAACAATTCCACTCTCAATCCCAAAGGCACAAATTGCACAGGGCAAATTGAATGACAACCCAGCTTGTTTCAGAAAAGCTAAACCAACTACTTGCGTGGATGAATCAACCGACCAAGATTACCAAACAATGTTTTGGAGACGCCAGGGGAAGAGTTACAATGCCCTTGAGGTATTTCTGCATTCGTTTGTGGTGTGAAGACAAAACAGTTTTCGTCAACGCTTGTGCTACATCTTGCATCTTACCTTCACACGAGTTTCGTCAAGTTCCAAAGGTAAAACTCGAATGGGATGCATCAAAAGTACCCTTTTATTGGATAAGGCTCCCCCTCATCGTCCCCCGGATTGTCATTGCTGTCATCGATGATTTTGGATGCGAATTGCGATCCAAACCGGGGACATCATGTCAGTCGTCATGGTGTCGCTCTCAATGGTTGGCTTCCCGTTTATGATTCCGTATTCTCAATCTCTTCAGCTTGAGTCAGCTAGGTTTCGAACAACCTATTGCTGTTCCTTTTTCTTTTTTTCTTGTATCTCTGCGTTGTGTGACGGAGTTTACTCTTGTTGAATGGCCGTCAGGTCCCAGTGCCATTTGGCCCAGCTTTGCGAGTTTGTGTAAGCTGACGGAGCCCGCCTTATGCGGTGCATCCCACCAAGAGACATCAAGAAAAGCTGCGGGTGACTTGCCCCTCGATTTGCGTAGGGGGTTGGATTCGCATGAATCCGTGAAGCGGAGGGAGCTGGGATGTGATCCTCCGACTGAAGAAGGAAGGACTGAATCAGGGACAGAATGGTATGGCTCGAGGGAAGATTTGCGGATGATGGTGACTTAACTTTCCGGATTTCCGAGTTTCGTTTCTGAGGTAGCATTAGCGGATAGGTGGACTTATGTTCGTCCGTCGCTGCCATGGGACTTTGCTGAATATGAAAGGGGAGGTGAGTTACGAGATACCATTCTGTGGAAGGGGTAGAAAAGGTATCCTGCCTTCAAAAGGAGTTTATGAAGGAATTACCCCCGTTTTCGAGTGAGCCCGTTTAAGCATCGGACATGCCTGTACGACTGTGTGTGAGCTCCTGTGCTCCTGCTCCTGAGCTCCATGTTAGAGTCCTGTGACCTGACCACCAAGACACACTGACTAATTGGTTCGACTATTATCACATCTTTTTGGGAATGTCGAAGCTTCAGGGCTTCGGCTTTTCAAGCTCAAAGCAGGTTGCGATGCTTCTGGGGCTTGAGGGACTGATGCACGTATTCTATTCAACTCCTTAGCTGTCCACGGCCAATTGGATAGGAGGAGAAGTAAGGCAAACAGACCAGCCGCGAGATTATCTCGCCTATCCCTCTTCCATGATCGTTGCTTGCAGAGCGCTGGTCCATGTGGGGATGTTGCCTGGATGCCAAGACCTGGGGATAGCTGCCCCCCAGACGACCAACATCATTTCATTGCTCAGAAGTGATTCTAGCATCGTTTATACTAGGCGCCAGCGGCATTTTTCAATAATGGTCAAACTAATCGAGATGCTTGTCAAAACTACCTGCGGGGTCTTTGCTCGTTCACCTCGTTTTCCCCACCATGGTGCCTACGGTTGCCTGGCGTTAGCTCCTCAACGTCGAGCTTGTTTGGCGTGGACAAAAGCATTCAAAAAGCTGCGGTAGCCGACGTCCATCGACTTCATTCCTCGCCCATCTTCCATTTCTCAATTAATGTGTTGCAAATTTCTTTCTCTAATCCCCATAACCCAATTGTGTCGTTCTTTTTCTTTTGCTGCGAAACATCAACGAGCAATGGAGCTTCCAAGTCTTCCTGTCCCGTTGGCTGAGTTTGTTCCTTACCTGGGCAAACAAACCCGTCCTGATATCTTGAATGAAACCGCTCTGAAGCCTTTCCACCTTTACGAATCCAAATTACGCGAGATTTTCGCGCAAGAGCCAGAGAACAAGGTCGTTGCAGACCCTCATATCAATGTTGTACCTGTATACACTGGCCACGAGGGCCAACTAAAGGTGAAGCCTAGAGATTTGGAAAAGGAGTCTCCCGCGGAGAGCGATAAGTATATTCTTCCATTAAGCACCGCATTCCGCAGGGATCAAGGATCCCCTGCCGTTGTGCCTTCGCTCCGTGAATTCAAGGACAACTTTAGGCTGTTTTCTGAATCCTCCCTGGTCGATTTGGACTGGAGCAATGTCGTCGTTGCCGGGAGTGCCGTGACAACCTGTCTCTTGCCTCTTTCTGGACAAGTCAAATCTTCCCGTAGGGCTCAGAGGTAAGTCGTGATATATCCCCTCGCTGTTCCGTATTGTTACCGTTTCTAATTGTGATCACAGGGAATTTTATCACGAAAAAATTGCTCCAGCCTCAGATGTTGATCTGTTTATTTACGGCCTGAACGAAGAGCAGGCTATCGCAAAGATCAAGCAGATTGAGACGAGTATCAGGAATAGTATTCTGGAGGAAACAACTGTACGGAAACATCATATCCCTAATCTTCCAAAGCTCACGATTCGAAATAGGTTATTCGAACCAAGAATGCGCTGACCATCGTTTCAAAATACCCTACACGCCATGTTCAAATTGTCCTTCGCCTCTATAAGAGCGTGTCTGAGATCCTGACAGGATTTGATGTGGACTGCTCTTGTACCGCTTTTGATGGCTCACAGGTGTGGATGAGCCCTCGGGCGCTGGCTTCGTTCGTGACACAAGCCAATACCATTGATTTGACTCGACGATCTCCGTCATACGAAAACCGGCTTGCCAAGTACTCGCATCGTGGGTTCGAAGTATACTGGCCCAAACTAGATCGTTCGAAAGTTGATCCAACAATCCTTGAAAGATCTTTTACTCATGTGGTGGGATTGGCTCGCCTTCTGGTGATGGAGAAACTCCCAACCGCTAGTGCTAGAGACAGCTACGTTGACCAACGCCGCGCTGAGCGTGACAGACCACCTTCAACAAAAGAGAAATTCTATCGCAACCCCCATGGGAACCTGAAAGAATATCAGCCAGAGGATGTGGCAGAATGGGTCGAAGACGAAGATGTCTCCAACTATCACACTTTTACTATCCCCTATGGACCGAAATACACCGCTAAAAAGGTAACAGCTTTATCTCCAACTCGAATGGGAAATTGTTGGTTTTATGGTTGCTGACTATGCGTGATATAGATTGAACGATTATTCTACAAAAAGGATCTCCTTCTCAATGCCGAATGGAACAAATCAAAAGAGCGTACCGTGAACTTGCATAGGCATCCTGCCTTCTTCGGCGCTGTCGAACATGTTATTGAGGATTGTTGTGGGTTTTGTCCTTCACCAGCCACAGAGGAGGAAATCCAAGTTGCCGAAGAAGAGAGCAAGAGATTCATTTCTGGAAAGATTCAGTTCATGAAAGATGATCCCGGAAGACAAGCGATTGGCAGTTTCAACCCAATTACAGACACTGATTGGACTGAAATGGCCTACCTTGGAGACAATGTTCGTATCTGCCAAGCAATTGTGGACAAGGACCTGGAAACCGTCAAAAGTTGCTGCGCTCAAGAAGGCTTCAAAATTGACAAACGCGACCACACTGGAAGAATGCCCATTCACCTGGCAGTGATGTGTAGCACGCCTGAAATTGTGCAGTGCCTTGTTGATTCCGGTTCGCGGCTTGTTGCCCGGGTTGCTGGTGGATATACGGTACTTCATTTAGCAGCTGCCCGTGGAGATCCAGAAATTTTGAGAATTATTCTTAAAAAGAGCGAAGCGAACAAATCTGAACACCTGGAGAAGTCGGAAAATAAACTGGCAGACGCAGAAGAACAGCCATCGAGCGGGGATAAGCATGAGCTTGAGTCTCAAGACCCTGAGGACGATGATATCTCGATCGTTCAAAGTTTGACAGACGGAGCATATGCTGCTACTCAAGGATCGATGGTTGTGGTTAATAAGTCTAATCCCGAAATGGAGAACCCCCCCGAGGAAACGGATGATGAGGGAGACGAACCTAACTTTTACGACGATGTTAATGTGGTCTCATGGGATACGCCAATTAACCCCTTGCAATTGGCTGTGTTGTATGGCCATGCCGAAATCGTTGACATCCTTGCTACGGAATTCGGCGCGAATGTCTCTCTGCCTATCATCTGGAGAAAGGAAAATCACCATGCATACCATGACGTTACGCTTTCAATGGCTCTGGCCACCTATCATCCTCTCGAAAAGTCAAAACAAGTTCTGCGAACCATGTTAGAGCTGGGTGCATCTTGTACACAGGCCGATATGAAACATATCACAGCTTTCCACTCTATTGTGATGGAGGGTGAGGCTGCTTTGATAGATCTTCTATTTGAATTGGATGGGCCTGCGGCCCAGCTAGCAATAAATCACCCAGCTATATTGCCCCACTATGAACCGGAAGCACGCATGCCCTTATTTACTGCGGTGAAAGAGAAGGGTTTGCCAATGATTGAGAAGTTACTGGAGCATGGCGCAAGTGTCTCGGGCCCTAGTGAACGTCTTCGACGCTTCTGGGCACGCCGAGAGTCGACTAAAGCGAATATAGTGGAAAACTTTTTGATACAGCCTATTATTGCGGCAGCTCAATTTGGAAGTCCCGCTATTATCAAAGCACTTTTGGATGCTGGCTCCGATCCCAACGCAATGACACGCGCTTCATACGCCGTTCTATCCAGTCGCTATTCTTCAGATGGTGGTCAAACTGTCCTTGATATCATAGCTCGGAGAATCGCATATCTTCGAAATCCAACACGCCAAGATTCTCAAACCAAGTCTATTTCTCCCAAAGCTCCGGTTTTGAAGCCCGATGCGGATTACTTGAAGGGTCTGGTGGAAGGAAGTTATGAGTACTACTTCGTTCAAAACGAACTGGAACTAGCCAAGGCTGCGGTGCAGGTAATTGAGGAACGTCGCAAGCGTGATTTGAAGCAGGAGGATGAAAAACAGCAAAAAGAGCAAGCGAAATCTAAATGGGCGGAGGCTGAACTGAAGTCTCTAGAAGGTATCGAGGCAATATTATTAGAAAAAGGCGCAAAACCCTTCCACAAACTTCATCCCGGTTTCAAGGAGAAGAGCACTCGCCAGGTGCACCAACCAAGCCGATCATCATACCCCGAAGAGAAGCCCAGCGAGAAGGAGTTCTCAATATCTCATATTTTCCGTGACCATGATGTTGGAGAATTGAGTGATCCTGGCTATATGCAGTTGTATGTTTCCTTCACCCTCTCTTTTCTCTGTCTCGTTTACTTCTCGTTCGCTTCTTTTCCGCTAACCCTATGTTTTAGATTCGAGGCTGCGTGGGAGGGCGATATTCAGAAGGTTAAAAGCCTTACCCTAGGTTCCTGGGATGCCGACGAAAAGAAATTGCCACTCCGTATCACGGCCAAAAACAAGCGGAATATTGATCCCTTTACGATTGCTGTTTCTCGAGGTCATTTTGATTTGGCCAAAGTCATCCTTGACATTGTCGAAGCCCAATACACCCCTAAAACCACCGTTCCGGCCCGTAAGGTATACAAAATTGTGGTTGATGCCGCGGAAGATGAATATTCTGAAAGCGAATCAGAATCGGGTTCTCAACCGGAATCGGAAAAAGAAGACGATCATGGAATCTCTGTCAGATTTAACCTCGTTGACCAGCAACACACGATAGATGACATTCGAGAGTTGACTAGTATTGTCAAATCCTCGACTCCTCCGTGGGCGGTGATCACTAATTTCAACGTTGACATGGCTTTTTTCTTTGACACAGCCCGTAAGAAGGACGCATTCACAGAACGTATCAAGAATGGGTACGACTCTAGCATTCAGTCATACGTTTATGGAAAAGAACACCTCACAGGTGTGGTTAGTAAACCTTGTTTACCTTATACGAATTTCGTGTTCTGTGCTAACCCGTGTTTCAGGGCTTTTTGGAGAAGCTATGTTCATTGCCAAATTATAATTCAAATAACTTATTATTCAATTATGCTGTGGAGAAAAATGATTTGGATGCGGTGAAGTTCATGGTAGAGCAGAAATCGAACTATCATGATGCTAAGGATGAGGCTGGACCTCCATTCCTTCACATCACCACGGCGATATTTAAAATAGCAATTGAACGTGGTTACACGGATATGCTGGACTACCTTATTTCTAAGACTGGAACCCAATTCCCTTTCCAAAGTCTGATGAAGAAAGCGGGTGCAAAGCTTGACTCGAAACCAGAGGTAAAAATTTTGAGAACTTCCGTGTGTTGCAAAACAGATCTTTTCTAACGTACGTTGCAGAGTTATCAAGGTCTCACAGTCTATGGAAGGAAACGTGAAGACTGGGCTGCCGAGGATGGCGAGCAATGGAATCACGGTTTCAAGGACGAAGATAATCTACTTTTGCGTGCTGCGTTTAGCACAAACCTTGATTCCATCAAATGGTTTCTTAGCGACATCCCGGAGCAGAAGTACAAAGAATTTGCTGCTGCATATGCGGATGATAAGCATGTCAAATCGTTTGAGACTGTTCCCGGCGGGTTTGAAGGTGTTTTATCATCGTGGTTGCATTCTCGACGTAAGTGCTACTTCAATGCGTTATCAAATCAAATACAGATGTCCTAACGTCGCTACCAGGTGATTTGGCACTCCATTGTGCAGTACTTGGTAACTCTACCAAGGAAACAGGCGTTGCTCACGTGGAAATGATTCTCGACGCCGTTCCCAGTTCCCTAAACGCTAAGAATAAAGCTGGAATCACAGCATTGCACGCTGCGTTTGCGGGTCAAAAAATAATGGCGGCCAGGGCACTTGTGAAGCGTGGAGCAGATCAAACTCTCCGTGATAATCAGGGCCGCAATATGCTTCATTATATTCTGTCCCCGAATAAGTCGGGCAGTAAAGCTGTCCTCCAGTCCAGCCGGTTGTTCAAGGCACTATCCAGTGTTTTGGACAAGGAGGTGCTCCGCTCGCTAGCAATACAGAGATCACGCGTTCAGCCAGGACGGACATATAGCTCCTGGGGAATGCAAACACCTTTGGCGGAGTGGCTTGAAGGTGCTGGTGACCCAGAACCGGATATGTTGCGGACGATCCTAGAAGCTACCGGTGGACAGGAACTATACGTTCTTGACGACAAAGGGAGTTATCCTATTCACCAGGCCGTCCGGCGAAACTTAATCTCAATAGTCCGTGTCATGCTTGAAATGGATCCTAAACTTGCCCTCCTCGAAAATGCCACCGGTGTAACACCCCTGGAACTCGCCGAGAACAAGCTTTTCGAGGTCGTCCTCTCGTCTCTAAAACAAGGAACCAGAAAGATCGAAGGGGGTGACAGCGCAGAACTCTGGAACGGAACTCCTCGTATTTATGAATCCCTTTATGAGGATGATCGCTATAGATATGCTCAGAGAAGGCCGCCTCCAGAAGAAGTGCACAAGCGCGAGAAGGAAGATAAGCCTCGCTTCGCATCATCTGATCGCGTTGAATACAAGCTGTATCGCCTGCTTCAAGAGGTTGCGGGGGATAGTAAAGCTCAGCGGAAGTTGATCAGTTTGCAGGATGCTAATCAGCTCGTGAAGCGCTTGGCTGGAAGGAAGTGGAAAAAAGCGGCAGAAGAAGATGGCGAGAATGACGCGAATAAAAATGACGAGGTTGGTAGATTTCTGTACTCTCGGACGGCAAACTGGGAGGTTGACGAAATTCTGGAACAAGAGAAGAAAGAGAAAAAGGAGAAGGAGAAGGGGAAAGAGGGCCAAGGGAACAAGGACAGCGAAATGCCTTGAAGAAGCTGCTCTTCAATGTTTCCTCTATTGGGAATTGATATATATTTATACTGCCATTGTTGATATATTTTTGGATTTCATCTGTTATTATTGACAGCATGATCTAGAGCAAGCTTTGGAAGCTAAAGTTGTAATTTTATCTATCACTGGGAATCCATTCAAAATTGTTCCCTCCCAGCAAAACATCATTCATTCAAAAGTAGAAAAAATAGCATATTCTACTCCCAGTTATATTAAGATGAATGGGCTCTTAATATTCTTCGTCTTCTCCTGCAATAATTACATTGTTGACCTGAGCAGTGTTAGCCAACAGACGGAAGGATAACTAGTATGAATTTTGGAAAACGTTTACCTTTAGCACAAGTCGACATAATTGAGTGGCAAGAAGTAATTGTGCGCGTTTACCAATCAGTGGATCAATAACAAAATGTTCTTTCATGTCTGCAATGGAGTAAGTAACCGTTAATCAAATCAAAGAGGCGAAAATCAGAAATACCGTTGCTGCCAGTCTGCATACAATCAACTCCTAGCCTTGAGTTGTTCTCCTTGACTTGTCGTGATTTGATGGCGGCAAGGGTCTCAATCGGGCTCCACCCCGAGTTTTCGGCTAGGGCCATGGGTACTGCATCCAAGGCATCTGCGAAAGCGCGCATGGCATACTGGGCCAATCCAGGACACTAGGGAATTTGAGACAAGTTAAGATTGCCTTTTCTAGAAAATATGTGTTGTTGCGTTTTGTCTCACCTTGTCAGCAGCCTCTTGAACAGCAAGTGAGCATGCAATTTCTGCTGCACCTCCACCATACACAACACGATTATCTCGGACAAGGTTTCGCACAACACATAGGGCGTCATGTAGTGATCGTTTGGCTTCATCGATGATCTATATCAAAGGTCAGGTTAGTATGACACTTTTTGTGGACAGATTTGGGCTAAGCATCATACCATCTTATTGCTTCCTCGGACAAAGACGGTAACAGCTCGACTGTTCGCACATTCCTCAATCACTAACATTTTCTCCCTGGTGGTGCCAAAAGTCATTTCCCTAACCAAACCAGCAGTGCCTAGCTTTTCTGGGCTCAAGTCTTCAAATCGCGGAACGATTCTACCATTGGTTGCAATGGCAATTAATTCAATTTCGGGGCCACCAACCCATCGAACGGCAGGTAGGTGATTTTGAAGCAGTAGATGGTTGGCTTCGTCATCGAAACCCCATTGGCAGATGACAAGATTCGCGCCGGTATCTTTCAGCTGTTGAATCATTTCGGTAAACTTATCTTTCTCGTATTCTTGTAACTTTTTAAATTCCTCGACACTGGTGATATCAAGCTTGTGTTTAGTTTTCGGTTTGGGAGGTTCGAATGGGCATGTTAAAATTGCGAGTTTAGCATCTCTGACTTCGTCAGGCATCTGCGGATGGGAGAAATCTTTGTCAACAATAACGCCTTTTACGAGAAGTGAATCCTCCAAGGATCCTCCGACTTTGCCATCGACTTTAATCAATTCAAAATCGACATCTTTCCTTTCTAGATCGGCAACTGAAAGCACTGCACCAACGGCTATTTCGGCAAAATGATCATGTGCTTTGGAAACACTGCATATGCTAGTTAATTTCACCCGCGTTAGGATAGGGGAAAGGAGGCACTCACATTTTGCTGCCTAGCGAAGTCCTTGCTACCTTTAAAAGGTTTTCTTGACTCTCGCGAGAGAACTTAACCTCGTCGCTGATTTTATCAAGATGTGAAACTGCAATTTCACAAGCTTGATCAAAGCCATCTGCAATCCGAATAGGGTGAATGCCCTTGTCGATCAGATCGGCCGCTTGTTCCAGCAAGGCACCAGCAAGTACAACAACACCGGTTGTGCCATCTCCTATTTCATCGTCTTGTGACTTGGAAAGCTCTACTAATAACTTGGCAACGTGATTCGAAATTTCCATCTATATTAAACGGTTTAGCCCTGTAATACGCGGAACGACTAAAGAACAGGCACGAACCTGGGAGAGGATGGTAGCTCCGTCGTTTGTTACAGTGATGTCTCCATCAGGGGAAATTAGAATCTTGTCGAGGCCTCGAGGACCCTACGAAAGGAAGGCAATAGTAGTTAGCCAAAGCCTGCACATATAATTTAAGGGGGAGACTGGTACCAAAGAAGTTTTGACGATACTAGCGACTGTTTTGGCAGCGAGAATATGTGATTTAACGGCATCGGTACCGTGCTGTCTTTTCTTCTTCCCTTGGCTATACGAAACATGTTAGGGTCGGTCTGTATAGTGGATATACGGGTTGTATGCATACTCTCGAACAACTATGAATGGTCGGCCTTGTTCATCTTTTACCACAGAGGCTATGGCGGAAACGGATCAGATCTCGGATTGTTCTTCAAAATTCAGCCCTGCAACGCCAGTTACATACCTTGTGACATATCAATATCTGTTCAACAAAGTTGTTAGCAGGGGTTATCTGAAGGAGGGGCATTTGCACCGTACTCATCGCCATATTGAAATAGTACCGCGGCGCGGTTAAAGCCCTTGCAAAGCCCGGTGATTCCTAGCTAGCAATTCAAGGACTGCGTAACCAAGCCAGGAGAGATAGGAATGAGGGAAGAGCACTAGCACCACGGAGCAATTGTCGCCTGTTGCTCTGAGGTTGCTGATTCTGGAGATAATTTTGGCGTGGACGAGCTCGTTGCCCACTTGAGTTTAGCCTGGCCCGCACGCTTGCTTAGTCACCCCTCTCTCAAAGCGCGACATGGGAATCATCAAAACAGGAGCTCGCTCGCTGAAGCTTGCGATCCCATGATTGTTTTTGCGCATCCTCCATCAACCATATTTTTTGCTCATTAAACGGTAATTATCTATTCCGCTGCTTCCTTTGATCTCGGCTAGGGCTCACAAGGCCGGCTCCGCTTGTTTGACCGTTCACAATGCCTCGTTAGTTTCCCTGGCGCGCCCAGCGACGGCTATTCGAATAGTGGAAACTGACATTTTGATTTAGCAGCAGTTGATTTTAGTGAAGAGGAATCCGGCGGGGAATCGATACCTTTCAAGCCTGACCCAAAGGAGGAGGCGTCAAACCAGAGTGAAGCTGAAAGCGACGATGATGCCGAAGGCGTGTAAGTTGAGAAACCTTGGACTAAGTCTATCAGGCCTAACTATTGCTGATAGTTACGTTGTGGAGAAGATTCTTGGACATGAATTCGGCAAAAACGTGAGCTCGCTTCCCCTGCTATTCTTTTATCCAGCCGCTGAATTGTGTCACTAGAAAAAACTTCTATTCCAAGTCAAGTGGAAAGGATACGAAAGGCCCGAAGATATAACCCTAGAGCCCGAAGAAAACCTGTATTTCTTTCCCATGCCTTTCTAGGAATCGCGCATGCGTTAACTGACCCGAATAGCGATGGTGCGCAAGAGGCTTTGGATGAATATTTCAAGATTATAGGAGGGCGTCCTGAGAAACAGACAAAGAAGCGGAAATCGGTGGGAGCGGCATCAACGCCAGAGACGATGACATCTAAGAAAGCGAAAACCCTTGGTCACTCTTCAAACGGAACGCCGAATGGTGAGGAGATCTCAGATTGGACTCCGAAATCAAATAACTGGGACAGGGACGTGCGCGCCGTTGAAACCATTGTTCGCGAGGGTGATAATCTATATGCCCTACTTTACTGGAACAATGATAAGAAGATAAAGGTGTCGCTCCGACAATGTTACGAGAAATGCCCGCGAAAAGTAAGCCACAAAGGCCTATTATATGACTATATCCGCTAATCCTAAATTAACAGATGTTGAAATTTTACGAGAATCATCTGTATGCTAAACTGTGAGGAAACGACTTCTGGGCAGGTCAGGCTAACCGGTTTTGCAGGGTTTTCAAAGACGAGTAGTTCTCATTGATCTGTTCGACTCGGATTTTAGCCAATACACTGGCAATCCCCAGGACCTGGCGCCTTTGACTTCAGTCCATTCTGAGACTTGAAGTTGTCGACACTCCTATTTCAATCAAACAGCTAAGACACTGTTATCTTCAGCCAATGTTGTTTTTCTTACGGTTTCATAGCTTTCTGCAATAAGTTGAGCAAAGGCTTATTCCGTTGTTATAGTTCGATCGGTTTTGGTACTCCCATTTTCCTTTTCTTTTCCTGTTTGGAGAGGTCATTTACATGCGTTTTAGGCTAAGTAGCATGGCGCGACTGCTTGTTCCCCGTTCTCAGCTTTGATGGGGAATTTAATCTAGGAGCTATTGGTTGTCATTCAAGGTTTCGTCTCATGTCTCTTACATATTGTTCCTTTTTATTTGTAGTGAGCGCATACCTCAAGCCCTAGAGCGGATGACTGAATGCTTCATTTCCCGAAAGAAAGTTTCCCACTTTCAGGCTGTAAAAACCGCTAAAGGGACATGTAAATATGTCGGATAGGGTGCTAATGAGTGACAGTAGCACCTTTACGGGGTATTATTCTTCGAGTCCAACCACTTGCCGCAGCGTCATGAGATATTGCCCACGAATATCGAAATACTCCGCACCATGTTTCTCCTGCAATTTTTGCACATCATAGCCATTCCCGGTTTCAAGGAGGCGATCCTCTTCCTCTGTCCATATTCCAGGAATATCAGTTGGAACGTCACTGCCCTCCTTCAGGCGGTCCAGCACCATATCAGCCAGGTATGGGTTCATGGAAGTATAAGAAAGGGCCTGAATGATCTGCTCTTCGTCCTTCGCTCTGCCTGTTTTAAGTCTTGATTCAATCCATTGGTCAAGCTCCTGGATTTCTTCTTTTTCCTCCTCGGTCATAGCTTGGGAATTGGACTGTGCCCCCTCTGGAATACTAGGAAGGGTTGGACGGAGCAAATTACTGAGGTCATCCATGTATTGTGAGGGGTCAGCGAAAATGTCTTGAGTGGGCTGGACTTGTGGTGCTGTTTCATAGAGCTCATTGGGTTGCGAGGTGTTACTGGATGTTGGAACTGGTTCCGCAGATGTCAATGCACCGGAGAGGATGGGCTCAGTAGATTTTTGACGAGTTTGAGTGTCATCATCAGTATCATCCTCGATGGTAATGACCACGGGTGGAGATGCGGGTTGTGAAGGTGCTTCACTGACCTCGTACCGAACGGCCCGCTTCGAGACTGTGGGTTCGTCGAGGTAATCGATGATCTGTTTCCTGGAATTGTTGGAATTTTCTGGGGTTTTGGGCGAAGCCCTCGTAGATCCCCCTGTTATCGTGCGCCTCTTTTTCTTGTTGTCTCTCAATCGTTCTTCGCTTGAAGCGTCAGATTCTCGGAAGGTTCGTTTCGCAGATTTATGCGTTGGTTCTGTGACGTTGGACATTTGTTTCTGGGCTATTGGGCTCCTTTCAGTGTGTGGTGCCTGACGATCGCCTTTTGTTGATAGAGCGGGGGATGATTTCTGGGCGCTTTCTTTCTTAGCCCTCGACCTTGCAACGTGTTTCGGACGAACAAATGCATGGAAATAATTTTTCCATTCTGTTGATGTATGTGCACCCTAGATAATCAAGTTAGCAATTGTAGTGGATTCCATATCGTCGGGGGTGTGCCGTACATGCAACTTAGCGTACTCATCCCAAAATTCGTCCTCTCGAGCTGGGTCGATATCCAGGATTTTGGATGCCGCGCGAAGGAGCCCATTTGTTTCTGAATCCGAAAATGAGACAGGCGGTGCAATGGGTTGCTGTCGGGAGCGGCCTCCGATGGGTTCAGTGCTGGCTCATCTCGAATTGAACTCGAGGGCGGCGTAGGGGGATCTGTAGCTGCGGCAGCTCCCGCGGTATCCCCTTTTGCAACTGGCCGCGGGCGATCTTTCACTACCCGGAGGTAGCGGTCACGCCACGATTGGTAAGTATGTTGAGGATGCTAACACCGACTAAGCATGGACCACGCTGGTTTCCTGGATGCATGAGTCATACCAATTCTTCAAGCTGTTGATAAATCTTATTTCCCCTGATAGCACCACCGCTTTTCTCGATGGGCTTCACCCAGTCATAGAGAATCTGGTCATCTTTTGCTGTATATCCGGTCCTGCGTCCTTTCGCGGGCACTGATGTAGAGCCCACTGGGCGGATGGCGCCACGAGCGGGTCCCGCCCGAAACTCTTCTAAATCTAGAAGCTTCCCAGCTCGTAGACAACGGTCAACATATTTGAAAGAGTAACTATGAACCGTTATACCAAGTCGGCAGTCATGATGGAGTCAAATGCCAAACCTGCCAGGAGGGAGGTCCTTTTTCATATGATCAACTAGATGAATGTCGGCTAGTTTTTCTAACTGTACAATTTTGCCGCCATGACTCTGGTAGAACCTTTAGTATTTGGATCCCATCTCGATTTCGTCGCACTCACTTTGATGACGTCTGCGCACCAAGACCTCTGAGGCACTGTAGCGGATAAGAAGAACTTTAGGTTGTTAAACAGCGGCGTGGAGTCACTACCTGTCGCCATCTCATGCAAACCGAGGGTAATGGCTAGAAATCAACAGATCCCGTCATTATCAATTGGCTTCGGCTGCTTATTGCCTCGACGTTGTTTCGCGACGCGCTGGGGAAACCCGTGTGCACGTGGTCATCAGCGAAGTGGCTGACTCAGCATCAGTTGGCCAGTTCGATTGCGGCTGGAGAAGGCGTTGTTGCAAGCCTTCAGCTCCTTTCGTTCGGGCGGTGGTTGTGAAAAGGACCCTTGGACGACCTGATGGGGTCTTCTTAGGGGTGAATTTTTACCTGATATTCCGTGGGTCTGCTCTTTGCTTGTTTTGCATTTCTAGGAAATGGGCTTCTTTCGGGACATCACGCTCGTCGTTCTGGGCATCTCCCTTCTCACATTCCTCGCACTCTTTGGCAGAATCCCGGCGTTTAGGTAAGCTATAGCAGGGTCAAACTATGCTTCAAAGGACTCCGGAGACTAAGTGCTAGCAGAAAGACACCTATAGGTTTTGTTTATCGTTTCGTTTGGATCCGCGCCCCGAGGCTCTTTGGCTCGCTTGACTCAATCCTTTGCGGCGGCCGGTTCAAGCGGTACACTTCTCAAATTGGACAGTATTTATTTCATACAAACCACTCCCTTGTATTAGTATGCAGCATGTTGAGAACCCCATTCGACATAGCGTGATGTTGATATGATACTAGGTCTTCTTCCTCACACTCCTCATCTGCGCTGAGTTGGCATTTCTCCCGGTTGCATGGAGTAAAATTGGCTCGATACACCACCTATTCATACCGATAGTCGTCATTCAACCCTATATATTCCTTTACTTGAGTGTTTATACGAAATCGTCAATCACTCCTGAAAACCACGACTGGCACCTGCGGCTATATCCATACGACCGAATCATTTTCCATCCAGGAAACATTTGCCGCACATGCAGATTTCTAAAACCGGCCCGGAGTAAACATTGCCGTATCTGTAACACATGTGTTGCGCGGCATGACCACCATTGTATCTGGCTTCGCAATTGCGTTGGCCGAAACAATTATGTCTATTTCCTTTTGCTCCTTTTTTGGACATCTGTGCTACTGGCATATGGTTCTGCACTAGGACATCAGATTTTGGATGAGAACTTGCAAAGTGCATTAAATCCAGGCTCTCTCAAATCGTCAACCCTGGGACATTGGAGTAAAGGCCTTCCATGGTTGATATACCTTGAGATGTGGACGCTGGCGATTGCGGATAACGTCCGCGTTGGTGCTGTGTTCCTCTTGGCTTCGCTGACGGCCCCTCTATCCGTAGCGATGCTTTGTTATCATGGATACCTCATTTGGGCCGGAATGACTACCAATGAGAGTGATAAGTGGTCAGATTGGCGCGATGATGTTGCGGATGGCGTTGCCTTTAAGGCAGAATCTAGCCAGATTTATGGAACGCCGTATGAAAGGGATAGCAGAATCGAACCTGAGGTTAAATGGCCGAAAGCGAATGACCAAACGCTTGTCTTTACGGATGGCCAGCCTCCAAAAGAGGGCTTCCTGCTGACAGACGACCGTTTCTCCATTATACAGCCAGATAATCCCGCTGCTAGGGATGATTCAAGGTGGGTTAGGGTTCAGAGCATGAAGGAAGTTGTGAACGTCTATGACTGCGGATTCCAAACCAATCTGCTGGACTCACTCGGGCTAATGGTTCATGTCCCACGAAAACCCTACCAACTAGCTCACAATGTTAGCCGTAAATAGAGATTCTTAGACATGGCTGATTCGATGTACTTCGTATATGAACCAAACGTCAAACTATGAAAAGTTGCCATGAATGATAGTTTGCAAAATCTGCCGCTCTGTGGACGGCCACCAAGGCGCCAGTTTCAAACCCTTGATCCGATGCAGAGTTTTCTTCATCTCTTCCGCGAGCTCGTGTAGAGATCTAGAGCGGCTACTCCGTACACGGTACAAGGTTCAAACTTGGATGGCGGACTCGGTAGAACTATTGTCCGCTTCACTCGGTATCCATCACAAAATTAGCTCTTCAAAGCATTACCACCACCGCAATATCAGCTTGATTCCTGTCATACTCCGTCCACTCCTGTGTTGTCTTAAACCCGCCTCTGTTTAGCCACAATGGCTTCTACGCTCACTCGGGAGGCAGCAGAGCAGTCATCAAATCAGGATAGAACTAAATGCACCGCGCCGGAACTGCTTTTGAAAGTCGTTTTGGCGGGGACTTTGAGCCATTATGAGACGCGAGGCATGATTGACGATAAGCGATTGGAGCATATGCTGCTTGCAGGGAAGCAAATCCTGTACAAGAGTCATCAAGAAAGCGATGTTAGGTATGCCGTACTTGATTTCGTTCCTTGTTGGATTCTTACCCTTGCTAACTCCTTTTCGATAGGCAAAACCTGGGCTTCTCTCCTGCTATATGGCAAGGCCTTACAGATGTGTTAACAAAGGCTATTCCTGTACTCGAGTCACAGTCCTTTGCTTGGAAAAACCCCGCGAGCGCGAACTATGATGGGTCCTCGGCAAATTTAATTGCCTATAATTATTTTTCTCTAGTCAAAGATATCGAACGCCTGAACGACCTGTGCACAATCGCACGTAATCTGCTTGCCACCACAAAACGGGCCCAAAACCTGGCTGCCGAAAAGGGATTTGACCAGCGCATCTTGATGTTGATCGATACCTGCGTTAGAGTTACCGCAAGAGATATGATGGGAGAGTACCCGAGGAACGAAGAAAGGTGGCAGAAGGTTGTTAGTCTCTATAAGAGATTATTGATAACCTGTTTGCAGTTTCTTCACAACTTTATCATGCACAATGAGCACCGGAAATTGGTACTGTGGTTAGATCTCTTTGGCTACCACCAGAATGGCGAATCTAGCATCATCACCCACATGGAGCCGTTGGATCAGGCGAATGCTACCCCGCAGGGCGTCGCTCCGATTGTCAGGGCCGGTGAAAGGTTGGTCAATCCGCCTTTACGAACCCTCTACGATCAAACCGCCGAGGACCTCCTACTAGAAACGATTTCTACGTTTCCTAGAGAACCAGCCACCATTAAAGAAGAAGCTGCCATGTTGTTATTGGCAAACATTAAGGATCATATGGAAAAGCTACTTGGGAGAAATTTGAAGGAGATCCAACAAATGGGTAAGGACCCAGAACGAGTTAAAGAAATTCGTGCCGCGCTTACTGCGATTCTCGGTGCCAAAGTCGATGGCTGGGCAGACTTGAGTGAGCGCCAGGGCGGTCCAAGCAAAGAGGAAGAAGAAACGCGGAAGAAGCCTATTTTGAGCATCGACCGAACTGCCACCACCGGGTATCCGCGCACTTGTTGGACCGATCTGCCAGATTTGGATGAATATGATGCGATAGCTGAAATCAATACACCAGTGACTGCGGGAGATAAATTGATGACGCGCTCTGCTCAGTCGGCTGCGGAAACGCTGCAAGAAGCCAAAGATGAGTTGATGGCGCGTTTGCAAGAAACTTCCCCTGATATGGTTGAGGGAGATAGCCAGTATGATTCCACAGATCGTCGTGGTATGCGCAGTGACGACGATTCACGCGGCACTGATGGACTAGCCGATGCGAGTGGCGATGAAGATGAAGACGAGGAAGACGACGAAGACGATTATAGAGGCCGGCCCGGCGATCAGCAGCGCGGATTGTTAACCGATATTCCACTTGTTCTTGGGCCATCAGAAATCGAAGCTTTGCCTATGATTATTCAGGCTGGCATCGTTGATAGCTTCGGCCCCAAGGGACCGCAACAACCCGGTGTTAGAAACATGCAAGCAGTCAGATGCCATATCCTGCTTGCTCAGGAAACTGGCCGAAATCTACTTAGGGAGCTTCTCATATTCATCGCTGCATGGGATCTTCCGGATGACGAGCTCTACTTCAAAATGATGGTGCAGATTATGGAAGCCGTTCTTAAAAACGGTTTAATGTCGCACGCTTATTCAGACTTTGGTCAAGCTAAAGATATCATCTCACCAGCGCAGGCGGTCGTTATCAAGATCCTTACGCATATTTTCAGAGCAAAGTATTCTCCGCCTAATATTACTTCGGCTACAGAAACACCGACTGGTCGAAGCTCTGTTCCTGTTACCAAAGTTGACTTGTACACTGTGCGCTATATTTTTACGATCTTCCGTGGTAACATTATCCCCGAAACATGCGCGCTTATATACCTCCAGGGCCAGATTCGCGCTGGGCATGCCCTTCCAGAAGATTTCCCGTTGAATCTGTGGGACATGGAGCGTGTTTACGAAGGCGTATACCAGTTCTTGGAATTTTTTGCTGTTCTCACCGAAAACACGGAATGGAAGAATTTACTTGTACAGTGGGAGATTGTCTATGATTTAGTTACTCTGATCAAGGAGTTGGAGGCAAGCATTCCCAAGGGGAGCCTGAGCTCCCTCACTGCTGCCGCGTCAAGAACTCAGGCCCCAAGAGATTCAGTGCAGCCCGACAATGCTGCCCCGGTGGCTGTCGAACGACCGTATGAGCCCAATGACCCGGAGCCCACAGATGCAGCTACCGTCAGTGCAGAATCACGAGCTCCATCTCCGCCAATGGGCAATGAAGATCCCTCGGAGTTTGAATGGCGCAACCTCAAGAAGCTAGTTATTTTAGTACTCTCTTCACTCGTCTGGAAGTGCCCCGAGGTACAAAATCAGATTCGCAGGTATCATGGAGTAGAGACTATTCTCTCTTGCACCAGTTTCGATGCACATAACCCGTACATCAAGGAGCATGCCGTCATGTGTCTTAAATTTTTACTCGAGGGGAATAGAGAGAATCAAAGGGTGGTTGAGGAGTTGGAGGCACGAGAGGTGATGAAGGACGACGGTGGAATATTACAGCGGAGTGGTTATGAGGCCGTTCTTGACGAAGTCGGGAAGCTGGCGATCCGGAAAAAGGACACGAACGCAGCCACTGCCGGCCCTTCTGGAGCTGAGAGGAAATAGGCCCTAGTAAGAAGAAAGACCTAACCCTAGGCGAGTCACTCTAGACCATGTCGGGTATCTATGGGATGCCTTCATTGACTCGATACTACACTTCCTCAGGGTCTGTGTTAATGAATGCGGTTCCGAATGAAGTTTGTTTATCAGTTTTCATGATCCTACATATCTGGTTACGCCTCTAGGTATCCTCTTACCATGAGGATCGTCAAGGGCCCATTCATCGAGGTCTCTTTTTGTCGGCCTCCTACTGGCCAGCCTAATAAAGGTCACTTCCAAAAACCTCCAGCGAATTTCTCAATTGTCTAGAGCTTGTTTTGGTACCATTATCAAAAAGATGATGACTGTTTCATGCATTAGTTGCACCGTCCCAAGGATCAACACTACCAAAATTTTTCCAGATATTTTTAAAACCTATTGAGCGAGCAACGGCGGCAGACTTGGAGCTGGCATCCAGTGCACCGGTAAATGAACACTGGCATGAAGTCATAGCACTCCTCACAACGTTGAGACCCCCTTCTGAAAGCCCAGTTGTGTCGCTCGCAATCGTGGTTTTGCCTCAAGTCAACCACGGCTCTTGCTACGCGTAAAGCCCTCGGCTCAGGATTATTACGGTCTCGATTTACCACCTCATTTGCGCGTGCCGTGAGTCTATCCTCGTCCCATTGTGCGCAGCGGCATGTTTTCCATCGGTCGCCGCAAAGGTAGCAAAACTGCACACCACAATGGCACCTAAGCGAGACCGCAAATATATTAGTCTTGGACCACGATGAGAGGGCTAGTTGAAAAGGCTCACATGATGTGATAACAGCCGAAACGCAGCTCTATAATTCGGTTGCAGTTGAAACATGACCGCCAACCATTTTCTTTCGCAAGTCGGAGAACTTCTTGCAGCGCCGGGTCTTCAAGACACTCGCCTTCGTGAGATTCTGCTTTGCAAAAACCACAAGTGATCGTCCCGCATATCTTGCATTCTGCCTTGCCGTGTTTTATTGTCTTTGGACTGATGAATGCCGAGCAGTCTGCTGAACTGCAATATACACGATTGGCAGTCTCGAGTTCTTTCTTTTTTCCTTGAAAGAACTCGATTTGCTCAGCTGAAAGGAACGGTTTCGCCTCCTCGAAGTCTATGACTTGTCGACAACATTTCGGTGGAAACAGACTCTCATCTATTGTCGAATCCATAAAGAGACGTTGAAGGCAGTTTTGACAATAGATGTGCCCGCAAATCAGACGTTTGGCTTCCCCGCCGAGTGTTGAGTCCGCACAAACATCACAGACGACCGTCTCTTTGGGATCTACTAGGCTTATATTTGCTGGCATCCTGGATGAGGACCCCTCGCTTGGCCCCTCGTTGCATGCTTCGTGGTGACCTTGTCTGCTTGATCCGATATCGAGCGTATGAAATTTCGAAACCAGCTTCTTCTCGACACTCCGTTCCGGTGCTTGTGGAGGCTGAGCCGTTCCCGCTGTGATGCCACCCAGTCGACAGGCAATCTCGCGATCTCGAATTGCGTTCGTTTCCTGTTCTGCATGTTCTTGAAGAACTTCCTCATCGCTACTCGCCGCGCTGGAAATGCTCTGGGCTATGCGCCTATCTGCAAAAGCGATTGCCCCGTTTTGGAGCTCTTGAAGGTAGAGTGCCTGGGCTAAGTCGGCATCACTGAGTTGGTCAGCACGGCCTTTGCCTTTCTTGAGATCATCCAGCTCTTTCAAATCATCTTCTTGAAGCTTGATTATCAAATCCGCCGTTTCGGCATCGATATGGTCATCGCCTTGTGGAGATGCCATGGTTCCCAACGCCGCGTGCATATAATGATGAAGGAGGGAATAAGAAGGTAGGAGAAACGGGAATCATTTGTTTTTCTTTTTAAAAATTCTGCTATTATACCCTAAGGGAATTCCCACGTATTTTAACTAGTATCCTACCTGATCGCCCAGGCGATGAGAAGCGTCGCATAGCATTGCGCTGTAGAAAGTGCAAAGCAAACCAAATGATCACGTATTGTCATCCTGATCTGCATCCTATGCGCATTCTGCTAAGGGTGTCTGGCTCCGTTTGTTAACTCCTGATAAGCCAGCAGGTACTTGTTTCACTGGTATTCATTACTCACATCCGCCCCTAAACCTGGATAGGTACTATCAACCTATCTGTATTCCATCCTGTTTGGGAACAGATAACGGAAAGAAACCTTCCAACCAACCCCATACAGCCAGGGTATATCAGCTTGAGAATCATCAATCATGTCAATTTCGGTAGCATGTGGTCAATTTCATTGTCAGACTGATTATCCATACATGCCATCCCATTCAGCATCTTCATCTTCTTCAGTAGCAGTTCTCCTCTTCATCATCTTCTCTATTCTTTCCTGCTCCTTAACCCGTTCTTTCTTCCCAAAATCAAATCTGTCAAGGGGACATGTACCCCGCAAGCGAAGCCACGGCCTCACACATTCGAGATCAAAAAGATGCGACGTATGGCAAGGCAATCGAACGACAAGCGGGTACGGATCGTCCAGAAACGGATTGTTGCATATAGGACATGATTGAGAAGGCTTCAACGAAGCAGTCGCAACGCGTTCAAGAGCTATAAAACCCCGCATCAGCACTGTATTCGAGCCCAAACCGTAGTCCATACATACCATCACAGAACCCCTCGCTAACCCCCTCCACTTCCCGCGGCGGCGCTTCCGCCTCCTGCAACAATGTCCGAATCATTTGCCCGATCAAACCCCCGTCTGCACCTTCGCCAGCCAGCCCTAGCCCCTCCGGTTGGTGTCCATCGTACACGGGCAGCGGCGCATCGCCTCCGCTCTCTGTTTCCCGTCGGATCACGTCTAAAGCCTCTGCGAGGGAGCGGAAGGCAGCGCTTACATCGCCTGGCACGGGGACTGCGTCTGGTCGTGTGCGCGACTCGGATGGGTTGGGGGTTATTTCGTTGAGGGTTGCGAAGAAGCTGGAGAGGTCTGGGCGGCGGTGGTGGCGCGGGGAGGAGTGAGGTTGATTATCAGCTGCGGTATCGGGTGTTGTTGAGTGTTCGACTGGTGAAAGATAGGTATGTTAGCATTTGAATGGGAGGGAAAGCGTGTGAATTTAATCAAAGCCGTGGCGGCGTATTGCGGGGAATGCCTTACCTTCATATGAAGCCATGGCGAATTAAGTTGTAGAATGCCTCTTGATTGAATTGACGGAAGAGGGTATAGGCTTGAGATGGAATCACTTAGAATAGTTTCCGGAGACGAGTTGAGCTGTGCATTTAATAGATTGGCTAGTTAGTTAATATATCTCAATTGATGCCGGGAGGATCGTGCGAGGCAGAAGGGACTGGCGCGTCCATTGCACCACACGCGAAAGTCGACGACGAGTTACATTGTTAAACTTGATGGGACAACGATCGCGAAATAACTGAATGTCAATCTTATCATCTCAGAAAAGAGTCATAAGGTCATCGAATACAGAGTTCGTCACGGAATATTATATACATCAGGAACCCCGAATCATCAATAATCAAAATCTTCATATACTACTCTCTTTCCGCTGAGCCAACTCAGCACATTCTTCCTTAAGCCGGCGCTCCCACAAAGATACCACTCCTCTGTACCGTCAAGAACTAAATCGTCGGCAGTCAAACGGCGCTCTTGCACTTCGGCACCAGACTCCAGAACAAACTTCAACATTCCCTGCTCCTTTTCCCCAAAATTGGCCTTCGCCCGCTCTAAGCCCGTGAGGAAAAGCACTGTTGACTTTGGGAGGCCGGGAAATTGTTCAAAAGTGTCGTGGACAAGCGCAATATCTTGTGCGGCCACTGACCAATATAGCCGCAATCGAGAAAACTCGATCGTATGTAGTTGTGCAATGACTGGGGTGATCCCTATCCCACCAACAACAAAGGGGATAATTCTACCATCGTTGTCAAGATTTTCGAATCGGAAGTCTCCTCCAAAGCCACGCAGAGAGACCTCCATGGCGCTTCGCTCACTAGATCTGAACAAGTGGTTCGTGACTCTGCCGTGCTTACGCACCGTAATCTCGAATTCATTGTCTGCTAGCTTCCGCTGGGGGTGTGAGGACACTGTAAACGTGCGGATGTAATTATCGTTAATGCTGGTAGGGTCGTCCTCCTTCATATGACTGTATCCCATATCAAGCTCATCCTGGAACGAAATGGTTGCATACTGGCCCGGGATCCATTTGCCTACTACTAATGGATCTGATATCTGGAAACGGAACCGATTGATAGTTGGCGTAATCACCTCCTTTTTGATAAATCTCGCCGAGACCGCCTTACCCTCTGGCAACTGCGTACCAGGAGCCACTTTCTCGGTGGGTAAGTACCGCAAGGGCGGGTTGTAGGGAGACGGCTCACCAGGCTTTCCAATAAAAGGAAGGCCCTTTTCGACATATCGTGCAGCCGTCAATGTGACTTTGACCGCGAGGTTGGAGCGAGGTAGAAGAGCAGCTGCATCTCCACCCACAAAGATCTCAGTTTTACCGGTTGCATAGAGAACATTCCCGGTTTCGAAGTCCGGAAAGACGTAGCCGGCCTGCGGCGTCGTCTGTAGATTCCCCAGCGACTGATAAAGGCGATTTCCTGAATACTCTGGATAGACGAGGACAGCTCCGGTAGGTTCGTTTGAAAGGACTCGAACGAATCCACGCGGCCCGCCGCGAATATTAGTGTCCATGGATTCACGATGATGAGAAGTTGACAGAAATAGGGTGTCAACCCTGTTAAGCAGGTCGACAGCACCTTGGGGAAGCTGTGGAGAGTCAGATACCAAGTTCGGCTCTGGAGTCGCTGGACTGATATGCTTCTTGTTTATGTATTTAGGGCAATTCCCTTGTTCGTGTCAGCAGTGTCAAATCAAGGTTGATATGACGACGCACCTAGACTGTTTGTAACTTTGAAAACAAGCTGTGCCATTCCAGTGTGGTCAGATCTATTCTGGCCTGAATCGTTCTCGTTCACACAGGCCACAACCATTCGTCCCATTAGCTTCAGCCGTCGTCTATACCCCAAATCGATGGATAATGCAGACATCAGCCTCCCAGGATCATTGAATTTGACAATCTCCCCGTCACTTTTACCAGCCAATAGCGCTTCTATGACAGGGTCGTATCTTCTATCCACGGTGTTCCTGACAGCAAGGATTGAAGGCGCAATCTGGCCCGCAAAGCCAGCAGCGCCGCCTAGCACGGTGGTCCACGGAAGACCTTGTTTATCGAGCGTCCCTATAGCCATCAGGGGTGCCATCTGCACAAAATATCCTCCGCCAGGAGTAAGATTGGGGGCCGTCGGGTCATCCTCATAGGGCACCTGCATCAGGCTGTGCATTTTCACCTCGCCAGCGTGCCATGGCGCACTTTCTGCGAGGATAAATGCCATTGAGAAATGGGTTGCGATGTAGAAGAGCGATAAAAGAAAGGCTTTGGGTATATTATAGGAAAAGTTCAGGTGGGATGCCTGACATTGAATATTCATCGACCACGATGGCAAGATGCCTTTCAGGATACCGACGGTTCGCACCTTTTATCGCTCTTTTCTGATTCTGATATATATAAAAAGGATGGTCGATGGATGACCCAGGCGTCAAATTCTCCCAGTTTTGAATTTCTCAGCAAGCAGCTCGGCCCCTGCTCTCGGGGGCGCGGGGGTGTGGGAGGAGGCCCCGACATTTGTCATCCGAGCCACGGACGGAAATAAATAGCAATGGCGATAAAACACGACGGACTGCCAGAGGCATTGACAGCTTGGAACACTTCCAAGTCCCCATTATTATTCTGAAGCGCCATAACTATGTCTCTGGCGATCTCAGGTAACTAGCTACATAACAGCTGTAACTATGGATGGGTTACCAAAAAGTTTACCCAGCATGATCGCCAGTGTTTTCAACCAAGGCCTATTATCCTCATAACGCAGACACATTTTCAGATGTGTTCTAACTGGATATCCTGGCCGTCAATTCATTCAAGTATCATGTGGAGTTTACCGGTCGATAAATTGAATGCGTTCGGTATAGAAAGTCCGACACACTTGGATCTCTTTGGCTTCCTGTTGGGTGGAACTGAATGGCTGTGACGCTGCCGTGTTTTGATGCGAAGGGTCTGTACTCCGTACAACATGACGATTCCAATTTCGAAGGCCACGACTAAAGATGCAGATTCAGCGACGCGTACGAAGTATAGACGTCACTTTGTGTACAACTCTGGACCGTTGTTCGTAAAATTCGAACTCGGGTCGACATCCAATGCAGTTCCGTATCCTTGATCAGAAAAAATAAGTTGATGCCACAGAAGATGGAGATATTAGCCAAAGCCGAAGCGCAAGGCACAGTTTATGCCTAAGCTTCGACCGGCAAATTGGTCGATGGATAAACCTGAATATTATATGGCTCAATTCAGAATGATCGACTGGGTTGCTGCAGCGCTGTCTATGGGAGCAGTTTGGAGGATTTGGGTTAGAATGACCGAGGAGCTCCGTTAATACCATCTGTGACTGATCTTTGATAACATCCAATTGAAGATCCGACTCCATCCCGAGAGTGTGCACTGTGCGGGCCGGGAATGTCTGGGCCTCGCCGATTCCGCGCTAAGACTCGTAGGAATGCCGAGCCAATCGGAGACCAGTTTTTGCAACCGGATAGGCTAGTCTCAGAACAGTTTAGCCCCGGGCCGATTCCAAACGGCCGGGTCGGCGGGCGGAATGAACGCGGCGGATGACGATTGAGCATGCGGATTGACGGCGAGACTGGCGGGAATCTGAAGCCTGGAAAGGAGGGTGGGGGATGGGGTGCTACTAGCGGCTAGTATATGGTGTTGAGTTTCTTTCTTTTGATAGATTTCAAGGGGCTCCGACTTTTGGTATTCAGATTTTGGCTTTACTTCTTGGACTATACTCTATGCGCAGTCAAAATGCCGTTGTTGGATTATTCGCCATTACAAGAGACGCAGCGCATCTTTGACCTGCTGTGCGGGTTGAAGGACTCGCTCTCTTTACCGCCGGACCTGGAAACAAATGCCAAAGATCTAGCGTTTACCTCGGAAAAGGACACTGTTTACTTCCCAATTCCCCTCAAAGAGACAGAAACCGCAGCAGCGCTAAAGGGCATTGAGGCCCTCGTGGCAAGTTCGTTAGCAAGCTTGAAATATGGTTCTCGTCCTCGCAAAATCAATATCAACTTGGAACACGCGACTTGCTTCCTCTTCCAAGCGTATCTTTCGACCATCGACGGGCTTGGGAAGTACGATAATGGGGTCAAAGCAAAGCTAAAAGGCAAGTAAACTCGGACGATTTCACCCTTTTTCCCCTGCTAACAGGGCGGTTCGGAACAGACACCGACTTGCTTGAGGCGCAATCCAATCCATACCGCCGGATGTCCGCGAACCTCTATGCGACGAAGACCCCGGGTGCGTATTATCATATCCATGGCTCTCTGGAGGCAACAAAGACATTGGGAATGATTGGGCTCCCGCCGTACAGGCCGGATTTGAAGACAATAGACGACATAGCTGAAGAAATCGAGTGCCACGTGAAACAGTTTACCATCGAGGAGTTGGAGCAGAAGAACAAGGAGCTTGGGCAGGCGGGCGTGATCGCGCTGAAATATGATGATTTCATCCAAACACCGCATGTATGTTTCGACGCCTGGAAGCCATCGGCCACAGGGGACTAACTTTCCAAAAGGGCAAAGCAAATGTGGGCAAGGCACCATGGACTCTCACGAGTTTGGAGAACAGCACTCCGCCAGCCCCCCTCCCCACAGATCCTGCTGGCACAAAACCCCGTGTATTACAAGGGATCAAGGTCCTGGAACTCTGCCGTGTCATCGCCGGCCCCGTCATGGGGAGGATCTTAGCAGAGTACGGAGCAGAGGTGCTCAAAGTCACAGGCCCCAACCTTCCCGATGTTCCTTTTTTCCAAGTAGACGTGAATATGGGAAAGCGTACCACAGATATCGACCTCAAGACGGATGAAGGACGAGCGCAGTTTGACAAATTGCTGGCGGAGGCCGATATCATCCTTGATGGATATCGGCCGGGAACTTTCGATAAACTTGGATACGGAGCTGAAGCTCTTTCACGACTTGCCGTCCAGCGTGGCAAGGGCTATGTATATGTGAATGAAAACTGCTTTGGATATGAAGGGGAGTGGGCGTATAGGCCCGGATGGCAGCAGATCGCGGATTGTGTAAGTTTTCTCAAATTATCCATACAATTCAGCATCCTTACCAACTTCTCCAGGTGAGCGGTGTAGCGTGGGCGCAAGGCAAGTTTATGGGTTTGAACGAGCCAGTCGTTCCTCCATTTCCCATCTCCGATTACGGGACTGGCGCCATGGGAGCTATTGCGGCATTGACCGGACTTTACCATCGCGCGACAAAGGGCGGTTCATGGCATGGACGTTCGTCGCTGATGCAATATGACCTTCTTCTTTTCACTGCTGGCCAATATGATGAGAAGATTCAGGATGAGCTGCGATCCCGGCAAGACGAGGCGTTCTTCGCTTTGCGCCATCAGCACAGCGTGGACCAGATCTCGGGGACCGTCATAAAGACTATGAGAAAGCAATATCCTCATTTGTTCGAGTATTATCGCGAGGATTGGCATTCAAAGGGCTTCAATGCCGATGTGTCGATTATCACTCCGGTGGCCGAGATCGAGGGTGTTGAAGTCAGCTTCCAAAGGGCCAGTGCGCCAAATGGGACTCATGAGCCAGAGTGGTCGTTCCATAAGAACGAAGATGTCAAGTTGGGTTAATAAAGAATGCTGGCATGCTTAGTTACTCTATGGCTGCGAGCTTGATAGTCATTTTTGAGAGCGTTTTGATAGTTAGTTAGTTGATATTGGCGATATTCCGGGTCCTAGAGAGATTAGACAGATTAAACAGACAGCATCGTATAAACAGTCTATTAATCGATCACTTCATTATAACCTACTCATCCTCTCGATTTTTGAATATTTCTCTCAATTTTCTTCGACGGTCTCTGCTATGTGCCCCTTTGATCCAATTTAGTCAGCCGTGCTGGCTGGGAACCATCTCCGCAGCCAAAACATTCCAAAGTTCGCCCAAATCAACGCGGCCAGCATCTGCGCGGTGAAAGATGCTGTCAACTTCTAGGCACCGAACCAGAGTCGCGTGCCTTTCCTGTCGGCGCAAGAAGCTGAAGGTAACCTTTCCGGCCCAACTCGTCGCGAGCAAGAGCTAATCCGCTATTTCCACCGAGTTCAGTGCAACGGGCTCCAACCCTGTGCGACATGTTCTGCGAAAGCCCTGTCGTGCCTATATGCCGCCGTGACACCCGAAACGCGACGTTATGCGGCGAGTGAACAGCGACCTTTGCCGCCTTTCTCGACAGGCGCGCCAGGAGCGTCGCTCATCTCTCCAAACCATTACGGCGCAAGAGGCCCATCCAACTTTCCCCCGATTACGCCGCGACCGTTTGGCGAGGCGCAAGCTGCGGCGAGCAGCCTTTTTTACAGCGCGCCGCTTCCAGAGCCAAATGAAGAAGAGCACCTGAGCGAAGCATCGCGGATGCTTCAAGACGGAAGGGGGAGATTACGTACGTTTAGTCTCCATCAGTGAATGATTATAATTTTTCAAGCATATCAAGAGCATATTATCGGTTGACGACTGAAGTTTGCTAAATAAGGAGCCCTATCTTAGTTTATCTCGGTGATTCTGCGTCTCTCTCATACCTCGACACGATACGTAGACTTGTGGAAAAGACGATTGGAGTTTCCGAGTTTACCAGCGATCCTCACAAACATAGCCTCCTTGAGCTCCCAATATCCGCGTCATTGAAGCCAACTCATGTTCTTCCGGATAGAGAAGCTGCCGAGTTTCTGTTGGATTCATTCTTCTCAAACGTGAGTTTCTAGAGCTCTTCTTATTTGTAGAACGCCCGTCGCTCACAAGCTAGTTAGACGCTGGGGATCATACAGGTTCTTGACCGAGACGCTTTCATCAGCGAAGTCACGGCGATATACTCGAATCCGTTGCAGGTGGAACAATCTCGACTTTGTCTGCTAAATCTAGTGTTTGCAGTTGGGTTACAGATGTCTCAGAGCTCTGTGGCCCATAGCTTTCGTGAGAGTCAGTTATTGAAACGTCTTGGCTCCGATTTGACTGAGAGGGCAAAAGTATTTTATCTAAACGCTGCACATTTGAACGACCCTGTTTCGGGGTTTGAAGACGGAGATATTACTTCTATCCAAGCCCTTTTGCTCATAACCGTTTTCATGCTCACCATTGCTAAACGAAATGCGGCATGGGCTTATTTTGGTATGTTGGTTTATTTCGTTATCGATCGGGCACTTTCTCATTATATATTAGGAATGGCGGTTCGGTCTGCCTATGCGCTTGGCTTGCATAGAAAGTCGACGGCTCCGGTGTTCACAATTGCAGAGCAACGGTTGAGGTGAGACTTTGTTCCCTTCCCATTCCTTGATGGACCTTCTGATAAACTCTCTACAGGAGAAACATTTGGAGAAGCATGTACATATTAGACTGTTTTCTATCAGCGTCCCTTGGAAGACCAAATGGTATTACTAGCCGTGATGCGGCAGATTTATTCGCTGATGACGCAGAAGACGATCATCAAATATCAGAGCAGGAGGCTGTCGAAACTGCCGCGCTCCGGGCATCAGTCCGCACCGCCCGGCTCCTTGGGGAAATATTGAGCTCTGTGTACGCCGAGCGCAAAATATCAGTGAAATTCGTGCAAAAGTCTTCTAAGCAATTTCAGGACTGGAAGGATGTCTTACCAGCTGCTCTCCATTGGCGAAATATATCCTTGCCCAATGAAGATCCTCGCGCAACTTTGGCACAATTACACGTTAATTTGTATTATTTCCACGGAGTGATCTTGCTCACAAGGCCGTTCCTCTTGCAAAAAATCTTGAATCAGGCGGGACTCCAAAACGGAAATGGGGATAGTGCTAGATCTCCCGAAGCTGGAAGAAGAGGACCTCAAAGTCCTTCTGTGCAGACAGATTCATTCTCTGCCGCGTGCGTGCGTGCTTCTCTCTATAGCATTGACATTGTTCAATCCGCCATCCTTAAGCGCACTCTCCCTCGTCGAGATCCTTTTGTTATGTGAGTAGGGACCCCTTCGCCCCTGGTGAATCTACTGCAGGAACATCGCCAAGCTAACCATTTAAATAGCTACTGGCTCTTCACTGCAAGTCTGATCATTTTTTCCAACGCATTTTGCACTGTTTATGACGATACCGACACCACTCGGGCCATGCAAACATCTCTAGATTTGCATCGTTACCTTGCGGACACTGATCCCTTGGCCCAACGTTATCTTCAAATATTGACATCATTCCACGACACAATTAGCAGCAACTCAGATTCACGGATGGCGCCTCGGTCGTCGGCGAGTACAAACCAAGCATTGTTTTCAAACTTCTTTGGCGATAGGCCTCGTGTTCAGAGCCCCGATACCCGTCAACAAGCCGCTTCAATGCAGACAATGGAAGCCAAACGGCGTTCGACACGCGATGACCAGTCCTTGCAGACTGGCAGTACCCCAGCAAACGGAGAGATAGCGCCTACTGCCAGTAGCCGCGAGCCGCTTCATACGAGTCCTGGAATGAGTACGACTGAAATCTCGCCTCCGGATTATTCGCTTGATTTCGATAATTTCTTGAGTTTGATCAGCCAGGGCGGCGATGCAGCATATCAACTCGACCCCCAATAGCCTCAAATGAGAACGACGAGCTCGAAAGCAATTTCTCGCATTTTGGTTTGGTTCAAATGCCGGATCAACAAGCTCTCAAGTAGCCAGAGCAAAAGCAGTTCCCCTCACTTATTCAGGCCCCTTGATACGGTCGCCCGAGTCGACCTCATGGCTGCCGTTGTGAGTTGAGCCGAGAGCGAAGTCGTCGGGCTTGGCTCGGAGTGCCTTCCCACCAATCAGCATTTCCAGTCGGCTTGACCGGCCTTTCCGTGCTTGGCACGGGTAAATATGGACAGGGTTGATAACGTCGTTTACGAACCGATGTCTAAACAGCAATTCACATATTTTGGTATACCTGGAAATATTTTGGAAGCATTTAGCAAACAAGGCAACATGGAAGGAGCCGACGAATTTTTTAAGGCCTTCTTTGCGGTCTCGGACGATGGCACCGCACATGAGAGGTATCCTACGTTTTTCGCTGAAGATGCGAAACTGATTATGGGCGATAAGGTCGCTGTTGGCCGTGCGGGTAAGGATAAGACCCCAATATGACGTAATTCCAGTGAATTCAGGAGTTTCATATCGCAGTTGCTGGATGCCAGGCCGTCGCCGTGCCGCTTATTTATACCACACGGCTGTTGAATCTGTAAGCTGATGAACCTGCAGATATTCTGGCTGTTCGCCAGGGAATGTGGTCGGCAGTAGCTTCTCGTCACCACACATACACCTACTTCACATCGCCAGAGGCACCAAACACGGTCATGCTTGCGGGAAACGTGAAATATGGCCTGAAGGACGGAGGTCAAAAAGATACCGACTGGGTCGCTAAAGCAATTTTCAAAGGGGAAGGGAACGACAAGAAGCTGAGCTTTTATCAAGTGTTCCTGGTAAGTACCACTTGTCTACAAAGTGTACTCATGAAGTCTGACATATTTTTGTAGAATGCAGGGAGAAAGTAAAGCTAGGAAATATACCGTTCAATATTGTTTTTATAGAATACATGGTTGCTCTATTGCCTATACTTCCCAGGACTAATATTTATGTTACCAATCAACCTCGGGGCCTTCTTCGGGCTTTAGCTATGGTAATTCGTCTAAGAATCCACTGATGGCTTGCTGGACCTCATCTGGCGCTTCGAGTACGTGCCAGTGACCAACTCCAGTCAACACTTTCATTTTTTTGACTTGGCTCTGATACCCCTCGAGTATCTTTTCACAACCCGATAATGGCGCGGATTTGTCCTCCTCACCAGCCAAAAGCAGAACTGGGATCTTGATGCTAGCATAGTCAGGCGCCGGTGCTTCTGCAATGGTTCGACATAGGGAAATATAGCCATTGGTATCTGTACTGATGAGTAACTGCCGAATAAACGCATGTACGAGTGTACTGCAGCGTGCGCCAGTCGCGCCCTGGGGGATCGTAGTAGCCATGGCTTCCATGCCCTCTGCAAACAAACCTCACAAATTAGTGTCCTCGATGTACCTACATATGCAATACACAGGCACTCACGCTCTTCAACAATCTTGATTCGCTTCCCAAAGACGTCTGCAGCGGCTGGATTAGGATTCACAGGTCCGATCAGCACAACGGCCTTTATTCTCCCGCTTGCATCAGAGAGAGCCAGCTGCGATGCCACGATACCGCCCATGCTGTGGCCAATCACCACCACATTTTGAGTGATGTGTAAAGCGTCTAATAAGCCAGTGACGTCGGAAGCTATGCTAGCGATGCTATTGCCGGCGCTGGCGGTGTAAGCCGATGCGCCACTGCCATGAGTGTCGAGGGTTATGCAGCGATGGCCCAGGGATGAAAGATAGGGGATGATGGGAAAGTAGTAGGAGGAGGAAGAGCCGAGACCGTGGATGAAGAAGAGAGTCAATGGATTGGATGCGTTGGCCTCTGGGGGAGGAGTAACGGTGTAGTAGAGCGACTTGGAGTTTATCGATTTGAACGGCATTCTGATTCTATGTAGGTATCCTTGCTACTCCTGGCAGGAAGGCTGCTAACTCTGGGGTTGTATACGCCTCAATGGGATAGACATGGTTCTGGGCAGAGGCGCTTAAGCAGTCCGGAATATGAGGAATACAGCCACGATTCCCTGGGCCGCATCCTCCCAGCCGCGGAGGGCTTTCCACAAGTTGGTCCTGAACTACCTTCCGGAAGGGAGCCGACAAGATTTCGGCACCGGTTTCGGGTTCGGAAAGGGATCGGAAAGGGAGGCTCGGCTTTGGATGCCAAGACTGAGGTTGAAATTGACTTCAGGCCACTAACCGTATTCGGCACGAGGCGAGGAACCGCCCAGCGTCCACCCATCCGACATCGTCTCTGCCATCAACGACCACTTTTCTGTGGGCCGGCGTCGAGACACTTACTGATGGAGCACGGTGCAATCGAGCCATTATTCGAGCCCAATCATGAGCTGCTTGGATGAGCAAACAAGCTAGCGTTACTATTAACGTTCTGAGTTCAGGAAACAGGATACATTATTCTTTGGACGAAAAGTTGAAGATTAAAATACAGTACGTCAAGAAGCTATTATTCTCTGCGGGCGGTCATTATGGCGTGAACTTGTACTCGGGGTGATTATGCCCCAAAGCAGCCTGCTCACTTTCGTCAAGCCCCTCCAACAGATAGTCATACTCGCCATTCTCCTTCTTCTTGTTTTGCAATCTCAGATATAGCGTTGCGGCGGTCATCAGAATACAGCATAAAACTGCCGCTCCGAAATTAATCGCATGGCCCTTGATGTATCTCGGCGCATCCGGTAGCAGATATGTCCAGGTGGCCACAATGCCGCCCAAGTTTGCGATACTAACGACATACGCAGAACTTACAGCACGGACGTTGGGGCCAGCAGTGTTGTCGACCGTCCAAGCCACCAACATAGGTGAGCAGGTGAAAGCTCCAGTGAGTGCGAGGAAGGTCGCAAAATAGCGGACAGCAGGCTTAGTGACCAGAATCAAGACCAAAAACCCGGCTGCGGTAAATGGCATGACCGTCAAAAGCCAGATACCACGAGACTTGGTGCGGTCAGAAGTATACGCGATGGTCAGGCAGACAATTGTGGACCAGGCGAATGGCGGAACGGACATTAGTTGGGAATTGATTGCGCTGTATCCCATGCTGTTAAGGATAGAGGGAAGGAAAATCGACAGTGATGTCATCGTTAGGAAGGTGCAGCTGCATGCAAAAGCCATAATGTTGACGTTGACGTTGCAAACGGCCATTTTGAAGTGCTTCATGGAAGTCTTTTCGGGGACGTGAGACTTTGTCTCCTCGGCAATACGCCAAGTAGCGTAAGTCCGCTCTTCTGGCGTGAGTATAGATGCAGTCGCAGGCGATTTTGGCAACATGATGTACGATACCGCGCCAAGGATGATGGAAAGGATACCCTCGAAGAAGAAAATATTCCTCCACGTTTCGATCATGCCCCATTTGGGAATTCTGGAGAGGCCAGTAGCTAGGAGGCCACCGAATGCGCCACTTTAACAGATGTCAGTTGGCTGGTATGTCTTTTTTTATGTTGATCGTCTTCTTACCTTAGAGGCGAAACGCTTGCATAAAAGCCGACTCTGGTGGCAAGCTCATGGCGCCGATAACTGATTTGGGCGGTTAGATTCGAAAATCGAAACTTTCAAATGCAAGAACTTACAATTGAGAAAGTGTGAAGCTGATTCCAGGCATGATACCTGCTTCGAGGGCACCGAGAAATACTCTGCTCACAACGAGACCTTCGTATGATGTGACGAATGCTGAGCACATTGTGACGACGCCGAATCCGAAACTCAGGAAGGACAGCCATATCTTGGGGCCTAGCCATTTGCACATCATGTTCGCCGGACTGGAGTTTCGTCAGCATTGGTCGAACGGCATTCTGTGTCTGAGGCTTACATTTCAAGAACAATGTAACTGCAATAGAATGCCGTCATTGCGATGTTGAACCGATATCCACGGAGATCTAAATCCTTTGCCATACCGAGAATTCGGGCATTGCCCGCATTGGCCCTATGCCGCATGTCAGTATTTCTCCTTCCTTCGAGCTTCATGATTTCGAGAACAAGAAATACCCACCTATCAATGAAGGCAAGTAGGAATATGCCAGTTACAATTGGCAGAATTCTGAAGTCAAACTTCTTTCGAAGCCTCGCTTCAAGTGCTGCATGATCTTCATGGTTGTCGACCTTGCCAGCCTCAACTACGGAGGTGGTGCTCGGATGTGAGATTTTTTCCGACATGGTCCTGTATGTCGAGCCTTCGCCCCCTATATTGATAGGGAAGGTCAAAAGATAAAAAATAATGTGAACTCGGTGCTCTGCTCCCTGTTTCTTTAGGGCGGGATCTCAAATCTAGTTATACTTATTATATGTGTTTTTTCCCCACGATCTCCCCACAATTATGGCTTTTCGCTTTCTAACCCCAGGTTTGAGAGGGTCCAACTTACTGCCTCCATAGCACTGGGGAACAGTCATGGAGAGAATCCACAGCTTGTCCAGGCTCCAGAGTCGTGAAAACCATAACCCATTGAATCAATGGGCTATCATCTTTCTTTGGTTCACCAATAAGATGACCTTCCGATCGGATCGGATACGCTAATAAAAGGGTCAAAAACATGGCCACACCGAATGCCTCGAGGCTAAAACTCCTACCAACTTGGGAGTTGTGGGGTTATCAGGCTTAACTTCTAATAGCTCCGACCTGGGCTTATGCATGGAGCTCCCCAAGGTTCCCATTCAAAACTTAGCTGAAAGATGCTTTTTGAAGCTCATGAAAATGATTACCCAGTGCGAGTCCTTAAATGGAATTTTCGCTTACAGTCCACAGAACAACAAGCCAGATGTTTGTCTGGTATATAATCAAGTAATATTCAATATGAAAGTCATGCCAGCTATCCAATGTGAAGGCAAACACAATCGCACTTGTGGACACTGGTTATCCCAATTCATAATTCATGTACAGCATTCAATATGACAAAATTCATGATCACAAGAGGTGAGAGTATTTAAACAGAAGAGAAAAAGCTGCAGCTGGTTCTTGATATCCTTAAGTAGAGGACGGCTTTTTCAGTTTCAAGTCGTACTCCAATTCCCTGGTTGCTTGGTCGTTGCCTTCTAAAGGCTTGAACTCAACAACCAATGAGTGTTTTACGGCAAAAACGGAATCATTTGAGAGATATTTATCTTCACTGTCGAAGATCTGGGTCGTAATCGGTTTATAGTCCTTGTGCGTGGCCTATGCAAACCGATGAGAAAAATTGTTCTGGGGTAGCTCAGGGAAAGGCTGCTTACAATCAAATGAATGTGGGCTGGGCGCATCGGGTGTCGGTCAAGGAGCTGAAGGATCTTTCCAGCCGGGCCTATACGTTGAAGCGATTAGCTACCATGTGATTTCGGGCTCGAAGACTTGATGTGAACAAAGCTTACCGTCGAATGGAATTGGATAGGGAGTTGGCCTTAGGCAGTACAATGAGTACTTTCCATCCTTATCCGTCGTGAATCTTCCTCGAAGGTTGCAGTCTGCTTGGTTGGGATCCTGTTGCTCGTACAATCCGTTTGTGGACGCTTCCCACACATCGATTACCACCCCTTCGATCGGTTCTCCAGTTGTGGAATCGACAACTCTGCCATGCATGAAAGTCACCTCACCACCCTCGGTGGGAGGGGTCTTGATGATGCTCGAGCCGTTGGGATAATGTGGTGCGCCAGTTCTGAAGAACGGACCAAGGATAGCGGTGGCAGTGGCAGCGTCGGGAGCGTTTGCGGCGCGCGAGAAGGTAATCTCGTCGACAAGGCTGCACGGAAGTTAATGATTTCATGCTTTATCACGGAGCAAGCGCTAGCAAAGTGCGCCAACCAAGGAGGGAGAATGCGTACGATTCAAGGCCCAAGACATCGCACACCAACTGCCCTTCGTTTCTCCTGTCATTGCTCATCTGGCCTGCCCAGTTGATCAAGTTCACACCCGCCATCCACTCGTCGACGGTGAGTTCGACCTCGCGAGCAAAGTCGTGAAGGTGGCGGATGAGAGAGGTCATCACTTGCCGCATGCGCGGGTCCGTCTTTGGACCCGTCGCATTGATGACATTCTCAGTGAAGTTGGGATCAAATTGGTCCACCATTTTGGATGACGCTGGGGCTGTGAGGAAAGGAGAGTGAGTAAAGAACGTGTAACTTCAACGGCTTTCGAAGGAGGGAACTTGAGAGAAACGGATGATCACTCGGCTGCAACTCCTTGATAGCAGGAAAGATATAAGACCGGAACGAACTGCATCTTCTCAGCGACACACGGAAACATCTTGTGCCGTTTCGACGACGATGGCCTGAGATATCCTGCTGGTCGGGACTTTTCCCATGCCGAACCCCACCTCCCTACCCCACAGTGCTCCATCTTGACTCCGAGCCGCCAAGCATGATTACATCGGGTTGCATGCTCATTGGTGGGTGCAACCGGGAGAAAGCTTGGGCCTCGTGCTCTTGGCATCGGCAAGCCGGTTCAGCTTGTGATTGGTTCCGTCAGCTCAGTTGAGTTTGAGAACCTCCCGGGGGATCCACTCTCCGCCACTTTCCGAACGAATGGGAATGCGGCTTACCAATGCAGCTAGTGCGGGGGAGCTCGACATGGCGGGGTAACGGGGCCTGTTGGCGGCATTGATTCCGTCGACAGAGCAGAGTATATAACGTCAAAAGACGCGTGGAAGCCCTATGATTCTTCGTTTGCAACATTGCTACACCTCTTCTTCGATTCCCTTCCTCGATTGCCGCCGCCATGCTCGGAAAGATCACTCTCGAAGACCACTTCAACACCCCAGAGTTTGCCGAAAAGGCAAGATGGTGGGCTGGATTCTTCGCGACAGACCCTGATCGTCACGTCCGTGAGATTTGCGATCTCAACAAGATCCGTCTCCAGTATGCCGATGAGTACGGCGTTGGATATCATATTCTCAGTTACACCGCGCCCGGAATCCAAGATATTACCGATCCCGCTGAAGCTTTAAAGGTCGCCCAGTATGTCAATGACTGGACCTACGAACAGATCAAGGACAAGCCAGAGCGCTACGGCTCATTTGCCTGCCTGCCGATGCACGATCCTGCCACAGCCGCCGCCGAATTGAGACGATGCGTCGAGAAATACGGATTCAAAGGCGCTCTCGTGAACGATAACCAGATCGCCTCTGACGGAAAGTCTCTCATCTTCTATGACCAGCCAGAGTGGGATGTATTCTGGCAAGCCTGCGTTGACCTTGATGTTCCCTTTTACCTCCATCCCAAACAACCCACTGGTGTTGTGTATGATACCCTCTGGGCGGACCGAAAGTGGCTCGTCGGCCCACCCCTTAGTTTCGCAAACGGTGTTTCGCTCCACCTCATGGGAATGGTGTGCAATGGCGTCTTCGACCGCAACCCCAAGCTTCAAGTGATCCTGGGCCACCTGGGCGAACGGATTCCCTTCGATTTGTGGCGGACAAACCATTGGTTCGAAGATATCAAGAAACCAATCGGTATGCCTATTAAGAGAACTATCCGTGATTACTTCCGAGAAAACATCTGGATCACGACATCCGGCCACTTCTCGACCCCGACATTGAAGTACTGCATCGAGGAGTTTGGAAACGCAGATAGAATCCTGTTCAGTACCGATTATCCATTTGAAAACTATAAAGATGCCTGCACGTGGTTCGACAATATCAAAGGACTGGAAAAAGGGCAGAAGGCTGCTATTGGCAGGGAAAACGCGAAGAAACTGTTCAAATTGGGAGCTTATAAGGATAGTGAAGCGCCCGTTGAGGATTAGACCCTGGCTTGTGTATGATATAAGAAGTTATGACCATAGTTTTACTAATTGTCTTTGTTAAAATGATTTTGTAGGGGTTAGAAATCCCTGTTAATGAGCGCCGTACCTATAGATGGGGACCAGAAAACTTCCATCATATTAGATCATAATGCGTTTCTTCGTGGATTAACAACCGCAAATACCAATGCAATAAAGTAAACATTCAAAATAATACTCGGGTATATAGCGAAAGAGTGGGTGAAAGGGCCTCTCCTTTGCACCGAACAAAGACATGGGGCTTGGAAACGATAGAGCTAGTTACCGCAACGTAAAACGAAATCACAAAATAATACGACAAGCTCGCCGGGCCTCTGAAGAGATAGACAAGGTGAGCCGGCAGCGTACGCAGGCACTATAAACGCCTTATCTCTAGGCTAAAATGCAAATGTTCCCATGGTAAGAGCCCATCCTCGTGTTTTTCTTTTCTTTGCAGTAACTTTGGCTTGATCTTTGACTATTTTCACGAATCAGCCATTCTAATTCGATGGTAAGTGGATAGCAAACGGGCGCTTACATTCTTCCCAGCTAAGTGGTTCTTTGGTGATATCTTTGGCCTCCCTCCAGTTATGCATGCACCACGCGGCCACGAGGAAATCGAGGTAGCCTTTATCCACATTCGCCCCAATCCGCAACTCCAGAGTGGGCGGTGATATTTCAACTTTGTTCTGCTTATCCCAGCGCCGCCGGGTTTCCGTGGCAATGTAATGGTCGTTTGTTCTATCCCGCCATTCGTATAGCTCTGCGTCAGAATCGGCTGAGGTGCTAGGGCGGAGCACAAAGGAGGGCAAGCCGCGCCCACCCACTGTCCACCCCATGCCGGTTCTGCTGACCTTCTTGGTCATATAACCATTCTTCCCAGACAGATACCGCAAGCCGTCAATTTCATATTTCGTGGGCCCTATATGCAGCGCTGGCGGGGCTCGCAAAGCAAACACATCTCGCTTCACAGTCGTGCGCATCCGCCGGACGGGATTTTGATCGAGCCGCGTCAAGAGGATGCCCTGGAGGCTTAGTTCGTGGCCATCAAGTTCATGTGTGAGGCTGTAGATCGGATCTGGCTTTGAGAGCGAGGAGTAAACGTATTTCCCCTCGATACTCAGCGTTAACGGTTTGTGGTTGGTAATTCCATGTTGCGATGCTGGTGTTGGGGGATTGGCACCCACGGCTGTCTCGTAATCTGGAGGTGGCGCCAGCGGCACAGACGGAGCATTATACGCGGGCAGAAAGTCACCCGACGCAGAGGCATTCTGGGTCTGGCTCTGGTCCAAAGCAGGGTCCATGCCAACGGGTGTGCTGCAGAATCGCGCGAGATCAGTAGCAGAGTTACCTCGCCGTGGGATTGTGTGTATCGAAGCGAGCTGTCCGTGCTCCGGCTCCGGATGATGGCAAGCAGCGGGCGTGCATCTCGTTGGCGGCTCGCCATGCGCGCGGCGAAAAAGCGACGTGAAGATCAGACGGAAGGCGTTGAGGCTCAGGCCGGAAATGACGTCACTGCTCGGTGGCCGCTTTCGACGCCGGCAAACCGCTGATTTCTATAGATGAGCCATTGTGTGTCGACAGACTGGAAGAGATAGAAGAAAGGGAGCTTGGTGCATGGCCATTCTCTCTCAATTGCCAAACGTCTGGGCAGCTGCTGAGCCGATGTGTGACGGAGATAGCTTCAAAGAGCCGTGCTATTTATAGAGTCGGCGCTTTAAGCTTAAAGCCACAGCCAACGCGCGAACTCAACGGCGACTTCAACCGTTGGAGTCAACCAGGTGCCTTGCCAGCACGCCCATGATGTCTCGAAGTTGCGGTTCTGTCAATGCTACCATACCTGAAGAACACAGGGTCGTTCTCAACGGCAATACCCCGCTGCAATGCACCCGCTTTCCTCACGGCTCTGCTTCGTATTTTAAGACACTCCATCCATGAGGCAAAGAGCTGACAGCAAACGCTGTGCCGGATTGCCCAATCAGTGGCGTGACGATGGAGAACCCTGATCAGAGTCAAAACCAAACTGGACAAGCGGAGCAGGATGATCGACATCTCACATACGCTTCGGACTCGGCTACTTGTCCGAGGATCTCTCAGGATGAAGCTAGGCATCATCGGTTTGATCCAGCTGGCCCTGGGATAACTACATGCAAGTCTCAAATCAGGTTCATGTGAGCCGTGCTCCCCGTGAGTTGGCCACCACTGATGGTGCTTTGTTGCACCGAGATGGAGAGCCTAAGATCCACCCTCTGGCGCGCGCCCTGCATCCAGGATGGAGTATGATGGTTAACCTTCGGAAGGGATCTCGTTGAGCGTCAATATGTCATCGGACGATCTGAAACCTATCCAACCGATGATTTTGTTTCTGTTGCTCGCATGAGTCGTATATTGAGCCTCCACTCAGAAGGACTACTGCTTGGACATACTGCAGAGCGCTCATTTTCTGTTTATCTTGATGTCAAATTCTGATTGGACTTTCATTTTATCCATGCACCCTCACTGATATCTCCCTCGATCAAACTCACCGCCATCCTTTGGCTGTGAAAATGGCCGTTTTTGACATGGAGCACAAGGAATCTCTGAAGGGCTGAGACTGAGCAAACAACCTTTCAGCGTATTCAATCTTGATTTGATACCCAGAAAAATCAGGAAATGTGTAAAGTCGGCACAGCCATTCCGGAGCGGGGAAGAGCTGATATCACTAACAAGTCTCTTCGTGGCGCTCCGAAGAACGATTAACTCGGGCTCCAATCCGACGGAAACCAAATATGTCAAGGTACAATCGTGGGAATCACATCGTATTCCGCAAAGGCTGAGAAGAGCTGAATACTAAAACTCAATAATTCGGCCGTACCGGGTGAAATGGAGTGAGACATGCAATGTTAAAGCAATGATACCCCGAGCCCGAGAAGATATAAAGCAAGCTGCAGTCCTCCCATCCTTTGTTGCTCCTCTTCACTAGATCTCAAGTCTTCATTGCCTCTCGCTATAAGTTCACTTTTCTCCAATCACTACCTCAGCAAGACGTATTCGATCATGCATTTCAAAACTTTCGCTCTCGCAGCCCTCACGGCTACGACCGCCGTTGCCAGCCAAGTCGGCAATGCCATCGTCGAGAACCATTGCCCATTCACCGTCTATCTCTGGTCCGTCGGCGGCTCCACCGGACCAAAGCAGGTGCTCAAGTCTGGCGGTGTTTACACTGAAAGATTCCACCGTGACCCCAAGAGCGGTGGTATCGCTATCAAGATCACCAAGGTCGACGATGGAATCTTCAACGGCTCGCCGCAGACCAACTTTGCCTACACCCTGACCGACACGAGAGTCTTCTACGATCTGTCTGACGTCTACGGCAATCCGTTCAGCGGCCACAAGCTCGTTGTTGACCCGTCTGACCCCAACTGTCAAGAGATTGTCTGGCCAAGTGGTATCACTCCGGCCGGGACCCTGACCAGGGATTGCCAGAATAAGTCTGATGTGAAGCTTACGCTTTGCGCCTAAGCAATATCATCCATAGTAAGCTTCTCTTAAGTAGCTCCTATGCTTTTGATATACTAAGCTGTGCCTAGGGCTCTCTGGGACTACATTGATGGCTGCATTTGAATGATCAACATGCGTGGGGTTGTGCGATTATGCTTAATATAATGAGCGAGGCCGTTGATTCTGTGGTTATAAGGATATTTGTGTTTCTATCTATCTGATCTAATAGTAACCATACATATGCTACCATTTAATACAGCGTTTTTTCTTGGGGCAATATAAGGAGAAAAACCCTCCTATCGTACTACTTTATAGATAATCAAACCATTTGCATATAATCGAAGAAGCTGAGAGCTGAAAGTATTACTTGATATTGCCGCAGAAACTAGGATGAGCCGGAAAAATGGACAACAAACTGAGTCAATTTACATCAATAGCCAGGAATGAGTGCGTGACACATGATTAATTAGCCTGGATGGAAACTTGTAGTTCGTTCACTGTCACCCAGCCTTATGGAGAAAACGTGAAGTGCTTATCTATTTTCATGTATGACAGATTGAGGTTTGAGCCGCTGTGTAATTTTTCAATTTTAAAGCTTCTCGCCTTGATTTGGATTCAAAGCTGGAGGATATGTAGGCTCACAGCAAATGTGATACACGGATATGAGTTTTGTAGAGCGTAGTGTTAGACTGAGGATTCTGCTTCGTGACCTCACCGAATGATAGGCCGTGAATCAAAATGAAGTGTCAAGAATACTACGTAATTGCTCGTTGACATGGATATAAATCGGCTATGTGGAGTAAATTTTATGGGGTATTTAGCTTCCTGGTGCTTCCATGATTCTGGTCAAAGATTCAAATCCAAACTCCTTACATGATGACCTCATTGGCGACATCCTATAGTCACAAGTCAGTAAACCGGAGACGATCAGTCGGAGAAAGGATAGACACATACCCGTTTCAACTCCTTGTAAGGGAGGCAGACGCAGTTCTGGACCCGCACTTCATCGCCAACACCACATTCTTTGCCAAGAATGGTAATACTCTGCACCTTGACACCATTCTTGATAATGGTGGTGGAATGGCTGCCAGCGGGAATGGGGGTGCCTTCGACACGTGCCCATGCTCCAACACGACTGCTCCATCCAATGATTGAATACAAAACACAAGCATCGTGTTTGATTTCGGCGTCCTCGAGCACGATAGATTCCTTGATCCGCGCACCTGCTCCAACCACGGCACGTGCACCGATGGAAACATTTGGGCCGAGTTTGGCGGTGGGATCAACGGTAGCGGTGGGATGGATGTAAACTGGTGGGACGATGGTTGCTGAAGGAGCTGCTAACTCATCGGATCCCGATTGGAACGCTTTTTGGAGGTAGAGGGCATTGGCCGGGACAGCAGAGCCAGCGGTCTTGATCTGACGCCAAAAGTCTTTGGTCTCATGGACGAAGAAGCGGTTGCTATCTGCTAAGTCGGGGAGGATGTCTTGCTCAAGACGGAGAACTTCGCTCTGTTCGCCCTCGTCGCCTTGTTCAGCACCATAGGTAGACTCGAGGTGCTCAGAGGATGGGTAAGAAAACAAACGGGGGCGGGTAGTGCGGCGCTTGATCGCGCTCCTGATGGAGGGGAAGATGCATTCCGTGGCAAATAAGTATACGCCGCAGTTGATCAGATTTGAGATATGGGACTCGGGCTTCTCAACGTAGTGTAGTACACGTTTTGTATGCGCGTCGGAAACGATGCAACCGAAATTTGTAGCTGTCTCATTGCTGACTCGGGTACCCAAGATGATTGCTTCAGCGTCTTTCTCCACAAACAACTTAAGCATTTCAACCAGTGGGAACGAGCAGCACACGTCCGCATTTAGAACGAAGAAGCGCTCGGGGCGGCCTTTGAGAATCGCATCGCGGAAATGATATAGACCACCGGCAGTGCCCAATGCTCGGTACTCTCTCAAGTACTGAATTTTAACTTGCGGGAACTCTTGAGTGCAGTCCTTGATGAAGTCACGGAAGACTGTCTCATCGTAATATCCGATCAAAATGACCTCGCGAATATCGGGAATTTTGTTCACAGCCTTCAAGGCATGCCAGATAATTGGGTGACCAGCAACTTCGAAAAGAGGCTAAAGCATCAGATACCACGTAAACAATTAGCTATACGGAAGCACGAAATAAGCGGTGGCGAAGTGCTTCCACGACTAGAAATAAAAGGCTAGTTTTCTCAGTACATACCTTGGGCACATCAAGAGAGAGGGGTCTAAATCTGGTTCCCCTCGACGGTCCTCCAACCTGCCAATTGAGTCGTCAGCAACGGAAGCAGCTTGAGTCGAGAGTTGGGACCCAACCAAAATGACAGCTTTTGTGGAAGCCATATCTGCACTGCGCTCACGAACGGGGATTTGCAGCATAGGGGTCAACTGGCTAGCCACCAAAGAGAACAGAGAGAAATTTTGATTCCTCGAATACGGCGTATCTGCGGATTTGGATAATGAGTTATGAGAGGCGGGCGGCGGGGGGCTGGGAGTGGGAACGGGGGAGTCTTCATACCAAGCTAAGAGAGCGGCTGTCTCAACGTCGTACAAAGTCTGTAGAGTTGGCAGGTAGAGAGAGTCTGGGTCAAGAGGAAATGCAAGACACAGCGGCCGTCTTTTGGGGGGTTTCAACGCCGTTCTTGAGGGTGAGGTTGGCGATGCCGCTGGTGAGAAGGCGGTGGAAGCGAGCCCCTGAGCAGCGAATGACGCCAGGAACACGTGTTCGCCCGCTCGACTTCAACTTCATCTCTTAATCTTATGGACGCTGCTTCAACGCACAGGCTGGCATCGCGACAGAAGACGGAGATGGCTATAGATTCTACGCTGATCGTCTTCCTGACATGGCGGAGTCTTCGACGATGGTGTCTGACTGTCGACTGCCTTTGCGACCCCAGAGGACCGACTGCCACACTGTCTGTCCATGCCGTATGGAGTCCAGGATAACAGTGCTTGAAGAGCGCTATGTGTTTTACAAATATGGCAACAGAATGCGGAACTTGGAATCTTCCGGAATCTAGGGCCTTGTCGATGTGTTCCTTTGATGGCTGAAGCCACTCTGAGTCTGATATTCGTTTCCCATAACACAAACCTGAATGAACACATCTGCGTCCCTGCGTAGTCCTTGCGAAGAATTTTTTCCTCTTCTCTCCTCCCTCCCATCCTTCTTCATCTTTCTTGTTATCATCCTCATCTTCTCGACATTGCCGCTTTCTCCCTTGAAACTATCTTATTGATCTTGAACCAAATAAGATTGACCCAAGATGGAAGACCAAAGTTCTTCTATCGATATGATCTCCAAGAGCATGAAAACGATGGTGCGAAAAATTCAAGACCTCCGCCATCTTGGGATTGAGAATAAACAACTCCCTCTTCCAAAGATCGTCGTTGTTGGAGATCAAAGCACTGGGAAGAGCTCCCTTATCGAAGGGATTAGCGAAATCAAGGTGCCTCGGAGCGCGGGGTGTTGCACTCGCTGTCCTCTGGAAATCAATCTATCCGAATCAGATACGCCTTGGACTTGTCGTGTTTTGCTGATGAAAAAATACATGTACTGTTCAAAGAAAATGCTGCCAACTTCGAAAAGCCCTTTTGGGCCCTGGGTTGAACAAGAACCCGAAGAATTTCTATTCGATACACTCACTGAAAAATCAATGCTGGAAGCAGTTATCAAATGGGCGCAACTTGCGACCCTGAATCCGGGACGACCCTATAAAGAGTTCATGCGCGGGGAGAACTCAGACACAGAACCTTACACGCAAGTCAAGTTTTCTCCCAATGTCGTTCGCCTCGATATCTCGGCCCCCAAGTTCCCGAACCTTTCTTTCTACGACCTACCGGGAGTTATCAATGTTGCGGAAGTGGACGACGAGAAATACCTTGTCACATTGGTTGAGAATCTGGTGAAAGATTACATCAAGTCAGACAATACAATTGTCTTGTTAACAATGCCGATGACCGACGATGCGACCAATTCTAGCGCAGCCCGGATTGTTCGCGAAGTACGTGGAGCAAGAGAACGTACATTAGGCGTCTTAACAAAACCTGATCGGATAGATTGTGGCTACGAACAATGGGAAGAGCTTCTTAGCGGAGAGAAATTTACCCTTGGACACAAGTATTACGTCGTGAAAAACAACGCTGACCCTGTTGTCGACCATGCCAATGCTCGAGTAGAGGAGCACCTTTTTTTTGGGCATCCTCCTTGGACTCGGGAGTTTGCGCCCTACAGTGATAGATTCGGAACAAGGAAATTACAAACCGCCTTATCAAGTCTGCTACTCAAGCAAATACAAAACAGTTTGCCACACATTGTTGACCAGATTAACAGCCGTGCTGAATTGGTCAGTCAAGAATTGCTCACGCTTCCGGCTCCTCCGAGTGCCAATATTCCCTACATTGTGTGCCAAATGTTAAACATATTCACGAATAACGTCCATGCTCATATGAGTGGAGGTTCAAGTGCGCACCCATTTCTTAAACAATGGGGTCAACTAGCTGCTGATTTCAAGTTATATCTCGCAAAAACCCGACCGACGTTTAAGATCGGTGAAGATCTTCAAGTCAAGAAACCCGCGCGCCATTCTGCAATCGACGACGACGATGATTTTTGCGAGATCTTGGATATGGGACCTTCCCCGAAACGGAAGCATACTAACGGCGGTGAACCAGACATGGCGAAGCGATTGAGGGCTAGCACCCCGTCCATTGAAAAGGCCCATACTGCAGCTGTTTCCTCTGTTCAGTTCGTGACTGAGCATTTCAATCAGCTTCCAAGTAAGTGTCAGGACAGAGTCTGTAACCCGGTTGTCTGAACATCATCTAACAGCGGATAAAGCCGCAGCGCGTGTGTTCAGTCCCAAAGATATTCGCGACATCAACACAGATACTTATGCGTCTGGGGTACCCGGGCTCGGAAACCCTCAAGCAGTCGAAACGCTCAACCGTCTTTCCGTAGCTCACTGGCTGACTCCAATGCAAACGTTTTTGTCTGCTACATACAGCATGATTGCTCGCGTTCTAATGCATGAGATTGAAAACGTTTTCGGCCAATATCAACGAACGGCGTTGTATGGTGCCCTCAAGGCAATGATTTTGGAATTCCTGGACTCGATTCAGAAAGAGCACTTTCGTCAGGCGCAAGAGAATTACGATATTGAATGTTCCAAACCTTTTACCCTCGCAACGATGACATTCTCGAAAGCTCAAAAAGAGGCGATTGACATGTTTTTCACAAAGCGCAACGCTGCTCGTTTACGGGAATATATGAGAAGATTCGAAGAAATTAACGGAAAGTCGTGTAATCCGAAAATGGTTACGCAGGTTGAATTAGGATCGGACGGTTTTTCGAAAGAGGTAGAAATCATGGCGGTATTGCTTCTACTCACTTCTCTTTTCTCATAAAAGGAAAATAAAACTAACTCTGATCAGGCGTCCCGTGCGTACTACGACATCGCATGTTCCCGTTTCGTTGATGTGACATGCCAGGGCATTCATATCAAACTTTTCTTCCGTTGTCGAGACGAACTTCGTTCCATGATTGAAGATAAGCTAGGTATTTTGGGTGTAGATGGTAAGTTGGACAACGACCGAATTCAAGAAGGCATACACAAAACTTCTGGAAGCTTAAAAGCTTTATGCTACGCAGTGTGCTAATTTATGATTATCCTTTACAGCTTCTGAGCGTTGCGTGGAACTTATGGTTGAAGATGAAGAACGTCAACGACGACGGGTCCAACTTCGAAAGGAGCAAGATAAATTGAACAAGGCCCAGGAATGGCTCAAGGATGCCGAGAAAGGTGCTGATGTGATGGACATTCCCGTAACGATCTAGGATGCAGTGAATACCAGACGTGTAAGAATGTGATGGAGTTGGACCCGTTGTTTGGCTGCTACTATTGGACGTCGAGCTGTAGGACTTGGTAGCAAAATCGAACGACTTATTTCTTCCATTATGAAAACCATCTCTCTCTAGAGTCGCTTTTTGCGTCGTGTATCATGTAGCTACATATGTAGAGCGGGAGCAACCAAAAGGAGGTGGGAGTCTTGGCGCCAGGCTTTGCAAAAGTTCGAATCCTGGTTGCTTTGCATACAGAGGCTCTGACTCACAAGACACCTAGCGAAATAGTCGACGATTGCAGCAAGAGTTCACGGGTTTTCTCTTCGTTTACTCTGACTTCTCCCGTGAGTGTAAACTCTGGAAAACCGAAAACCCTGGCCGGAATCGTACTCTGTCAACAAAATCACCTACAATGTCTGATCAGGACCCCGCAGTCCAAGCGGCGGGGAACGCCGTCGCCAACCTGCATCTCGACGAAGTCACTGGCGAGCGCGTGTCCAAGTCGGAACTGAAGAAGCGTCAGAAGCAGCGTGAGCTAGAGAAGAAGAAGGCTGAAAAAGCTGCTGAAAAGGCTGCTGCCGCCGCCGCTGCTGGTGCTGGATCGGCGGGGAAGAAGAAGAGCGCTGAGGAGGAAGAATCGCAATTGACACCGAACGTGAGCGAATATCTGTTTGGGAATAGGGCGTCGGCCACGACGCATTGAAGATTGGCTTCTAAAATGCTAACTTGTGCCTGATCTCTCTTTAGCAATACTTTGAAATCCGCAGCGGGAAAATCAACCAGCTTCGTCAAACAAAGAATCCTAATCCTTACCCTCATAAATTCCAAGTCACCGCCGATCTTCGACAGTTCCTGAAGGAGCACCAGTCTCTTAAGAAGGGCGAGCAATTACGTGACAAGCAAATTCAAATTGCAGGAAGAATTTTTACCAAACGCAGTTCTGGTGCGAAACTGATCTTCTATGACATCCGCGCCGAGGGCGTCAAAGTCCAAGTTGCGTGTCAAGCGCAAGAGTCAACGGGAGATGTCCCATTCGAGGCCCAGCATGAGCATTTGAGGCGAGGCGATATCATTGGCATTATTGGATTTCCCGGTCGTACTTCGCCGAAGACTCGAGATGACGGTGAATTATCTATCTTCGCCCAGCAGGTTATCCTCCTCACCCCATGCTTGCATCAAATTCCTTCAGAACACTACGGATTCAAGGACCAGGAACAAAGATACAGACAGCGATACCTTGACTTGATCATGAACGATAAGTCTAGAAATGTTTTTGTCACGAGATCCAAGATGATCAGTTATATTCGGCGGTACTTTGACGAGCGCGATTTTGTCGAAGTTGAAACTCCTATGATGAACGCCATTGCTGGAGGTGCCACCGCCAAACCTTTTATCACGCACCACAACGAGCTGGATATGAATCTTTTTATGCGTATTGCCCCTGAATTGTACCTCAAGATGTTGATTGTCGGTGGGCTTGAACGTGTCTACGAATTGGGCCGCCAATTTCGAAATGAGGGCATCGACCTTACCCACAATCCTGAATTTACAACCTGCGAGTTTTACTGGGCGTACGCTGATGTTTACGACCTGATGAACGTGACTGAGGAGCTAGTCTCTGGCCTGGTCAAGCATATCACTGGAGGCTATGAAACGGTTTTCCACACCCCAAACTGGGGAGGAGTACAAGGTTAACTGGAAGGCTCCGTGGAAGCGTATCGAAATGATCCCTGCCCTTGAAGAAGCCACTGGTGAAAAAATTCCCACCCGGCGACCAGCTTCATACCCAAGAGACCAATGAATGGTTGAAGAAACTCCTCAAGAAGGTGAACGTGGAATGTTCTCCTCCGCAAACTAACGCTCGTATGCTCGATAAGCTCGTTGGTGAATTTATTGAGGAGACCTGCATCAACCCGTCTTTTATTACTGGCCATCCGCAAATGATGTCTCCACTTGCCAAGTACCACCGTGACCATGTTGGTCTCTGTGAGAGATTCGAGGCTTTCGTCTGCAAGAAGGAAATCGTGAACGCTTACACTGAATTGAACGATCCGTTTGACCAGCGGTTGCGATTCGAGGAGCAAGCTAGACAGAAAGCCCAGGGTGACGATGAGGCGCAGCTGGTCGATGAGAATTTCTGCACTAGCTTGGAATATGGGTTACCTCCAACCGGAGGATGGGGATTGGGTATCGACCGTCTTGTCATGTTCTTGACAGATAATTATAGCATCAAAGAGGTTCTTGCTTTCCCATTCATGAAGGATGAGAAAGTGACGGGGCATAAGGAGCCGCTAGCCGCGGAAGTTGTCGGTATAGAGCCGAGCCCAGAGGAAGGAATCCGTAAGTCTTGATCAACTACATCTTTCCTTGTCGATTGTAAGCTGCTAACTCTTGCTAAGCTCACAAATAAATTAAAACGACCGAGTTCCTTTGTTTGCTTGCGGAGTAATCAAACATCCAGTGAATAGATAACTGGGGGAATAAAAACAAGGCAAATTGGGTCCAATCTTCCATCCCTCTTTGCTGACTGGGATCTGCAAGTATACAACTGAAAATAAACATAGAAAATGATCACAATTGCCTTTTTGTACCGATTTCACAGTGTTGAAAAATTCGAATCCTATAATATCTTCTGTCCCTCAATGCCTGCAAAGCAGGGGCATTGGGATGCTTTTCCTTACATTTCTATCAAGATATCGATTCACTTTGAAAATTGGTATGATCAGCTATGGTCATTTCACTTTGCGGTGTTCTCTCTGCTAGGATTTCCTATCAGATTTCTTTTACTGCTTCTGTAGTCACTCTAGGATTGTAGTGTTTGCTTTCTCGGCCAGCCATTCACCATGAGAAAGATACCAAACTTGTCATATTGACAACTGTTTGAATATTCCATTCTACTTAATACCAAAATTTCATAGAGATGAAATTTATAGTGCAGTGGTGATAACTGCCTGACAGATTTGTTTACTTCTCGGATGTATAACAGCACACTCCCATATCCAATTCTCTCTTCCCTGCTGTGCTATTGATAATCTCAGTTTGATTCTCGTCGCCTTCCGGAAGCAAAGCCGAGCCATAAGGTGCGGTACCATCAAGCGCTATATTTATCCAAGTTTGAATCTGCCTATTGATGCTATCAATTAGCACAGTCACAAGAGTGAATATCAATACACTCCATTGTTTGGCTCCTGGTATTTACCGCCATGTTCACGGGCCTTCACTAAATCTTCCCTCAGACGTTGGCCTACTTAAAGTCAGGTTTTCATAGGGATTCCCCATCATCTCTGGTCTTTCTCCTTGTGTTTCTTCCTCATCTGTTCACAATCTTTCCTAACCACACTACCTATGATTTATACTCCAACAACAACAACACTTTAAGGGTTCTCACTTTGTCCTAGGCCAGGATAGATTTTAAGCTTCCTTCCTTTTTCTTTTCCTCCATTTTCAAGATCTGCTTTACCTTTCAAGAGAGCTCTCTGCAGGCCCTGGGTGTTAGATATAACTACCCAAAAAAACGTTGGTAACCATCATGACCCCCAGTTCATCAAGTATACTTGCTAATATATCAAGCCTTTTTAGTTCTAGTTTAACAGAAACAAACGTCGTCGACCTTGTCTCTCGAGCCAAACATGTATCCTAACACTAAAGATTCCTTTGCTGGCATTAATCCTGAAGAGTCTGCTTCCGCAGTTTCAGCTCAAGCCACATCTGAAGCTGGGCCTTCCGAAGAAGGAGCCAGATCCCAACAGCATGTTGCTCCAGATACTGTTTCATCTACTAGTTCTCTCTCCGATATAGACGACGACGAAGATGATGATATCCGTCATACCATCTTCAAAACCATTAAGATCCATACAGCCAAGTGCGACGTTTGCAACCAACATAATAAATCTACCCTGCGCCGCTGTATCGATTGTGGTTGGCAAATTTGTACCCCTTGTTGGGATGCTCGAGGCGGAAACGGCACCCATGGGGTTTCTCACAAATTTACTGGACCAGTTTTCAGCCCCGGAGGGCCAAATTTTGCCTCTCATGGTCAAGATATAGCTGCGGATGATAGCGATGAAACCATCAGCATTCCGGACGATGAAGTCAAACGCATGAAATCGAAAGCCAAGGCCAATATCAAGGGGAAAAAGCCTAACCAGCAGGCAAATCATGGTGTTGCGAAAGGCCGAGCTTCCGAACGAGCCCCAGGGGATAAGGGGAAAAGCAAAGCAGCAGGCACCAAAGCAAGTCAAAGCAAAGCGGCTATTCGAAAGTCAGCCAAAACCATTTCTACTAAACCTGGCAGCAACACAACCACCAAAGAGAGCCCTGTTGTCCTTGACGGAAACGATGCTGGTACGGATGACGAGTTGGAGTCTGAAAGTGCAGCGCAAACTGCGGCAACATCGACCCAACAGCCTCAGGCTGAGATGTCTCCAAATGACCCCAATAACCCAATGTTTTACTTGTGCATGGCCGCAGAACTTGCTTCAAATCAAGAGAAAGAACAAAGACTGCGAGATCAGGCGCTTCGCCTCCAAGCAGCACAGGCGATGGCTGCACGCGCTAGGATCCAGACTGCATTGACTGCCGGCAAAGCTCGATCGCCTCTTTTTGTCCCAATCGGCTCCTCCCCAGATCGTCTCCAAGGAGGTACGGCAACCGCTATAAACGAACATTCGCCCCTCCCTCAGTCCATGGCCCACCGCACCGGTCCGCAAACTACATTTCACCAGCCATCCATTCCAGGTTCCCTTCAGCCCCCAGGTATCGCAGGTCCAGCTTCGCAAACCTCGGTCTTTAAACGAAGTATTCTACAAGCCGATGCTGGGGAAAATACCACGAATCGTGAGGCCCCGCAACCTCCGCCAATTGCTGGACCCCAGGATCCTCGCTGGACTTCTGGATTTACCTCTTCTCAGCGACTTCGCCTTGATCCTGAATCCTCCTGGATTAATAGTTATACTAGTTCAATGTGGCATGGATCTTTTCAGCAGTTCAGCGGCCCTAGTGGGATGGATGAAGAGGTAGAGGATGAAGCTGACAGCAGATCTCATGGGCGCCCATGGGATCTGTGAAATTGCTACAGAAACCAGCAGCGAACAGAGCATTCAAGTGACTTGCTGGCCTGCTGTGCAGCTATGCAGCTTTTCTCCTTTCTAACTTTCTCTTCTGCATAATCCTTGGGTTTTCCTCTTTGAAGTTCCCCTGGATCGATTTTCCACGCTTCAGGTACCCATCAGTCAATTATTTTATTGGATTACCTTTTTCCACAAGTCATACGAGGCCATGGTGCAATATTCTGGCTAGCATCTGCTGAAGCTCCCTTTTTCAAGCTCTACATCTAGTAAATGCTTTGCTTCATTAATGGTATCATTTCAAACCTCCCCTTTTCTCTGAGATTACATCACCTGTCTTGTCCTTTGGTATGGTTTGTTTGGAGCTGTCGTCGTCCTTCCCTCGAGATGAATTTGCCAGTGCATAGCCCAAGTGAGGATAATAGATTGTAAATCTTCAGTTTCCTAGAATGAGTTGTTCATGAATGTTCTTGTCACATAGTTGATCACAAGCACCCGTTGAATGTACCAAAACAAATTAATATCCATTTCCCTTTTTATACACCTATGCATGACAGCATGATTGTAAACAGATTTAGTAAAACATGGAAGAAGTGGAGAGGTTATGAATAAATGGCTTCCAAAAGGAAAGGTGATATGGGTTGAGAAGAGACATGGGGATACTGCAAAATTAAAAGAGATCAGAGGTTCTTGATAAGAGGAGAAGCGGCGCGGGGAGCATTCGCACCCCTAGATTTCGCAACCATCTGAAGCAGACGGGCTGTTCTGGAAGGGTGCCAGACTCTACTGCCGAGGACTAGAACCCAGGTCAACAAGAAAAGACTGCCAGCCTGGTGCGCCGAAGCAAGGTGCATAGGTACGAGGTAAAGAAGGGTGCTGATTCCAAGGCCGACTTGCACCATGGCAAATGCAACAACCCCATGAACGCCCTTTTGGGCCACACGAGGGAGCATTCGTTTCATAGTCGGCGAGAATTTGGAGTATGCCCAGAGACCCATCACTGAGGAGAAGGTCGTCATGGCGAGGATACGGTGATCGAGCTGTACCAACGAAGGATTCTCGAGCATGTTTCTCCACCAAAGGTCGGAATTATCAGGTTTGCGAGAGTAGTGCGGGTCAAAAAGTTCAGATTTTGGTGGAGCGAGACCGAGGCCCATGTTAGGGAATTCATTGTAAATGAGACCTGCATCCAGGCCTGCGACAAGGCCGCCGGACATAGCGGTAACAAAAACAAGAAGTGCCAGGCCAGCCACAGACCGGCGGAAGATATTGAGTTTTGGGTCACGTAATGCCTCGAGCACATTCAGACCTTTTTGAGGATCAGCCATGAGACGATGTTGTCGAAGAATTGCCAATCCGTTCCAGAGCATTGCCACATAGCAAGCAAACGCTGCGCCCAAGTGAGCAGTCAATCTATACTGGCTTACACGTGGATGACTTCCAGGAGCGAACAGGTCGTCTTTCAAGCCGGATTTGACCATCCACCATCCGATAAAGCCCTGGAATCCAATTAAACCGGCAATCCCAGTCAGCCGGAGCGCCATTGGCTTCGAAACTTTCTTTGCGGCGGTAAGATAGATGGCTGGTAGAACAAAGGACAAACCAACGAATCTACCCCAGAGTCGATGGATCCATTCCATATAGTAGATGTTTTTGAACTCGTCAAGGGTCATATTGGGGTTTAGCACCTTATATTCTGGAGAGGCGCGGTATTTTGCGAATTCCGACTCCCAGTCGTCGGCATTCATCGGGGGTAAGGAGCCGGTCACGGGCCTCCATTCTGTGATGCTCAGACTATGTCGCAGGATGTCGTTAGCTATGAAACAAAGAGTCAAGAAGCCCTACCAACAGGGGCAAAAACATACCCGGACTCTGTAAGCCGAGTCAAGCCACCAAACACCACAATTCCGAACACGCTGGGCTGCGCTCCCAAGCAACCAATATGCCAACAATCTTCGAGCTAACGTCTGGGAATCGGGACCTGGCTGCAGAGCCCGCGTCTGCTGGTTGCTGCTTGAGAACTTCGCTCTCCGTTGCGAATTTC